CAGCAGGAGTTATTTTAAAAATGAATTAGTTAATTTTTGATCTATAGAGAATAACTGAGATTAAGGACTTAACTATATGAACAAACGTATTCATCATACTTTCTGATTATTTTTGGTGTTGCAATGCATAAGATGCTGGAATTGCAAAAGATGTCCTCTTTCTACATATTGACCTGCTCATTTAGTTTGGGGTTTTTTTTACCCCCCAGACTTCATAACTCTAGAGGCTGGTGAACTTATCAGTAAAGAGTGAAGGTACACACATCACACTGACAACAACAAAGAATGCAGAAGCACTGTTAGCTGCAGAGATGACAGGTTGCTGGAGACAAGGTGGAAAGCAAAAAGCTGTAGCTGCAAGCCTGCTCTCTACTGGTCAGAGATGGGGCAGTGCTGCCTCCCAGCAGTACGTGGATGCAAGCACTTGGTAAGAGTCACGGCAATGTTAGCATGTTATATTGCAGTCGTCTTCGGAGGGGAGAGAAAGTGACTCAACTCTCAAAAGTCTCAAATTCTGACTTCTAATTTTGAGTCTTAAGTACTGAAAACCCACAAACCGAACAAAACATTTCAGGGAAGAAAAAAAAAAAAAAGGAAGAAAAGGATGTTAGTGTGCCTCATCCAGATCTGTGGGTTTTGTGAATTCTAGAATATGGTATTGGCCTACTACCTGCCTTAATTTAATATCTAGAGGTAAAGAGGATGATAAAAAGTGTTTGCCATGAACCTACTGGTATTTCCATGGAATCATGCCAAAATAAAATAATCATTAAGTGTGCAAATACACACTCATCCCAATCAAGCACATGAAAAATAAATGTCAATTACATGGAAAGCAAAAGTTATAATCCAGATGTTCAAGGATTAGCCATTATTTCTATTTAGCATAGAATTTGAAGAATTTGAGAGGCCCTTTTGCCAAACTACTTTCAAAAGGGAAGTTTTTCACTTGTTTATGTGCTGGCCACCTGACAGAGTCAGTGTGGATGGAGAGGAATCATGGCCAATTTAAATCATCCTCTTGGGGTTCTAGAACAGAGTGCGGAAACCAGGAGAATAAGGTACCTGCTATGTGGACTGCTGACAGAGGGTCCAGGCTGTGAGAGACTACATTTGCCCCGTGGCTGTTTGCAATGAACAGGGGGTAAAGAAAGAAGAATGTTCAGTCCAGGCAAATAAAGACAAGCTACTGATGAAACTAAATTAAAAGTGCAGCAAAGGAAACATAAACAAAAATAATAAATCAAATGAAGTGACTGATACTCATGAAGCAAGGAAACTGGCTTTTCTTTGTGCCTAGCTGAGTATGGAAATGAGTGGAACTTACACAGTAAACTCAAAAATAACAGTTCAGTTATTACATTTATGAACAGTAGCTCTGCATTTAAAAAATAAATAAATAATCACTAGAAATTCAGCTCTAATAATTTTCAAAATTAAATAGAAAAAATTCTTGAGTTGAATATGGGCAAATACAGATATTTCAAAATGCAAATGCAGAAAATTAATATTCTAAAGGAAAAAAGGTTCAAAGGTCTCTTTTGACGAGACTGGCCTCTTTGACAACCACGCCCCCTCCCACAATTTTGAAGGCCAAATAACTGTAGGTGCATTCTTGCACTCACAACTATTTGCTGGAATATCTAATGCCATTAGATTATTATAATTCTGATTGTACTTTTTGTATTAGTATTTATTCATTTAGCATCAGTATACTTGGCACTGAAATGATAAGCAACATCACTTCAGTCTCCAAAATTGTGGGTGCAAAACCTAGAAGTTTGAAAACCAGACTCCAGGGAATCATACAACTTAGATACACATCATGGGCAAAAATAAAAAAACAAAACAGTAGTCATGTACATAAACACTAACAAATTAGAGATAGACAAATGCTTATTAAAATGTTAAGAGGAAACCTATTATAATTTTACACACTCTTTAGACAAAGATTTTATGGCAAAATACTTCTCTATTTCCTTTTATGGTCAGGCATCCTCCAGTTACATCTGTGATATCAGAGCTTGTATTAGTTATTTAAGTTTAAATATATAAGATTAAAGCATTGACCTCTGAAATAAAGTTTTTAGTATTTCTCTTTTTGAAAAGCCAGTATTCCTTTACATTCTCATACAAGCATCTAAAAGGAAACTAGTGAATGCAAAAAAAAAAAAAAAAATCAATTTCAAGAGCCATAAAATTTATCAAGACAGAACTCAGGCTTTAAAGAAAATGCAAATGGAAAAAAAACAAACAAAATTAATTTGATTTTTTTTTAATAACTAAGGATAAAAGCAAAGTAATCAATGAATAGAATTGCAGAAAGTCAAAATAATTGCAGTTCCATTTTGGGCTCAGAGTATGGAAGTGTTAAGTACCAGGCATGTATTGCTATATTTCTTGAATTTTGTGCCAGCGATGTAAACAGGCAACTCTAGAGTTGCCATCATATCCACTGATTAGGTCCTATGCAACTAGTTCTTTTGAATAATGTTTTATGCCCTTCAGCTCTACTTAGTCATTCATCCAAAGTCTCAATAAGACCATCTGCAACCTTCATCAGAAGTGAGAAAAAAACCTTATTGAGATTCTCGATGAATCAGCTCTGAAGAGAAGGCCAAACAGAAACGGAGGACTCATTATACCAGACAAGACCAGACTTTGGGCTGCTGCCATCACTAGAGCAAAATACAAGAGACACGACATGCCATATCACAGTAAACCAACCACACTGACAGCCCTGGGTTTAGATAGTATTTACCACTTCTGATTTCATGCAGGATGGGATATGCAGCAGGGTTGGGGAAAGCAGCTGTGTTTTGTTCTTTGGTTTATGCCATTTCCTGTCCTGTCAAGTGAGAGAAGGGGGCCTTCCAGCTAGCTAGAGCTACTGTAGACATGGAGAGTTCCCACCCAGGAGGTTGCAGAAAATAGATGACATGAAATTACCGTTCTCTGCCTGCTTGGACTGCTTCTTCCAGATACAGGACTCACTGAGCCCGATGTGTCTAATTCATCAGCAGAGGACCATGAGGACAATTCCTAAAGTTCAGAAGGAATGGAGCTCAGAAACACAGCAACTAGCTGTTCAGGTAAGCAAACTAAAAAAAGACCCTGAGTGAAATCCCAGTAAGGTTATTTTCAAAGCAATAAAATAAAGCAGGTAAATTTTGTTGCCAAATTTTACAAGACTAAGGCATTATGTGTTTTCTCTGTTATCCCTGGAGGAAAAGAAAAGCAAACAGGTAACTAAAATTTAATTCCTTTTGGTGACACATTTTTCTGCCAAACTCAATACAAGGGAAAAAAAACCACAGTTGTTCTTTATCGGCCTTTAATTACAATAAGAGGTTGGTACCACCAAGACTTTACTTAAACAGGCAAAAATTCACTAGAAGAAGGGAAGAGCTAAGTTCTCATGCCTTATGTACTCTGCTTATCAAAGACTTTAAAAAAGATGACTAAATGAGAACCTTGAAATATTTACTTTATACCTGCCACTATGGGCAACGAAGTATGCATAACTCCCTTTCAAATACCCTGAGATACATGATAATTTGAAAAGATGTGGAGTGCAGCTCCAAGGTCAAAAGGCACTAAGAAAGATTTATTAGCATATTCAGAAATTACTGTATGCCTATTTTTTTTTCTCCAGCAGAGTGAACATCATCTTTTCCAGTAACAACTGACACACTATAATTTTCAGTACTGCAGCTAGAATAATTTTCTCATATACTTTGCCAGGTCACTCAATCAGTAATGGTAGGATAAACAAACCAAGATGTTCAATACTTATTTCTACATCAAATAGCAAAAAATTACTGGATTAAAAACCCCCATCATATCACAAGACAGATTTTTTACATTATGAAGTGTAAGATTACTTGATGATACACAAGAGTACATGTCTACCATCCTGATAATTATTTGAAACAACAGAAACAGTGCAGCCAACAGCACTGATCAGAGAAAGGAATACAAAAGAGTTGGAATTGTGTGCCCAACAAACAGCAAGGAATAAAAAGATGTAACTTACCAGCTGACTACTTGAAATGTCTAGAATTTTCTCTAGGTCTTTAATATGATGTGTGACCTCTTTCAAGAGGAGCTTCAGTCTGTTTCCAATGACATGCACTTTTTCTTTGGCTTCAAGACAGTCCCTGCCTTCAGCATTGACTAGCAATTGGCAGGACATATCTTGTAGTGATGCCACCTTCAACTGAGACTCCAGCAGCTCACGTCTGATTTGCTGTTGCCAAGGCAAGCACCAGATTTTTTTAATGGATGTTAAAAATAAAAATTAAAAAAAACCCCAAAACAAAACAAAAGAAACCCTAAAACTAACAAAACTGAACATTTGAAATTAATGAAATGGAAATAAAACAGAAGCAATAAAAATTTCAAATCTGACAGGAATATAGACAGCAGCCTACCAGTTGCCTGAGATTTTAATTGGGAGCTTTTAAATCATGAGTTATGCTACTACAGAAGTGAGTAGTGTTCCCCACAAAAGCAAAGTTAGTAACTGACACTGGTCCCATGGCTGTATATTAGAATGAAATGTATAATGCTAACCCTCATGAGAAAGGTAAACGCGAATGGGTATTTTTCTGATTATGTGCTCTGGGAGAGAAGGATATGATTATACTCCTACCATTAGAAGTCTGTGATGATCCTGCAGCATTTCTGAGTCCAGGTTTGGATTGATGGGCACAATCTCATTTTTTCTTCTGTCAATATTCTCTAACCAAAGCAGTAAACCATGGCTCATTTCATGGAAGTCCTGCAAGTGATAAGTTATTATTTTAACAGCATAGCAAAACATTTCAGTCAAATTCAGGTTTTAGTTTTTAGTCCTACTGACTAAATAACATGATATACAAGGAAGTGTAGAATAGTAGATCAGAATACTGTTTCAGAGATGACCAATTTAGAAAATCTTGGGCTGGAAATACATGCTTAAGTTAGTGCATGTGTATCTTTCAAAAAACACATGCCGAAGATGTATTTTGGCTTGCGTGGGCAAGTTTCTGCCTGGATAGTGAGCACACCAGATAGTAATGTATTTTTGGTATGTGGGATGCTGACACTTTAAAATAAGTGCAAGACAGACCTGGCACTGCATCAGTGCATCCTGCAATGAGCAGCGCCACGCTTCCATCATGCTGCACACGTGGTCCCAGTGCACGTTCATCTGAGACAGGCGCTCTTGAAGCTTCTTGCTTTCTTCGTTGTCAGACTGAGTGAACTCTGAGCTGCACAGATTGATGGATAAGACGATCGCTTTGCGGTTGTCGATTGCCTTCTGCAGCTCCTTGATGATAAGACAAAGTGGGACACAGGAAGAAAGGATGGAGATCAGTAAAATGTGACTTTCAGAAGGACCACGTAGAGAAGGCACCACAAGAATGCAATGATTTGCCATCAGCAACTGCAGAATGGTACCTTATTTTAAGTCTCTATTCTAGATATGACACTTCTGTGCTCACTCTGTCACTCTGCAAATGTTCACTCTTTAACATCTACTAAAATTTTACCGAGATGATAAACTAGAATAAGCCAATTAAACTTGTAGTCTTAAAAGCCTGAAGTCATAGCTGACTTTTATTGATATGGCTCATGTTTCAGGTATTTTAAAGACAGAGCAGGCCCAACAAAATTTTAAGAGATGTGGGCCAATTCTTCTCTAGCTCGCAATAAAACTTTTGCCCTCAATTCTCAGTTTTGCTGATGAACATAAAAATCAACATTTTTTCTAGTGGAAACTGCTGTCAAGCATATTTTTAAATAATTTTTTTTACTAAGGGAAAAGAAAACATACAAAGAGTATAAACAACTTACTCCAATTTATAGAAGCAGGACATGTATAAACACTCTGATTTGTTTACATTGGAAGCCACAAAAGAAACCCCACCTCTTTTGGTTTGGAGGGCACTAATGGGCTTTCCAAGAGTGGGTGAGATAAGAACAGGACTCTTATGAAATGCCCCCTTTTCCAAGCACTTTGCAGCATTTACTTAAAAGCCCCATGTCACAGTGACCTTTGTAGCACTTAGGGCAGCTATATTTGGATTCTAGTGAAGACCAGCATTAATATGCTTTAGATAGATCACTGAGGAAACAGTCTTTACTATCTGTTCACCTCATTCCTAGCACGGGGCACAGCGCGTTTTGGCATCAGCTCCCACATTTTTGTGCCCAAGCTTGTAAGATGCTAGTAACTGAATGTGGAGTTGTGGACCATCACATTTACAGATCTTAACAGGTGTAAAATATGCAGGAGAGATCACAAAGGCAGAATTCAGATCCTGACACATCTGAGATGACAGGAGAAGAAACAGGAACGTTGCCAAGTGACACTGAATTTTTCCTGTGTTGCACTGGTGACAGCAGCAGGTACGCTACAACCTCTTTGGGCACTCTCTCCTTCCCTCCCTGACACTAACATGTCCCAGTGAGGCACTTATTTTAAAGCAGTTATTTTGTTACCAGTTTGACTAGGGGAGGTTTAATTTAACTTGGTGGAGATTTTTATTATTTTTTTTTTCCATCAGCTTTGTTCAAATTAGGAATTAGCTGTACATTCTGGAATTAACAGAGTTGACACAGAATTATTATTTCAAAAAAATAATTTGTATTATCCAGTAAATGCCAGTGGTATAGCTGTCTGCAGTAGCCTGGTACATGCAGAATGGAGCACACCAGTTGCAGATACTCGAACCTCTTCAACATACCTGTTACACTCAGGTCTCTTTACAAAGTAACTCATGGAAAAGAGAAATAAGACTTACTTTCAGTTTTTTAATTCTGAACTCAATAGTTTCTATGTCAGTGCTGAGATCAAGGTGGCAGATCTTCTCCAGTTCCTCTTCAGTTTCTCCCAACCAAGTACAAACACTATTAAGGTCAGAGTTAAATTGCTGCCATTGCTGAAGGTTCTGCTTCATCCTCAGCTCCTTACTTAGTGCTTGAGCCTGAATTAATTCCCATCGGTCAATTACACCTGGAATGATAAGCAACAAATTCAACAAAAGCAAAAAAAACACTAGCCACACACAATTGTATCAGCTGAATACTGAGCAGAACAAAAAAACACAAACAACTTCATAAAACCCCAAAATCCCTAACCTATGGAACAACACACTGAAAACTAAGTTAGACTGAAGAACATGATGTTGCAGAGAAAGAATGAAGGATCTGGGTGATACCAGGCAGCAGGCAATTTTTATCTTTCTAACGTCAGACTTCTATGAACAGAATTAAGCTGACACATGCATGTCTCTAAAACAGGTTATGCTGGTATAAAAATGTCATAAACTACCATAACTGCAAACTGGACAAGGAATCTGAATATGTCTGACTAGCCACATATTTATTATTTTCCTTGGTATTTGTATCTGTTATAGTTTAATACTCACACCTCACTACTTTTGTCTAAGCTACTGCTGATGCATTGGATAATACCTGTTCTAAAAATAAATAAATCAGGGGCTATATCTTCCTGTTGAAGATATATCTTGAAATGCTATAGGAGGACAAGTATCATTCTTTCAACTCAAATAAAACCAAACCAAACCAACAAAAAACAAACCCACAAAACCCAGCCAACCAACCAACCAAAAAAACCAACCCAAAAAATCCCCAACCCTGCAGGGGTAGTATATCTTGCCAAGCTAAGAATGGAGATGACAATCTCTGGAACAAATCCATATTCTTACAATGCAAGACTTCCTGTTCTACAGCTGATGCTTAAAATCAATCAGGTGAATACTGCTACCAGGAGCACATAAATATCTGTACTAGAAGGGAATGCTAATACTGAAATAAATTGATGCTGACTTATGTGCTTTGTATAGCAATACAAGCAACCTTTTTTCATCAGAAGACATTCAATAAAAATGCATTGCATCCAGAGGGACTTTTTGAAAATCTGACGGTTATGTCCGGTGATATGAAGGGTTTCTTAAAATGCACTTTTACGCTAAATGTCTTTAGAGGGCTTATACAAGGAGTTCCTCACTACTCCTTACTACTCACATTAAGAGATCTTAAACAGAACACTGTAACACAGTCATGTAAATGCATTTGTTAGTAAATAATACTGTTTATTCAGAAAAACTTTGCACATTTGCTACTTTTCATAAGTTTTCAATTACAAATCTCAATGTTACTTACCAGCTGTTTGTGTTTCAGTACTGTTTAGGTTAATAAGTCCAGCTAACTTTTCTTCTTCCTCCTTCAGTTTATATCCAAGCCTTTTTACTGAATCTATGCTTCCACTGCACTCACCTAGTAGTTTCATCTGTGTTAACAAACAAGAAATCCCATCTCAATATACACTGTACAGGACTAATTGCAGAGAAAATGCAAGTTACAACTCAACTTCGCAAATTTTCCAAAGTAGATTAAAAATGTATTTGTTTAACAATCCTTTCTGATATGATCAAAGAATTGCATGTGGAAGCAATAAAGACTTAAAGCCTAAGTTCAGACTAAATAGAAATAACTCCATGCCATTGTGCTTAATTGTGCTGGATGACTTTAGGTACCATCTGTTCTAAATGTTAAGACACTAAGGCAAAGACACTAGAAGATGTGATGAAGAAAATAAACGTATGGAAATATTACTATGCACCCAAGCAGCTCATCTTTCAATTGTCAGTAATAAAATTATTTGAATGATTTAGAGAGAGATTTTTCTTCCAGAAAACCTCTCTGAGAAAGCTTTTTAATAATGGATTCCATATATACAACCTTGCTTACATGATGCCTCCTGATAATTCATCAGCATGTGCATGGAACTATAAAACATGCTTTTAAAAGAGGGATTTTAAACAAGGCTATCATTGTTAGATGGACAAAAAAACCCAACAAACACGTGTGAGAAAGTATGTTTGGACATCTGCAAAAATGTAATAGGAAAATAAAATCCTACAGTCATGTTCGTGTAATCTTATGCTATTGTAAACACACTAATAAACAACGACAGCATGCGATTAAGGGTAGCAACCACATGAGTGAGCCTGAGAATCACTAATATCTAATTGCTTTGTTGAAACAGTTGTATTTCTTTCAATAGTAAATCTAAACTTTGAGTGCTTATTGGACTTGTGCTCCAAAATACACGCACATATCCTTTGTAACTGGAATCCAGCTCTGGTCCTGTAGGTGTTTTGCTGCGGATGATGTTTTCTGCTTGCTGTATTTGGAAACGACTGGTGTCTAAGGCCTTGTCCAGCTGTCGGATATGTGCTTCCAGGGAACCAGGTTCTCCTGTACCAAAACAATCAAACAAAAAAGTGATTGTCACCCAAAGAGTATTCTTTTTTTTCTTTTCAGCAAGTAGAATAAATATCAAGGACACTATCTAGATTAGACAGTAAAGGAAAAATGTGACAGTGGTACAACGTCAAAGCGAACTGGTAACTAGTTACATTAGAGGGTGTTAGTGACCACAGAGGACAGGTGGCTATACGTGCTTGCCGTAAGCCTACTATCCAAGAGCTCAGAGTTTGCAAACTATTCTGAAGTGACTTTTTCTCTCAGAGAATTCCTCACTTGTCTGAAAGGGAAATGCTTTGGCACAATGTGCTCTAACCTTGATCCCTTTCACAAACACTCTAAAATAAAACCTTGTATCCCAAACTCCTGACCCAAATCTGTGTTAAAATCTGAGTTCTCCTCATTTCTCTCTGTGTTATTTCTCTCATTAAAAAAAATAGTGGAATTTTGATCTACATGAAAGGATTCTATTTGTATACAATTTTGAAAATTGGAACTGGTATACAAACACTACATGATACTGTTACAAAACACTGACTCACCCCAGGTGGACAGAACAAAGTGCTCAATATTGCTTTTACCTCACTACTTTTAGAATTGCAGAGGTGAGAAAAATTACACATTTTTCTGTATGTCCTGCTTATTTATGCTCTTAATCATTATATTATTTACCTGATTTGGGGAAAAAAATAAAAGTGGACCTGAGGCCTGTGCCACAAATACTAAGATTTTAAATGTTTGCTATCTCAAATTTGCAATGAAGCCATTATTTCAAATGAGGAAAACTGAATTCATGAGAGAAGGTATTTGTAAATATCTAATCCCTCCAAGAGTGTCACCTAACAAATGGAATACTAGTTTTAATCTTGTATAAACACAAATATATCACACAAAACAACTAACCTGTTTTACATAGAGTAATAATCCAAGCTGTGGATGTGCTAAAAGTTGAGTGCAAACAATTCTTTCAGAGACATAACACTCTTAAGTCCTGTTGAAGGACCCCAGAGAATAAAGACCAATTAGAGTAACCTACTGATTAGTTTAGTCTAGTTAGCAGAGGTGGGAGGGCCAATACTTAAAACATCACTGTTATATCCATGCACCTAATAATCCATTTAAGCCAGGTAGTAAAGCAGGATACTTCTACGCTAACATGCTGATGCTGCCACAGAAGGAATATTTATCTTGTAAGCTGTGAGAAGTGTAGCAGATGCTAAGAGAAGAGAAAGAAGTTATGCTTGTGCATTGTGGTATTTGCATCTTGCTAAGCTTAGTCTTTCTTGATGCCTACCAGAGATATTTTTGAGTGCGTTTTCTGTGAGTGTTACATAGGCCTCAAGAGTTTCAGGGATCTCTACATCTGAAAAAATAAAAGTGTGGTCTAAATTGACAGCTCTTTTCAGGGGATGGAACATATAGATGGTTCCAATAGCAAACATGCTTTCTGAAAAAGGAAAAAAAAAAAAAAAGACTGAAAGATGGGGAGCTTGCTACAAATTCTTTTAATGTCCAGGCAAACCGGACTTTTCTCAGAGCAATGACCTGGAAAGCAAAAGACAGCCACAAGATCAGAGTAAAATATACCAGTGCTCTTCCCCCACAGCTGGCCACATTTGGGCACTTTCACTTGTTAAGATTTATTACACAAAGCATACACACTTAGAAAGGATTTCCAGCTTCACTGGAGAGCAAGACCCAAGATCCCACCTCGGGCTAAATACTCAGTTGCCAGAGTCTTTCCTGGGTAAGGACTGAATTAAGATTTACTTAAGCACTTGAAGATTTTGTTTGCAGTTGTCTCCCACCACATTTCTTCACCAGTTTCTTCTGCACTTCTTGCCATATCCAGTATAGTTTCTGCTAGTCAGAATAACTTATGAGGCACTGCTGTTACAGCTGACATATCCCATCCGGCAGGCCACAAGCATAGAGAGACAGCCAATTTCCTGTCATATCACACATGCTTTGCGATTTTCCAAGGCTGTAGTCATCCAGGAATCTCCACCGCTGTGTCTAAGGCCAGGAGGCCTTAGGAACTACTTAGGGAAAGTTATTTATAATCTTCAGGGTCTATTTAAAATACTTTTCCATTAGCATCCTGGCCAAGCAGTGACACATAACATTTGCTTCTTTTTACTAGGAGAGAACAGGACACACAATTTGCCATTATACCTGCTATACCAGTTGCTCCTCTCATGTAGAAGTCCTTCTCTTGTCCTCTGTCTTCTTCATCAGAGTGCAGTGCCCGTGAAACCGCTGTCTCCAGGTCTCTGCTAAGGTCGTAGTCATGATCCCACTCCAGGGGAATGGAGTCCACGCTTGCAGGGGTATCTCGTCCTGATCGCTCACTTCTCACCGGCTGGGAAAGAGGCAGCGAGAGGTTGGAAGAGGGCTGCGGGGAGAGAACGCTGTCTGCAGACTTGTCGTGCCAGTGTATGTCAGAGAGATCTGCTGATTCATCCACTTCCACCTCTCTGTCAGAGAGGTCATGTTCATCATCTGTCAGCTAGAAGTATAATGCAAACAGAACAGATCAATGACATGTGCAGAGGCACTGAAAGGAAAGCCTGGGTCAGTAGCACTACGCAGCAGCCACACTGATGCAGTTTCCATTTTGCATTCTTGTGCGCTTCCTCTTCATTATTTTAAGGTGCACTGAAAAACCAAATCAACCAAAAAGTTCCTACTACCAGCTCATTTTAATTACTTAAGGTACCACAAAGTCTCGCATCAAACAAATGTCTCCAGGTGTTTTGTTGATGCAATGCAGACTTCAATTTAAATAAAACTCCAGAGTCAAGTCATAGGAAACATAAGTGACCATTTTTGTGACCACTACTCTCATTACCCTCTGATATTTTGAAGACCCTGTATTTTGTTCCTTTCCTACCACATGACTTGAGCTACCAAAACTAATTTTGCTCTCACTTAGTCAGCTGTGTGTTCAGTGCTGGAGACAAATTTCTTTTTCTTCAGATGGGGAAAATAATTTTATCATTGGTTTTTAAACAACACAAAACTCAGTAAGCTGCCAAAGAAACTCTCTGACAGAGTAAGATGTTCTTACTACCTGTACTGCACTGCTATGCCCATTAATAAAGTTTTATAAATCTCCAATTTACATGGAATTTCATAATTTAAAAAAATAATCAGATCTAGTGGGTTTGCTCTCTGAACAGGACATAACTAGCATATAATGAAGGGAGGCAGATGGTCAGGCGTGCAACAGAATTAAACCACAGGATTTTTGGAAAGTTACAGAAGTTTCATGTTACTTCATTTCAACATCTTTCTCTCTCCTCATTCTCACACTTGTAAAATGCCAACAAACCAAACAAATATGCATGCATATAAGTATACACACAGGAAGGCGGATGAGTTTCTTGTGATAGCGTTCCACACGTCCAAAGACCTCTTGGCAGTAACGACGTAGTTCATCTAGTTCTTCTTCAATGACAGCTGCATCCATGGGCTCACTCTTCTCAATGAGTTGCTCACCCTGCACGATTATTTGCTCAATTTTGTTGTTGTTCAGTGAAATTTCTTGCTGGAAAGCCTGCATATAAGAAAAGCCCATACACTATCAATGAAATCAACATTACAATAACTTAAGTTATTCAGGATGCAAGTCTTAAAAGAGTTTTTCATCAAGAATAGTGTGGGTAACTAACTGGGATTGTTCCAAATATCCTGGCATGAGCAAGAATGAGAAATTAAATTTAGCAGTCCACAGTCCTTCCAGCAATAAACAGTGATACTTCATGGTTTACCATCTCATTCCTCACTTGTTGTATTTGGAAAGAAAGCTTGTCTCTAAACAAGCCATGCCCATGATCAAATTTCTAGAATGAATACAGATGGTAAAGCTAACACACTGGAATTTTGGATAACATGACATTTGATAATTTTCTCTCCAGATAATGATTTTTCTGATATGGGAATCACTCACAAATGCAGGAATTGTTAGTTGTCAGCAATAATGAAGACTTGACATGAACAATTTTTATCAACATTTCCTCTTTTGATTAAAGAATGAAGATTACCATCTTTGTTTGTTTTGGTTTGTTTGTTTGTTTAATTTTTCACAGTGCAAAGATCTTCCACTCTAGCAGAAAAGTACATATTGAAACCTGACCAAGCCCATAACACGGGCCACAGTCTTCACCTGCAAGTAAAGGACTGTACCTACCTACATTTGTGTGCAATGTTTCTTAAATTATTTTCCCACCATGAATGTTTTTCTCCCTTCTCTTATCTCTCCTGTTACCAGCGAATGATTCTTTACCTTAAGTTGCTTTATCTTTGCTTGGACATCACACTCTGAGAAATGTTCAATGTTGGTCAGCTGCAGGTCCATCTCTGTTAGCCATACCAGGATGCTATCACGTGCTGTCTCAAACTCCTCACGCTGGCCAATAAAATGCTGGGGGTGGGAAATGGAGTGGCATGAAATGACCAAACAACCCAAAAAACCCTAACAACAGTGGTTGTCTGAAGAAATACCTTTCCTGCCCTTCAAACCTAACCTAAACTTGGCACACTTTCTTCTTCCATTTCCTACATTCTTTCTAAAATACCCTTTTCAGTAACATAATCTGCAGGTGAAACTAGCTAAAAGTTATGAAAGTTATCTTCTATAAGGGAGGTGGCATTTGAGGTCACCAAGCACTTCCCTACAGACGTCATGCGTTGGTTACCTCTGACAAAGTGAACTGATTAGTTCTTCCTCTTCCAAAGCTAGAAATCACCCTCTAAAACACTATGCAAATGCATTAAACTAGGAGCTTCTGGACTACCTCTGATTCCAAAGTACAGTAGTGAAATTGAAGAGCTTAAAAATGGAAAAATACTTTTAGCCTGCGCAGGATGGAGGTAACTCGCTTTTGCAAGTTGTCCCATCTCTGGTTCCCCTCATGAACCATCTGCTTGAGGCTGCAGTTACAGTCAGTGCGGTTCTCTCGGGCCAGGCGGCGATATTGTTTATTGATCAGTTCCAGCTGAGTTAGACTTTCATGCACTTGTCTCTGGAAGGCCTAAAGCAATATGAAAAGAAGACACCATCAGATTTTTATTTATTGAAATCAGTATATAGATAAAAGTCTCTCCCTTTATTTTGACCCCATTTCTACACCCTGACCTATGTTAGCTGATAGACTTTGCTATGGATGCAGATGTCTCCTAAGGGCTCTCCTGCTGAGAGGCTGCCTTCTGATGAAAAGGAGCAGAAAAAAGAAAATCAGTATACAAAGCTGACAAGAGTTCACTGAATGAGAAATCGCAACATGAATATCTGATACAATGGCAAAATCAGCACAAAAAATAGACTTCCCTTTCTACTCAATCATATGCCTTTGTATTTGAGAACAGAAACACAAACAATGAATATGGAACTTTTTAAAAAATGAACAGAAATCCAAGATTCCTGTGGCTTTATTGGATTTCCTTACACATACTGAAGCTGCTGAAGTGCAAACATTGAAGACATTTGAGCAATTGTTTATTTTTGTGGTGTTTTGTTTTTTTTTAAATAGTGAAAAATGGTACTGGTTTCTTCAGTATACTGGTATACAAGTGAGTTCTGTCTCAAAATTATTTTAATTGAAAGAAAATTTCACGATCATCCATACCATCTGACACCTGGATTAGTGTCTGTACTGTGCACTTTCAGTGCTTCCTCAATGTTACAAAAGCTTCAGTCACCCAACTGGGGAGTAGAAACAGTAGGTGACTTATCCCATGAGTTTCGCAGTCTGACAAGCAACAACAAAGCAAGTTGGAGAAAACACCTTCTAAGGAGCTGACTGAATTAATCCCTTTAAATACACAGATGAATAATTTTTTAAAAGCTTCTTTTTATGTTGTCATAGAAACAGAAAAGCAAGCAATCAAAGGAAGACTTAAAAACATGGACTACATCAGCACTTTTTTGAATACATGTAGGTTTTGGCTCCCACTGTAGTTCTATAAACTTACTCTCTGAAAATAAACAGTCAGTCTCTCTCAAAACTAGACACCAACCTCACTAAGAACTGGAGAAGTGTCATAGGTAACAGACTTCAGTACAGAAATTTTATTTAAAATTAGATAACATATGAGATTTCTAAATAAACAATATAGACTCTTCATATTTTACTGGTCAAAGCTAAAAATGAAATAAGCAAAATTCTGCTGTAACATCAGAAACAAAAGATGCTAGTTTGAAAAAAGAAAAAAGATCAAAGTCTGCAGAGTACTCTCAATATAACTACTCCCTTCATTAAATGGCCATCAAATTGGGTCGGGGACAAACAACAAAGAGCCAGTGGCTTTACAACAGAACTGAAATGCTTAGTGTAACTGATTTCATTTAAAATTGCACAAGGAGGCAATTCTCATATCAGAGGCACAAATTTGACTGTATTTACTAGGTTTATGAAATCTAAGTCTGCAGTTGCTGTTTCACCTGTTACCAAGCCTTGCGCAGCATAGGGACAGCTGTGTATTTGTTTCCCATTTTTTTCAGCTCAGCTACACAAGAATTCATCTGTTGCATTCCTTCCTATAAATCTCTTTCATTTCTCCATAAATTACTGGAGAAGAAGTTTGGTTTTGTACAGTGAAGTCAGCAAGAGCCATCACTGACTTCTGTGCTCAGGAACTGAAAGGTTCTTACATGGTCTGCACACAGTAGCATACATGGAGGGGGAAATAAAATAATAAAATAGTGAAATTAGGAAAAAAACAAGAGGGCTGGTTTCAGATAGGTACAGAAAGAGGAGGAGAGATAAACTAAAAGCAAGAGCTAAAACATGGAACATGCTTTTAGAGAGGTACTTGGTGAAGGGAGATTTAGGAATACTCTGGAGCACCTAATGACTGGACAGAAAAGGTGAGAAATCAAACTTTAGTGAAGAAACAGCAAGTGAGAGTGGATTGATTTATCAACATTTTCAGTTGTCACCTTTCACTGTTTCTTCATCCTAGAAACCTGCCAGAGAAGGCAGCTACAAAATCATGAACTCCACTATATTAATGCAGTGTCTCTTTTCAGTGACTTTTGTATGGGAAGTAAGGAACACCAGCTGGCTATGGTAATGGGATCTGCAGATATAAATTTCAACTACTATAAATCACCTCAAATTTCTTCAGTTCTTCCTTAGCAACTGTGTAAAGCACACCAGAGGAGCTTGGGAAAGCAGCTATCCCCTCAGATCTTTGCAGCCAGTCTTCGAATTTAGAGTAGTCATCCAAAAACTTTTGCCATAGCCGCCACGTCTCTTCAATTCTGCAAGAAATAATGGAAAATTAGGGAATGCTTGGACTGAAGGCCAGCTGACCTTCAGAACTTTAATCAACTACAGCAGAAAACTAGCATGTCACCAGGCAAAATTTGGCTCTTAATCCAAGTAAAGACAGTCAGGCTCATAAACAGACCATAGGGAATGCTGGCTCATTCCAGACTGACCTAAATTGAATGGAGGCAATACTTTTTTAATGCATCTAATTTTAGAATTGGTATAAAAAGAAAGTCAGAACTTTGCAATAGGAGCTCTAAAAATCTGACCACATGTCAAATAAGTTCTGAAATACAGTCCTAGTATAGGTACCTAAGCCAGTGTTTTAGAAATTAGAAATTCCATGCTTCCTTCAACTGCAGAACTTTTTCTTATGGAGTACTAAAGATACTGCAGCATATTTTAAAATTCTCAGTCATTATTCTGCATTGCAAAGGGACAAAACCATTTTTTTTTCCATTCACCCAGAAGTGGTAAATGCTCTCAAAATACACTGTAAACACACTTATTAATAAAACCCCAAACAAAACGATAAAAGTTATTCCAATAATTTTACTTCAATTGAGTATGTAAAACTAGTGGCTGACTCTTGATCCTGAAATCAAATTGGCTTAATATTGACACTGTAAAATCCCAAGAACTTGAATATCATTTGATTCAAAATAACAAGATCTTTTTTTGGGACAGGTTATATTACAGCAGAGCTTTGTTTTTACATACAGAATACATCTTTACCAAATCTTAGATATGGAGTTCTGAAAAGGACTTGTTGCATTAAAAATGTATGCTCTATTGATGGTACGTTGTTTGACCTGAAGTTTGACATCTGGAAAGTTGCTTGTTAATATGAATAACTGTTTCTAGTACAATAAAGATCCTAAATACTGACAGCTCAATCAACCTACAGGTAGAAATCTACTAATAGCGTAATGTGTATATTGCAGGAAAGTAAAATAAAGTTCACTGCATTCTTCCCCATTAACTTAAAATAGGTTTGAACTAATTTGCTCGACACAAAGTTATGAAAAGTGTGTACATTTTCAAGACAGACTGTGTCAAATATAGATCTTATAAACTGTATTTATACTACACAAGAATTACCACTGTTACAGTATAAAATTACTTAAAGATAGCCATCTGTGGATATAGTGCAGCACAACTTTAAAGCAACATTTTTTTTGTATAAACTAAAGAAAACCTTTACTCAATACATGAAGAATATCCCACAAAATCCAAGATCATATAAAGTTCAATTCAGCATTTTGAAAAGTCACAAACTTTAGGTAAAGTTCTTGATAAGACTGTGTAAACATCAGAGATAAGATTCATAACTTAAAAAGATACAGAAAGATCTTAATAAGTACAGGAGTTCAAGCAATTAAACATGCATTATTACCGGTTGGCACAGAGTATATAGCATTGGCCAAAGCTAGCCTAGGTAATTATGGTTATCAAAATCACTCATGATATCCTAGATGGGAACAGAAAACAATAAATCTTCTGGTTACTATGGCCATACAAAATACAGATGGTCTAAGCACATGTGGTAAACCAGACCACGCCTAAGATGTGTGGGCGTTAAAGCTGCTCAGCAAAGCTAAAGGAAATATTAATTTGTAGGCATTTTAGACTTACTTAAGTCGCCTTTCCATTGACAATGCACAAATGTTCCTCCACCTTCTGTCCAGATTGCGTGTAGCTTGCTGAATAGAGTCACACTCTGCTTCTGTGGCACAAGCATCACAGTCATGAAGAAGTACTTCACACAGATTGAGAACAGATGCCACTCCAGTGCTATGTTTCTCTATGTCCTTCTGAAGTTCCTGCAGTTGAAGAAATTAATTCTTAAGAGAAACTGCAAAACTTGCATGAATACAAATGCAATTATCTTCTACTTATTAAAAAAAAAACAAAAACAACAACAAAAAAAAAAGCTTGCAAACAAGACAGGAACATCCAGTGAATAGCTACTAAGAGACTGCATCTGCACAAGTGGTGTTGCAATGTTACCAATGAGGCCAGGACAACCTGGCAGCATGCACAGCTCTCCCAGGGACTACAAACACCAAACCATCACCTGGGACAAACTGCCAGAGCTTTGCATGCTCAGCTGAGCGTCTTTCACATCCATTTAATGAACATCACCAATAATTAGCAGAATTATTCCCAGCCCTTTCCCATTATCACAGGCAACGTAAAGCAGAAGTTAGTAACAGAAGTGTGACAAGAAAGTATGTTCTTATTTACTGTGAGGGTTTGGTGGAGGCATCCTTCTTGAACCTACTCTTTCCTAGGTGAGCTAGCTGCCAAGTGTCATGCTTGACATGGAGATCAGCAGAACCACATATTGAACAGTACATCTCTAGTAGGAGATTTTTCTTCTCTCCACTTTGCAATTCTATGGCATTTTCATTGGAAATGGAATATTCAGGACAGCTAAAGAAAATGCACTTAAACTGTCTTAGCACTTATTATATGTGATCAGTATAATTTCTTCTGTTGGTTTCTTGGTTGCAATGGCTTGTTCTACAGTGATAATGTTTCATCTTGAAGCAATGTTTCAGCTTCTGTTTGGAACTACAGGTTCAAGTTAAGCCACAAAAGTAATTGTCTTTTGCTGCCAAATCAGTACAAGGAAAAAAAAACCCTGCTTGACTTCTGCCTCCATTTGCAATGAATCATTAGAATATTAGACTGAAAAATCAGGAAGGACAGTAACAAAGCTAAGACAACATAATTCCAACAGAGTCAAAGAAGTACTAATGTGGCTACACCAAAACGTGGTATGTTGCTTATAGAATGCTATGTTCACTTCTGATTCTGATGAACAAAAGAACTATTAGGACAATTAGATATGTGAAAGTTAATTTAGGAGAACAAGAACCTGGCAGCTTGAGGATAAGTAGAGATAAACTGCTCTTTATACTTTTGTAAACTGTAAAAGGCAAACGGAAATGCAGTGCCAATATATAGCATCTACAAAATTTCAAGGTCTAACCAGAGGAACTTCTCTTACAACTAGAAATATGATGTACTGAAAATGCTTTCCTGCAGGAAATGAGATCTAAACATAGAATCTCAAAATGTCAGCAAATCTGAAATGGAGCAAGGTCAACTTGTATCAAGCATTTGATTTGGTTGGTTGTGATAACTGGGGTTGGACTCAATGAAGTAATCTATTTCTTCTTCTCATCTATGAAACAGAAAGCTATTTTGTGAACATCTACATGACACCATGAGGCTGAAAATCACAATATTTTCTTCCTCAGTGCTGGCCCTTTCACTTTCACTTGCCTGGAAAATACTCTTTCATTGTGACATCCAAGTGCTTATTCTTCCTTCTAACTGTCCTGAAATATTATATAGGGGTGGATACTATAAACAGATGCAATACTCTATGAAACATCTTGCAGACAGCTATGAGACTTGAGGCTAAGCAGGTTCAGGTAACACAATCTCCTTGCTGCTGTTTTGGAGTAGAGCAGACGTAAAACTGCCAGTTGGTGGTTCTGAGGATTCTTAAGAATTAAATTTTTTTATTCATGTACAGAAATTTTCTACAAGCAATGTCTACACTGTTTTTTCTCCAGTCTTATATCTCTTTTCCAGATTTAAAAATTCTGTTTATTAGAGAACATTTACCTTTAGATTAGTTCACAAAGAAATATAATTTTTGCACTCTATTACCCACGTAAAGCTTTTATTTCCTTTATCAACCCAAAACCAAACACATTTTTTCCACATTTCAAGTGGCAGTAGATTGTGAAAGTAAACAAAGAAGTAATCATTGAAATGCAGTTTGTGACACCAGGAAAATATTGCAGTGAAGTTACCCTACCTTCCCCAGAATATCACACTTCAATTGTATCAATTGGGCCCCTCAGTTCAAGAAGGACAGGGAACTGCTTGAAAGAGTCCAGTGCAGAGCTACAAAGATGATTAAGGGAGTGGAACATCTCCCTTATGAGGAAAGGCTGAGGGAGCTGGGTCTCTTTAGCTTGGAGAAAAGGAGACTGAGGGGTGACCTCATCAATGTTTACAAATATGTAAGGGGTGAGTGTCAGGGGGACGGAGTTAGGCTTTTCTCAGTGATGACCAGTGATAGGACAAGGGGTAATGGGTGCAAATTGGAGCATAGGAGGTTCAAGGTGAATATCCGAAAAAATTTTTTTACTGTAAGAGTGACAGAGCACTGGAACAGACTGCCCAGGGAGGTTGTGGAGTCTTCCTCACTGGAGACATTCAAAACCCACCTGGATGAGTTCCTGTGTGATGTACCCTAGGTGACCCTGCTCTGGCAGGGGGGTTGGACTAGATGATCTCTCGAGGTCCCTTCCAGCCCCTAAGATTCTATGATTCTATGATCTTTAATTTCACTACAGAGACCAGCAATATGCAAAGCTGATTCTTGCCTGAAGCAGATGCTGAGAAGTAGATAATGGAGCTACAGAAATGGAATTTGGCCCTTCTCTTTCACAGCACATTTTTAATGTAATTTTTTTATATTAACAACTGGTAGCAGCAAAGATGACATTACCTCAGTGGAAAATCAAACACGGAAAATAACTTAAGATCACTAATAGAAGAAGAAAGAGGGATGAAGTACTCGAGAAGAGGGCCAACATACTGGCCTTCTGAGATGCAGTGAATAGTGACATGGCCTCTGACTAACGAAAATACTGGTTGCCATACACTGAAGGTGGGTGGGCTTTTTAAGTTATTTTTATAACCATGTCTTTCAGTGTTACCAAATCAAATCATCATCAAGTTTCCAAACATGGCATTCTCCCAGGATAAGTGTCACCTCTATTTCTCCCCTTTGGAGTTCAAACGAAACCACTCATGCTTCTACAGAATATCACTGCACACTGTAACTGCATGGCAGTCACCACCAGGATACAGCTGAAAGCAGAGATACACCAGTCTCTGTGCTCACACTAGGTCCCACAAGAAGTGGTTCCAACAAAATCTGGGATGCCTGCATAGACTGCTAGTAAAAAAAATCTTGAGTACCTACTTTGCTGATAACACTGTTCAATCCTGCTCAGCAGTTCATTGTCTCAGAAATACCACTCATTAGTGATGCCTGGGTGTTATAAATTATTATTCCTATGTTAATTACACATCGAATATTAAGAAGCAATTATGTGCAGCCATGTAGCAAATCAGTTGGCGAGCCAGCAAAGAATCTGAGAGGGTATGTGGGTTGCAGTCCCACACTCTGCTTAAAAAAGCAAAACGGCACGTTGTACACTTCATAAATTCATTTTCCTCCAAACATTCTGACACTCCTCTTCCCATGCATTTCTTTCTCCAGAGAAAGAACTCTGGAGAGCATTTAACTTGTCTCCAGTGAGGTACCAGAAAGGCATTTTTCCAACAGGAACACACCAGAACAAAAGTCCTCCCCAGTATTGTGCTTCTAGGGCAGCAAAGAGGTCACACAGTAAGCTCACTACCCTGGACTTCAGGAGAGCAGACACTGGTGTCTTCTGGGACCTGACTGGGGGAATGTCATGGGATAAAGCCATGGATAGAAAAGGAGCCCAAGAAAGTTGGTTAATATACAAGGATTATTTCCTCCAAGCTCAGAAGGGATGCATCCCAACAAAAAGAAGTCAGGCAAAAACACCAGGAGGCCTGCATGGATGAACAAAGAGCTTCTGGACACAGATATAAAAGGGAAGCCTACAGAAGTTGGAAGCAAGGACAGGTGGCCTGGGAGGAAGACAGAGAAATTGTCCAAGTAGCCAGGGATCAGGTTAGGAAAGCTAGAGCCCAGAAAATTAAATCTGGCCAGGGAAATCAAGGGCAACAGGAAAAGCTTCTGTAGGTATACTGGTGATAATAGGAAATCTAGGGAAAATGTAGGCCCTCTCTGGGATGAAACAGGAAACCTGGTTAACTAGGATATGGAGAAAGCTGAGGTACTCAATGGCTTTTTTGCCTCAGTCTTCACTGGCAGGGGCTCAAGCCACACAGCCTAAGTCACAGAAGGCAAAGAAAGGAACTGAGAGAAAAAAGAACCCCTCATGGTAGGGGTAGATTAGGTTTTACCCATAAGGGCCTAAGACCTAAGGAACCCGAAGCTGCCAAGTCCATGGGACCTGATGAGATAGATTCACAAGTCCTGAGGGAACTGGTGGATGAAGTAGCTAAGCTGCTTTAGTCATATTTAAGAAGTCATGGCAGTCAAGCGACATTCCTACTGAGTGGGAAATGAGAAACATAACCCTCATTTTAAAAAGGGAAAAAAAAAGACAACCTGGGAAACTACAAGCCAATCAGTCTCACCTCTGTGCCCAGTAAGGTCATGGAGCAGATCATCTTTGAACCTAGTATGATAAGGCACATGGACAATAAGGAGGTGATTGGTTACAGCCAACACAGCTTCACTAAAGGCAGATTGTGTCTGCCAAATTTGGTAGCCTTCTATGACAGGCTACAGCATTGGTGGATGGGGGAAAAGCAACTGATGACATCTACCTAGACTTGTGCAAAACATTTTACACTGTTCCACACAACATCCTTGTCTCTAAATCGTAGAGACATGGACTTGACAGACGAATCACTCACTGGATAAGGAATTGGCTGGATGGTCACACTTAAAGAGTTGTGGTCAATGGCTCAATGTTCAAATGGAGACCAGTGAGGAGTGACATTCTCCAAGGGTAGGTACTTGGATTGGTGCTGTTTAATATCTTTGTTTGTGACATGGATGGTGGTATTGAATGCATACTCAGCAAGTTTGCTGACAACATTAAGCTGTGTGGGTTGGTCAACATGCTGGAGGGAGGGGAGACCATCCAGAGGGACCTTAACAGTCTTGAGAGGTGGGCCTGTGAAAACTGCATGAAGTTTACAAAAGGTCAAGTGAAGGCTCCTGCACCTGGCTTGGGGCAATTCCATTCACAAATGCAGGCTGGGAGGAGAATGAGAACAGCACTGAGGAAAAGGACCTGGAGGTGCTGGTTAATGGGAAGCTCAACATGAGTTGGCAATGTGCACTTGCAGCCCAGAAAGCCACCTGTGTCCTGGGCTGCATCAAAAGAAGCATGGCCAGCATGTCAAGGGAGGGGATCTTCCCCCTTACTCTCCTTCTGTCATCATGAGACCCCACCTAGAGTAATGTGTCGAGTTCTGGAGCTCCCAACATAAGAAGGACATGGAGGTGTTGGAGCAGGTCCAGAGAAGGGCCACAAGGATGATCTGAGGGCTGGAGCACCTCTCCTATGAAGACAAGCTGAGAGATTTGGGGTTGTTCATCCTGGAGAAGGCTCTGGGGAGGTACAGCGGCCTTCCAGTAACTGAAAGGGACCTACAGGAAAGCTGGGGAGGGACTTTTTAAAAAGCTATGCAGTGATAGGATGAGGGGGAATGGTCTTAAGCTGAATGAGGGTAGATTTAGATGAGATATTAGGAATAAGTTCTTTACACTGAGCATGATGAGAGACTTGAACAGGTTGCCCAGAGAAGCTGCAGATGCCCCCTCCCTGGAAGTGTTCAGTGCCACAGTGGACGGGGCTTTGAGCAACCTGTTCTAGTGACTGGTATCCTTGCCCTAAGGTCCCTTGCAACACTAACCATTCTATGATTCTATGATTTTAACTTCCCAGGTATTGCTCATGCATCTTTGCGTGATTCTCAAACAAGCTGCAAAAGAAAATTGAGTTAGAAAGGCAGATAAAAAATAGCTATTTTCAAGCATGTGCAAAATTTGCAAGGTCTAATAGGTGTCAGTTTTGCCTCTGGGAGCAGAGAATTCAAACAAACAGAAACCACAAACCTCAAAGGAAAAATAACTACAATAACTCATTCAGGTTACATCTCTTGGTGCCTCCTTACCTTTCTAGGAAAGGTCAACCAGCTCCTGGTGGATTCGATGTCAAAGCCAGCAGAAGGCTCTATAAGTGACACAGTAAAGTACCACTTGTCTTGATATTTAAACACTTCTTTGCCTCATGCCCCCTCAGCACTGAGCTGGGTATGGGCAGCCCAATGACACTCTGCTTTGTTTCTTCCCAAGTTATGGTGCACCTAGTAAGTGTATTGAATTTTACCTGCTGTTGATTTAGCTTCCTTTGTATCTCCTCAGAATCACAAGTTTCATAGATGATAGGTTTAGACAGCTCTGACTCAATGTGGGCAAGCCAAGATCTTAGGCTACTCATGTTTTTATCCAGCTGCTGCACTGCAACAAGTGTCTCCTTCAACTTCTTTATCCTGTAAAGAAAAAGAAACAGCACTGTAAGTACACCCTGAAGGAGAATTTCCACAGTCTGCAATTCACGAAACTTTCATAGAAACTCAAGTGAGATAGTAAGTTCTATTCTAATGTCTTCCTTCATTACGTAACAGAAGTATATTAAATGTGCGAATAGTCCCACATTTATAGGTTCCACTTAACAAAAACTAAGAGATTACTAATGCCAGACAACATTTTAAAAGCTTCTGTATCTTTATCAGTTGAGTTAAATGTTTGCTAAGAATGGAAAACTTTTTTTTAAGGGACACACATACGCCAAAGCCCCAAAACAATCTAAGTAATCTAGTTGTGTGTTTGACAACAGATGACAAAAGTTCTTCTCAGACTACAAATAATTTATCCCTTTAACCAGTACTTGTGGTGGAGCGCACTGAGTGAAAGATCTTTTTCACCTGGTGATTTCTAAACATTAAACTACATATCATGTAGTGGTTTGAGTTGGAAAGTGCCTTTAAAGATCATCTAGTTCAACCCCCTGTGCAACGATAAGGGACATCTTCAATCTACCACTTCCCTTGGGAGACTATTCCAATGTTTGATTGTCCTCATGGTGAGAAATTTACCTCTTGCATCCAACTGGAATCTCCCCAGGGGCAACTTGTGCCTGTTACGACTTGTCTTTTCCATGTGATTCCTTGTAAATAGGGAGTTTCCTACTTCTTGGTAGGTACCCTTTCAGTACTAGAATGAGGTAATAAGGTCTCCTCAAAGCCTTCTTTTCTCAAGGCTGAGTAAACCCAGTTTTCTCAGCTTCTCCTCATATGGCAGGTCCTCCAGTCCTCTGGCCATTCTTGTGGCCCTTCTCTGAACCCTCTCCAGCCTGTGTGCATTCTGAACTGTGCTCCTGGGTTATGTGTTCCCAGGTGCAAGACCTTACACTTCTCTCCATTGAACTTCTTAAGGTTCCTGCTAGCCCACTCCTCCAGTTTGTCTAGGTCATCCTGGAGGGTGGTTCTCCCTTCTTCAGTGTCAGTCTCTCCAATCATCTTGGTGATGTCAGCAAATGTCATCATGGTGCTCTTGATCCCAACATCCAGGTCACTTAGTAAGATGTTAAACAGCATTGGGCCCAATATGGATCCCTGGGGAATCCCACTTGTGATTGGCTGTCAGTTTGAGAAGGAACTATTTACTGTCACCCTTTGGGTATGGCCTGCCATTTCCCCACCCACCACACAGTAATGAGTTGGTTTCTCTAGGAGGAGGCCCCTTTTATGCTTCTACTCCCTTTTATGCTTCTATTGCTCTTCCACTTAAGTATTTCAGAATCAGAAAACTTTTAGAGATTAGTGGAGCTGGGAATAGACTGACTGAATTGTGTTGAAAAACACAAGATAGCCAGAATCATCAAATGAACAGAAAGTCACCTGACTATCCCATGATTCAAACAGAATAATTGACATTTTTTCCAGAATACTAGCCAGCAAATTTATCAAGTATTTCCACATTTAAAGTAGTAATTGCAGCTGACCATTAAGAGTCAAATATGGCTGTCCTTTTCTTGCCAGAGAAATGCAGAGATCTTGATGTCAACTTAAAAAATTTAAATATTTTAAATTTTTGTCTCTTTCTAGCTCTTTCTTTCTTTAGATTGCAAATGGTCAAACTGTGGCTCTTCAGCACCAAAAATACTTAAGAACAGTTTTAATGCATTTTTTTTGCCATAGTCTTATGACCAGCAGCTGCAGGGTTGTGATCTGAAAAAGAATCCTGGCAAATGGAAAAAAATCTTGGTAATCGGAAAATCTGGCGATGAAATGACCAAAGTCAACACAGTCCTGCTGACAGGCTGCCCCAGTGTCCATGTTCAGGTTATCCTGAAACACTGTGTGTTTAGCCTTGGAGAGATACCAGAACAACCAATGTCTGGGGGCACCACCTCCTCCTCACCTATGGCTGTACACACAGTGTTTTGTTTGTTTGAACCAATTGAAACTTGCTCATAGAGATGGGCAAGAAGGTTGTTTATTACTCTTCCAGAACTCACATACAGATTTCAGTCTCTGACACTAATTAAGAGGAGTGAAATCCTGCCCATTCTCTGCTTAGATTTTCAAGACTGGATGCTGCTGATCCTTTGCAGGCATGCTGGAGTGACAAAGGGAAAAATGAGTCATGTCAGCCCTGTGCAGAAGCAATGTCACTCTACTATTTGCAAACCTAAACTACAGACCAGGCTCTTCTTGTTTGCAACTGCAGAGTAACCTAACTTCTGTAATGGATTTTATTTACATTTTGCCTGCAACAACTGACAAAGGGCCTGTAATTTAGAAAGTGCTCCCTTTGCCTCAAGCAGACTGCATAGGAAAACATCCCTGCCAGCACAACAAACAACTCTGGCCCAAGTTGAGCTATTTTCAGTCACATGACCTAAGTTACTCAAGAAAAATAAAAAAGTGTATAAAAAATATTAAAAGAACACTCCAACTAAACAAAAAAACTACTGCTAAATCCTCCCTCTTGCTGAACTGTTGCAACTCCTTGCAGCTAAATTCCAGAAGTTTAAAAAGAAAAAAAAAAAAAAAAAAAGGATATCTCTCTTCCCATCTGCTGCTACATTTACTATTAACACTGTTCTTTTTTTGTACTGAGTATAACATGACAGGTTCCTTGCCCATGGTACAAATAGAAGCAAATAAACAAATGCTTCTTGGAGTAGGCTCGGCTTCTTCTCTTTTTTTTTTTTTTTTGACTGAACTGCAAAACAGTGTTGTGCCTTTAGCTGTTTTGAAAACCTATCTGCAAACAAATAAAAGATGCAATCTATCCTGCCTAAAAGTTTTCCTTCTGAATTTCAGCAGGCAAGATGCCTAAGCTCTTCATCTCACTGAATACTGTGCCTATGTGTGAATAATTACATAATGTGTGTGTAACAGAATAATCTCTCTGTCTTAAAAATATAACAGCTCAAAATCCTCTTTCCACACTAATGGGGGGACCTAAGAGCTAACAAAACTAAAATCTCTGATTAGAGACACAAAGGTCAAATTATAAACCATTCCAAGTATGTGGCATCTCTAGCCAACTATAATTTTGATCTTTTGAGATTTCATTTACAAGATTAAGTTTAAACAGTTAATTATTCAAATGATAATCTCATGCTTTTGATTCAGCACTATGCATGTTACTGAGAGACTTGAGATAACTCCTCTCCTTGATAATGAAGATTCAGCATTGAAATCAATGGGTCAGACCCATGATACAGTTGTTTTAATGATTATTTTTTATATAACACGCAGAGTCTTGCTGCATATCACAAATGTTTGAAACTCTCAAAGAAAATACTACAGAGTTAAATTGGGTTGTTTTTTTTTTTACAGTTTGCTGACAAAAATTAATCTGAAAATTTGAATGGGTTTATGGTGCTTATGCTTCCATGTTCCTTTTACTGTACCTCAGTTTCCCCAATAAAATAATAACTTTCAAATGTCTATTTTATATTAAGGCAGTGGGAGAAGAACCAGGAGCTGAAATTTAGCACAAACACCTTTAATTCAACTAGTCCTAAATTAGATAGCCTTAGATTCCACTTAAACCTAAAGAGGAACAAACCTGTAGATACATAACAATGCATCATATAGAATTCATAGCTACTGCATTAGTCATTTAGACAGCTGGTTACTAATATTAAACTGAAAAAGCAACACGAAAAAGTCAGTAAGAGCACATTAACTAAGTCTGTACAAAGCCAGCACAAAGCAGTAAAGTTTGGGTTTTTAAAACTCTACTCAGAACTAGAGAGAAATTTTCAAGAAACACTCACTATATAAGTAAATGAAAAATATTACACTATTAAAATAAGTTTTAAAAAATCAGTTTAAAAATAATATTTTCATTAGTAAAAAAGATTTCTTGTCCAAACTACAGCACTACTGCATATCAGGACACTACTATCACTGGTTATACTTGCTCTTCAGATTAGTTTCCCCTTTCACAGATTGAATTTCTAGAACTCTGAACAACAGCAACACTTCTAGAAAAGATAACGTGAAGAGGGAAAAGGACAAGCCGAATCAATAATCCAATATTATATAGGTTGAGTTCAAATATAACATACAGGTAGAAAATAGACATTAATGCGTAAGGCTTCAATAAGTTAAGTCTGAAATACATTCTTTACAGCCTCTCTCCTTCTCTGCCTTTGCTTGTGGCCATGCCCCTTTGATGACATGAACACTGGAGCAGACAAATACAAAGTCTGCTCTCTCTCATGTGCATACATGCTCTTGTATTTAAAAGCAGCAGTAAAACCAGTCTACAGCTTCTTTCAGACAGCTAAGAGATTTTACTAGTTCTAAGTCTGGATCAGTAACCAATACATATTCTGGAAGCCAAAAGTACTAGCTGTAAAACAAAGTCTGCTGTTAGCACTGTCACCTATTTTTAAACTGAGCACAAAACAGTAATTTCTAGCTAAGGTAGTGATTTCTACATATCAGTATTTCAATTGAGTTTCCAAGCAAGCCAAGACTTCAGAAAGAGCTGTATCAATCAAAATGAAACAAAAATTGCTGCCTGCCTTGTGATATCACAATTACAGTCTGGGAGATCTGAATCCACACTGCCGTCCTCCGCCATCCTCACAGCATGCAAGTCCTCTGCCACCACCATGAAGTTTTCCAGCATTAAAAAGAAGAACTTCCACTCCAAAAGCCTGCAAACACTGTGCTTTGGGTGGGGGGAGGAGGGGGGGCACACTTCTCTTTGCTGGTGAGTACTGTACAGAAAATGCTGCAAGCCAAACAAATGTTAGCAGCCGTTGCTTGATAACATGAGACTGAATGGTGACAAGTGGTCATGCTTCTAAATAAAACTTGCATTCATCAACATGTGCCATACTTGATCTCAAGGAATGTGGACTGTGAGTGCTAGGGGCAGGGATGAAAACACACACAAGAAAACCTTCTATGCAAAGCCTGAGCAGTTGCAGCAATGGCACTGATTCCTGGCTGTAAACATCTGCAACATTTTTTGTACCAGGCTGACATATCAGAAAAATTAATCTGAAAGGATGAACATGTTCTGGAAAGACAGAAACAGAAGTCTCTGATGCAGAGACACAGCTATCTTTCTTTCTGTGGCTGTTTATTCTGCAGTTACAGACCTCCTTGGAATGGAGAGTCAATTAAAAATAAATAAATAAAAATAATAAAAAAAAAGGTAAGAATACAGAATGTGAGAAAGGGAGAGAGAGACAGAGAGGGGCAGAGAAACACACACACACACAGAGACAGAGAGAGAGAGACAGAGAGGCAGACTTATAGGTGAATGGAGAAATTCCACCGCACAGCAGAAAATCAGCAGGTGAAGCCTCAGACTAGATGTTACTGAAGCATTTTCAAAGAACACTTGATTTGTTTGCAGATGTAGGAACTAAGCAACTAAGAGACATCCTCCAGGCAAAGGATGACTGTAGCTTTGCAGAAAAGCATGCAGGCTCTAGTAATTTATTAATGCTGTCAGGAAACCAGAACATGAAAAGATGTGTTCTATTCTCAACACCAGAACAATTAATCTACATTTACTAGCTAAGTGCAGCCAACATAATGTATGATCCATTCCAAACTCCAAACTATAACAACATATTCTAAAGACCCTCTGGAGCCTTCTAAAAATTATCTTTGGGGATGAAAAAATCCCTTTTGTCCAGTTGGATCAGACATCAATTTCAAGTACTTTGTACACACATTAATCAACAACTTGGGCTTAACTGCTATCAGCCTAAGATACAGCTGAACTAGCAAAATTTTCACAACCTAGCATCAAATCTCTCCACCATTTACTTCCCAGCTGCAGCAATTCAAGTTCAAACTTTGCAGCTTTTTTTCACTTCACTAAGCACTGGAATGGAAAGAATATGTTTCATTGCATATCATAGTACCAAGCGAGCTAGTTGAGAAGGTGAAGTTGAAATGAACTGAAAATAGACGTAAATAAATATTTAACATAAATTACTTCAGAACTAGGACTTGACACCCTGCTTCAAGGTAACAGAATGAGAAAATGTAAGTGTATAATATTGCAGTTTATATCTCCCCACTCCAAGAACGACACAGAATCCTGAACCTCACCTGTCCCTATAGCGGTCAGTAACCTCTAATCCTGAATAGACAAGATAGTCTTTTAAAGATGAGTTTCACAGTTTCTAAATGCAATTGCTTTCACTAGAAAGATGCTGAAAGTATTATTTGAACATTTGTCTGAGTAGGTGTTATAAAAGACAAACAAAAATACAGCAAATACACTTCATGTTCAACAACTAGTGAGGTATCACATCCTCTGAAACTAGTAGGCTCCTAGACTGTAATGCATCACTTCCTGACTTAATTGTTCTGTCAGAAATATACCATGTTCATTACTTTAAAATGAACCACCATTAAAGGAGCTAGAGCCACCAGAATACTTCTGTTTACATAAAATGTACTGCTCCCATGCAAACAGATTTCAGAGTGTGAATGCAGGAAAATCATATGAAAAAAAATGGACATAAAAAGACAACAAAAGTAAACAAACCCTTTTACTTCTACAATGACTACAATGTTACTAATTCATGTGTCATCACATAATTGCAAAATATAAAGTATATGTACACTTGATGAAGTGCAAATTTGTGACAAAATTATTGTTGGTAAAGGACGAGAGCCTGTAGCACAACTCTACAGAAAGTATTCAAATAAATAAACTATTTTCTTCACATTTTGAATCCTGCATTTCTGCAATTTATGAAAATTGTTGTTATATTTTTTTGACCTTGAGTACAAAGAATCTTTAAGCCAAATGTGCACAGGTCTACTTGCAGTTTTTCATCAGTGAAAAAATAATCTGACTGCAACCGAACCTACATTGTTCTAGCAGATAATGTTTCAAATTGACTCTTCTGGAAGAGATTATATCAGATACTGTAAAGCAAAACAGGAAGGTGAATTTCACAGAAATGTGTTGATGGTTAAGAATAAACTAATTTCACAGTTAATGATTAAAAGACAGACAATAAAAAGATTTTAAATTAATGACATCCACCATATTAATTTGTCTCACATAGCACTTAGAAACACAACAACTGTTACCTGGCTGCAATAAGATCTAGAAGATGTTGCCACCTGTCATTGATCTTTCCAAGTTTGTACTCAATTTCTAATGCCTTACTCTCATGGCTGGCTTTCGCAAGTCGCTCTCCCATTTGCTGGAGCTGGATTTTGTTCTGCTGGGCAACAGCAATTTCCTCTTGATAATCCTGGGCAGAAAAGAGAGATCAGAAGTCAGGGTACTTATTCTGAGTATACCCTGCTCTGCACTACTAAAGGAACCATACAAAAATACAAGCCATTGTTTTGGTGATTGATACAGTGGAGAGACAACATCTTAACTAACAGGTGCATAACCACAAACAACTTTATCCAAAAAATGAAAAAAAAAACCCACAACAAACAAAGAACCCAAAATGCAATGCCTTCTATAAATACATCTCCTACAGTTAATTACAGGCAATTCTGACTGAACATTTAGCAAAGCATTCAGATGCCTTTGACTTGGCGCTCACTAAGTTTTTTGGTATCCTGGGAGGTCCTACCTCAAGACAGACAGGAAAATGCTGCATAGCGAGAGAACACAGACAGTCTTACTGTAATTTATAAACATCAGTGTAAGGTCAAACATCTTTTTCAGTTAATTCAGTATCCTGTTTGCAACACAAAATAAGTAAGCCGTTAAGAACAATATGTAAGCATACATGTACTGCACTATACCTTTTTAAGTTTCTCAATCATTTCTTCTATGAGGATGTCTCCATTTTGAGAAACCTTACTTTCCATTTGCGTCAGCCACTCACAGAGCTCCTTGTTCTTCTCACTGAAGACAGCCCACTCATTCAGTCTCTCACTAACTTGTTGTCGACGTAATGAGAGCTTAAAACATTTGCAGAGAGTAAATAAACACAAAACAGCAAATGGATTTAAGAGATGCTCAAAACACTTTGTGGCTCAGCGTGAACTCCTCTCCTCCTACAACAGTGTTCCAGCCACTTGCTATTGAAACAAACTGGAGTTGTACTGCAAAAACTTTCTGTGACTCTCTGAGTTTAGAGGTGTTAATCTCGGGTTTCCTGTTAGCTACATCTTTTGCATAGAGAAACACATTCAAGCATTATGCACAGTAGCCTGTCAATATCTTGTTTTATAATGTCTCTAACCCAAAGGTGTCATTAGAAGACAAAAATTAAACTTTCTTACTATTTTTGCTCACTTATAAAATGTTACAAAGTAGATTGATAGTTTTGTTTTAGTCCAAGAGATAAAAAAAAAATGGAAGATGTAAATGCTTGACCCGAAACCAACAAATAGATATATACATAGCACAGGCCAAATGACTATGTAATTTGCGCATGATTTGTTAGTACAAAGCTACATCAAAGACATGCTGCATTTTGTAGAAGTAATTTTCTGCTTGAGTCCCAATACACTCATTTCACAGATTACTATTTCTCCTGAATAGGCACAACACCCTGTGAGATTCCAAAGGACTGAGGTGTGTCCTGATAGGGAAAAATAGACATAAAACATCAAAGAGGCAAATGCCATAGTTAAGAAAAACATTGCTATGTTTAAAAAATTGCTATAGCAGTGGTACCATTTCAGATTGTGAATAGTAACAGACAAAGATGGATGTTGAAATAAAAATAGCAGCAGAGAGTGAGCAACAAAGTCATCTCTCCAGTTTCAGACATTTGCACAACTACTTGCTTCTTCCCCATTGTAATCTGCATTGTTTCTAACTTGACATCAGCATTTCAGTTGAGAAGATGAAGATTGCATCTGCTCTTTCATAAACAAAAGTGATGTCCTCTTTAACTACTGTGTTAGGTTTAAAAGGGGCATACACATGATCTTGCATTTCCTTTTTGCGGTTCTAAACCTGGTGGCAGCTTTCCGGACATAAGCTACAGTTGAACAAAGTACCAGGTTACATCCTGTAACATTCAGTATGCACAAAACTAATAAAACTCCTTTGCTTGGCTCACTTCTTTACCATAAACATGTATTCAGTGAGTATAGTTTAGGTGTATCTAAATTGGCACATTCAAACGCAAGTAACTCATCACAGGTTAACTGTGAATCACCTTTCCTACTTTGGGGGCATTTTTGAAACCTTCACAGGTACCTTACACGATGTAACTGTTTCAAAATTAGCCCTGGTATTTCTGGGCTACAAGCTCAACTAAACCACAGAAATAACATGAGGATAATCCAAAAAGTTGGGTGCGGGAGACTCCACTACCTGGATTTCTAAGTGCAAAATGAAGGCAAGAAACACTAGCAGCATGATGCACCTGAAACTTCAAACAATACTCTTCAGCTCATTTCACAGCCAAGCAAGTCACCCTCAGACTAAGAGAAATGCAAATACCAATGTCTGAAGAAACAGAAACTATCAGCAGAACTGAAAGGTACAAAACAGTAATGTTGAAAGGATATCCTTTCTAATCACAGCTCCTTCACCAAAGCACAGTAGGCTGTATCACCTTACTTTTTTTTCCCATCCAGTCATGCCACGGTTCCACAGCACACTGTGACATTTTTGTTGTTTTTTCAATGCTGCTTTAATATTATTTCACAGCCAAGAGAAAGTTCAAGAGATTGGAAACGCTACTAGTAACAAAAAACACATCAATGGATGGTTTCCCTGATTCAGAAAGACTTCAGGTTTTAATCTGAGTGTGCCTCTGCATCTCCTCTAAAAGTTACCACTTGCATTCCATTTTCCTCCCAACACTTCTATAACCTCCATAACTACATCAGTGCTCAGTACTATACTTGCCTGGTGGCACAGCTCCTCCCACTGTCTGTGCAGAAGCTCTATGCGCTCACTGAGGATTGAGATGTCATCTGCGCTGATAGACATAGACAGGGTCTCCTTCAGCAGAGAGAGGTGTGCAAGGTCATCTGTCCATCCTTCAACTGCATTCTCTAACTCCTTAAAAGGAGTGCATACAGGAAAAAGATCAGTTGAGTAACAAAAAATTGCATGTGTTAATGAAGAACAAATATAAGCATCATTATCCCACTGAATTAGTCGTAGCTTGAGACCCACCATTTCAAGCAGATTGTTTCAGCCATATATGTACCAATTTTTTCAATTATGAGAGAGGTAACTCCCCAGCAGAGAATGACACATCTACCAAGTAGTCACAAACTAATACTGTACTTAAATCTCTCAAATGTTCAGAGGTATTTGAGAATTCCAAGCATTGGTTTGGACTTCTCTGTATTGAAAATATTTTCAAGTTATCATCTATTTCGAAACTGCAAAGAATATAGCATAAAAGTGCTGTCTAAGATACCCTACAGTAATCTTACCTCAAATAAAAAACACTAAAGAAAAGTTTAGATACCAATAGTTTAAATTTGAAGTTGGAATTTCTATAATAAAAGCACACCAGTATTTAGCACTTCTACAGTACTTTTCAGACCCTGTTCTGATCTTGTTTTGATCAGATCTGTATTTACCCAGCAGGATTTGCTTTAAAGTGAGATCACTCAGATATTATCCTGTGCAAATGTTACACGGATAGCTTCTTGTGACAGGGACGCTGACTGGCTTGCATAGTCAGTAATTTGAGGCCTGTTAACAATGGAATAAGTCACTGTGCAAAGGCAAGCAAAGATCACAGAATCACACAGTGATAAGCGTTGGAAGAGACCTCTAAAGATCTAGCCAACCCCTCTGCTAGAGCAGTATCACTTACAGTAGATTACACAGGAACGCATCCAGGCAGGTTTTGAATATCCTGAGAAAAGGAGATTCCACAACCTCTCTGGGCAGCCTGTTCCAGTGCTCTGTTACCCAAAGATGAGACATCAACAGAGAACAAGTGCTGTACCTTGCATCGAATCTGCTCAGTATGCAACTCATCATGGTGTTCTGGCAAAGGCTGAGAAAGCTTTTTTTTGAATGATCTGAGCTTCTCCAGGGAGTCTCCTATGCCCTTTTCGCATTTTTCCCAGTCCTGTATTGTAGGGAAAATGTTTATTAGACTTCAATTCAGATCTGGATTATTCTTGTGTTTATTTGCCTAACTAATCACTAAAGAGTGAAAACTTATTCATAATAATAACTTGCCCTGAACTTAATTAATAACAATATCCCCTGAAATCCCTCTCTAAACAATATTCAGTCTCAAAGCCTGAGTCATGTGTAGAACTGTTTCAAGTTGGGGGTTTTTTTGTGTCTAGGTGTCTGGTAGCAGAAGTACACAAGCCAAAGCCTCCTGTTATTACAATATTGTCTAGATCCAAGACCATCCTTTCAAAAAAGCCTGTTCCTGCAAAAGTTATTTCCCATTTCCTTTCTTGAATGTCTGTATTAAACACATCACTGTTTTCTGACAACAGCTCCATTCAGGGGGGAAAAAAAAAAAAAAAGTACCTCAAATTCAAGTCAGATTAAAGTACCTGCACTATCTCCTCTAATTTATGATTCTAGATCTACACCAGATTTAGCTTTTTTATACTTTCCAAAATTTTCAATGTGCCAAATGCAATCAAACCATACCATTCACCATGTGACAGTATGGTTTTACCTGCCTCACCTGCTTCTTAATAGCCTATTAAAAAGGTATGTAGACAGAAAGATCTCTGTCAACCCATGAAGAATGACAGTTGTGATACCAGAAATTGCAGAACTTGTTTCTCTTAGTATTCTTTTTCAATATATTCTTCTTCTACCACTGCAATTGTATTTCTATTCTATTTTTTTCCAATCTATGCCAGTATTTCATTATCACCTTCAGGACAGAGAATTATAAACAACAGGTCTTGTGGAAAAACCCTCTCATTAGTGTCTTCTTTCTTCTGTCCTTAGTAAGTAATGTGACCTTACATGACATAGTCTGCAACGTTCTTAATGCAATACATACTCTTCTAAAATACACACTTGTGCTTCCCATTTGGTCAGAAGATCACTAAAAGTCATATATTTAAGACCAATATAGCATAATTTAATGAAAGCTCAATATCTATGAGACAATTTAGGCAGTCTGCATTATTATTTCCCTATTACAGCACCTTCAAGCATTAACTTCCATATTTTCATTGTGGCAAAATACCACAGAACCATTAGTCTCCCCGGATAACAGCTTTCATGGTTAAAATTTCCTCACATAGTTCCCCTACTAGAAGCCAAGGTACAGGGAAGAGGACTTGAAAGAGGAAGAAAAATTCACTTATCTGAACTTTTAAAATATAATATTTCATTTTCTTGCACCATGTTGCATCTTACTATTTACAAACACAATTAGTGTCTGTAATTCTATTAGGTCTCTGAAATTATTCTAAAAGCACTTGGCCTATTCTGTTAATATGCACAAGTCCATTTTTCATCACCTCCCTTGAAGAAGAGAAAAAAACAAGCAGTCCAAATTTAGATTCCAGGTCATCACCTTCAGTACTTAAGAGTGAAGTTAGCAGGCATTCTGGACATGGCTTACATCAAAATAAAGTTCAAGGCTCTCCCTTCTGCAACATGGAATTTTATCTAAATTCGCAAATACATAAGACACTGGAACGAAACACAGACTAATATACTATTAGGTAGTTCTTGACATTGGCATATAGAAGGAATCAATAGAGTAAGTATAAAAATTAACCAGCACTGTGCAAAATAAAATACATTTTTGCTGTATGTTGAACACAGGACTGGAATACCCTGAATTGTCAATGTTCTGAAAATATCAGTTAAAATATATCAACTAACATACAAGCCTACTGTAATACTGCTCCTAATTTCAGAGGAGGTGAAATGAAATAAAGAGCTCATGTAGTGTGCATGAAATTCCTGTATTTGTGCTTATCCTTTGGACAATGCTTTTTTTCAACAGAGTTCAACAGTGAGAAACCACAAACTTATTGAAGAAGTACAGAAGAAACAACACACTTACTTTTAGTAGTAAAGCAAGCTGTTTCTTTTGTTGCTCCAGTTGGGTGCTGGCTATCTTCCAGTGGTCCTGAATTTCGGTAAGCTCTGTCTGCAGGGCTGCCTCAGCTCCACTGTCAGCACAGAGCAGCAGTTGCTTCCCAGCTTCCACAGTGAGGATATAACTCCCCTGCTGCCTTAGAAGAACTTTCTCTTTAAGCTGAAAATATTAAGTCTTCTGTCACCTTTGTATTTTTAATCACAATTAGCAATTCACTACAATTCTTTCTCAACCCCATACTTTAATTGATTGCACACCCTGGCATAAACACAAGCTACTGTTCAAGTGCTTTACCTTAACCTTTTCACAATCATGTACTGCAGCAGACCTTGAGAAGATTTCTCCAAGGAGATAAAGACATGAAAGGCTTCTTTCTCCCCATTAGCATCAGTTTCCCAATTGCTCTTAAAGAGCAATAGTTCCCCTATAGCCTATTATGCTTATAAGCTTTATTATTATATATATCTTCCAGCTAAACAGCTTGAAGACACCAACCTGCTAAATAGATACTGTTAACCTCACATGAAGTTGGACACTAGAGGTATCTTTTTGTGCTAGCTAGGATACATTTCTCCAACAGGACATGACTGTGTTTTTCAAGACAGTTTCAGTGTGATGTTAGCTACAAAGCAAAAACAGAAGCAAACAAAGCTCTGTGGAGAGGGCCCAGTAAATTCTCTTGGGCAGGGTTGCCTGCCCTTTAAGTGCAACTTCGTTTCCATCCCACTGCTGCTTCTGAGGCTGAGACCCAAAGACGAAGTAGCATCCAGTACTGCTTTCTGCAAACCAGTCTGAATCTAATACATTTTAAAGAATTTTTGAAATGATTAAGGCTGTAAACAGGTGAGGTATTTTTCCTCTTTCTTCAAACACACTGGACATACCTGTACTTCATCCAGTAGTGCTCTGGCCTGCTGCAGTGGGATAGGAACGTTGCCGAGCCCACTCACAGACTGACAGGATATTTCCACCAGCCACTTGCGCAACTTCTCTGCCATCTCCCTATAGCGCTGCCACTGGTAAATTTGGCTGTCAATGATCCCCCTCCTCTGCTGTGCCCGGCGAATTACTCCTTGCCATTGGTTACTTAGAAGAGTCAGCTTCAGATTAAATTCATCCCTGTTATAAAAAGATAAATAAATAAATAAAAGTACATATTAACCTTCAGACTTTGATCTATTGGCTTAATGAAATAAACTGAAGGGAAAAGGAGTATGTTTTCTGGCTGTCAGTTAGGAAATACTGGGAAAAAAAAGCACCAAAATCCCATGATAGCTGACTGAGAATAAGAACTTCATATTTCATGTACTGGGACAAGCACTGGGCCCCAGTTATTGAGACCTTAAAGAACCCAAGCCTTTAAGGCACAAAACTCTTCTGTGTTTATTTCTGGGGGATGCCAGAAAATACACAGGCTTTGCAGTTTGGCTTAGCCAAGCTCATAGTAAATCTCAGATTTCACAGTTCACCTGCAGATTTACTACTGAGCTCAAAGCAGGCATAAGACATACACAGAATGAAGAAAATTCTCATATTCAAATAAACAGTTTGTCTCATTTTAGGACTGTGATACCCTTAGCAAAGTCAATGCATATGCACAAGTGGGAAGTCTTTCGCTAATTTTTCTTTGATCACAAGCATTTAAAAGAAAATCCCAGAGAGCAATTAATTCCTATTCCATCACATTTAGGATGCAGGTGTTCTTATAAAGCAGAATGGAATCCTCTTGGTAGAGGGAAGTCCCCAGCTAGCATAAATTAAGTGTAACTTACTAAGTCTGTCAGGCTCCTTTAGTAAAACGGATATTTTGAAAGTACATCACAATATGCATATATGTAACATGCTTGGTAACCCAAGACAAATCTTTGTCAGAGAAGAAACCTCAAGGCTGTCATATTCCCAAATGCATTCACACATTCACATACCCCTCAGCATCTTAAAGAACACTGTCATATTAAGAACTGACTAATTAACACCTTAATCTCAGATATAGTAACTTCCATTTCGGAAGAGTACTGGGACAAGCACTGGGCCCCAGTTATTGAGACCTTAAAGAACCCAAGCCTTTAAGGCACAAAACTCTTCTGTGTTTATTTCTGGGGGATGCCAGAAAATACACAGGCTTTGCAGTTTGGCTTAGCCAAGCTCATAGTAAATCTCAGATTTCACAGTTCACCTGCAGATTTACTACTGAGCTCAAAGCAGGCATAAGACATACACAGAATGAAGAAAATTCTCATATTCAAATAAACAGTTTGTCTCATTTTAGGACTGTGATACCCTTAGCAAAGTCAATGCATATGCACAAGTGGGAAGTCTTTCGCTAATTTTTCTTTGATCACAAGCATTTAAAAGAAAATCCCAGAGAGCAATTAATTCCTATTCCATCACATTTAGGATGCAGGTGTTCTTATAAAGCAGAATGGAATCCTCTTGGTAGAGGGAAGTCCCCAGCTAGCATAAATTAAGTGTAACTTACTAAGTCTGTCAGGCTCCTTTAGTAAAACGGATATTTTGAAAGTACATCACAATATGCATATATGTAACATGCTTGGTAACCCAAGACAAATCTTTGTCAGAGAAGAAACCTCAAGGCTGTCATATTCCCAAATGCATTCACACATTCACATACCCCTCAGCATCTTAAAGAACACTGTCATATTAAGAACTGACTAATTAACACCTTAATCTCAGATATAGTAACTTCCATTTTGGAAGAGCACTGTCTGAACACTGACATCTGCTGTCTTCTCTGTTTGGAAGTCCCTTACTAGTCTTTACTTCCCACAACCAGCAGCAGCAATAACACAGGAATGTCTACCTGTCATCCACCTGTCCTTGATCCAGGAGGTGCTGCCCATCAGAGATAATTGAATGCAAAATCTGCTGGCGGCTGAACATCTCTGCCTGGAATAGCTGTTGTACAGGAGACAAGGATGTTAAAACAAGATCTTTCGGTGATAAGTTATTTCTAAGTGAGGTCACTGAGGTGGCTGAGGTCCTCTTTGGCTAAACACCAGCGAAGTTATGAGTAAGCACTGGAAAGCTGATAACAGAGCTGGAGGCATTTCAATATCCATTCTGCAAATGCATGTGTAAACAGATTATGTTCTCATTATCTTAAAAAATAGTAAGCAAAACAATCTGAAAATTCATCTCAAGAAGTTAGATTTGACCCTTTAAGCTGCAGGGAGTGGGAGGAAATTCTTCATTAGTATCAAGGGGCACTGTAATGAACACAGAGTACTGAATACATTTGGATCGCATAAAATGTCGAAAAGCTTTAGGAAAAAAAAAAAGGGGAGGGGGTGTTTATAACATTTACTTAGAATGAACTGCAGTACTTAAAAATCAGATCTTAGTTCTCTAAATTCTGAGAGATTATTTTGAGTTGTAATAAAAAAGCTTCAACAGAATGTCTGAGTAACACTCATCTGAGCTAACTGCTCAGATCAAGGTTTCAGGAGAGAATTAAGCTGAGGACTCAAGACAATTGAATGCAAGAAGATTGCCATTAGCCTCTTTCAAAAAATTATAGCTATGACTGAACTAAACAACAGTAGGAAATTATCCACTTAGATAGTAATGCCTTCTGGACATTTAAATCTCAAAACCCTGAGATGTCTCAATTTACAAGGACATGGTCCATTTAATGTTGGCAGCACTGAGAGGAAATGAAACAGATGACATTTGTGAAAGCAAAGCCATTTAAATGCTAAAGTAAATGTATGTTAAAGCAAGAAAAAGAGTTATGAATTACTTTCAGCTATCAGACATTCATCCAAACACTATTCTTTGAGATGCAAGGCAAGGGAGGGGAAGGACATGACTTGCCCTATGATCTGGCCTGAGTCTATGGGTAGGTCAGATGAAAAAGTTGTGGGAACTGAAACTACTGTGGCCACATGGGAGCTTTGGTCTGAAAATGGACTTGTCTTGTTTGATCTTTACCAGGATTCTTGGCAGTAACAATATGGGTGGAGAAAAAAATGCACATCACTTGCCTTCACTGAAGAATCATAAATGCAAACTCTAGTATAAACTCTGCATCAGGTTTTTTCTGCAGCAAAAGCTGGGCTAGATTTTCATTTGTTACTAACAGACAAATAATTCCAATACACACCAAAGATCAGATCAGTTTGTTCTTGAAGGAAATGTTACTAAATGAATGCCCCATGATGAGTTATTTAACTCAATATTTGACTGAAAAGCCTTCCTTTAACATGCTCTTCAGATGCTATATATGTTGACAATTTAAAAGCAAATAAACAAAATCTGAATAAACTGAAATAACAGAGATTTTTTCCAGATAGGACTGAAGTCAAAGGGCTAAATTGCATGGGGAAAGTTAGGTTTTACTGTTTACTACTCATAGGTATACTGATACATATGTATGTAGACAAATGCAGACAGATACTCAAGTCCTCCCCCAAACTGGGTATTAGTGACATATTTGCATGCTTTTAAGTCTAGATATGCTCAGACAGTGCAAGCAAATGTAATTCAATTGAAGGCTTACTACTGTATTACCCATAAAAGAATGTGCATTCCATAAATAGTAGGTGTTGTAGTTATGTATAAATATGTACATGATGTATACATATATGTATAAATATATACATGATGACTTGCCTCATGTGCCCTTTGTTGCTCTAAAAGGCTCTCGTAGTTTCCTGAAATCTCTGCTGCCAGCTTCTGCTCAGTCTGGACTAATAAATCCATCCAAGTTTCACATTTCTCCAAGAAGGTCTGCTGCTGCAGCATGAAAGACTGCAGCTTACTGAAACAAAGAAAAATGGACTCAGGTAAAGTCTCTGCCTCTCACACACAGTGTTAAGAGCCTTGAAATAACTTTTCCAGCAGAATTCCAAATCAGCTGGGAAGATTTTTCCCACTCAGCTGCCTCATTCAATTTATTTACTCAACACTGAAAAGTAGCAGTCTTCCTCATTTCTAATCTTTACTTAGAAGTACACCAAAGAAAAGGAGATTTGGTTAATGAAGTATCTGAGATGTCTTCTATATTCTGCAAAAGGTATACTTTCTAGCTGTTGTAATGTAAGAAAACTATACAACAATCTTTAACTATCCCTACCTGAATCTCTCCATAGTCTGAGATGAGATCAGAGACCACCGTCTGTTCAGGTTCTGCATCCTTTTGATTTCTTTGTCATTCAGAGGAAGCCTGTAACCCAGCTCATTAAGACGGTCCAAATCTGGTGCCATGCTGCTGAATTTCAACATCTGACTCTGCAACAAACAATAAACGTGGTAACTAGGAAGTTCAGTAATTACTCTTACAGATGGAAAAATTAAGAACTAGCACTCGGTTAGATTTGGAATGGCCTTGGTTGCCACCAACAAGCAAGCTATCCCTGTACCAGGGAAAAATGGCATTTCCAGCGTTCAGCTTCTAGACCTCCACAGGAGAAGACTTAAGATTCATGTTTAAATGTCCACAAAGAAGTAAACTCAAATTGCACTGAATTATTTTGCTGAATTGGGCTTTTACCACTCAGAGCTGCAAAAGTTCACTACTGTTTTAAGCCATCTCTTCATATTGTGAAAAAGTTAGTATTGTCCTTTTTTTCTTAGCTTGAATGCTAGGCTGGAAAATTCCCACTGAAATAATTCAACTTTTTAACTTTTATTTTTATTTTGTTTTGCAGCACAGAAATACTCAATTCACTGCATTAGGAAAATGTCCTGTTCTTCAGCATGACCAAAGTAGAATTGTGTGTAAAGTTAATATCAACTGAAAAATAATAGATTAAAATGACAAAAGCAGCCTAGATACCAAAGTTTGTCAACTTCCTATCAGAGCCTCTGAAAGAAGAATGAAAAAAAGAAGACCCACAAAAACAAAGTGTGAAAGAGTTCAAAGGAAGATCACACAGCACACAGCATGGATGTTTTTTCAGGATATCAAGATACCCAAAATGAATAGATGAATTCATCCCTAAGCTAAACACCATTGTGACAGGAATTGAATAAATACAAAAAAAGCCAAGAGAAAATAAGATGAAGGGAATCTCCAAAAACAAATTTCCATTCCCATTTTAATTTGATATTATTTCATGCTAAAGGGTTTGCCTGTCCTTTTCTTCTTTACCCAGGGGCAGAGTAACATAGATAATCACTCCCTGACTGCCATAAAACTTCTAAATTCTCAGTCTTACACTTTTCATGAATGACAGTCCTTCAATATGCATATAGAATGCATGTATGGTAATTGTGCATACCCTGGGCTACAAACATTCAGGCTTACAGAAAAAAAATAAAAATCAATGCTTTTTGAATTTATCAGTCACCTTGAGTTCCTCCATTCTACTCTGTATTGATGAGAGATCAGTTGAGTGATTGGGATCCTGCCCTTTCAATATTTCTTCTGCTTCTGTTATCCAGGCCTCAAGGACTTGTAGGTTCTTGGCAAAGGTTTGATAGTCCAGCACTCCAGCCTTGAACAGAAAAGGACCCACAGTTTAGGAATTTCAGGAACCTACCATCCATACTGACATTACACTCCCCGTTATTCTCATTTTAGGTCTGCAAACAGCTATATAGGCTAGGAGTAATTCTAACTGCTGCTTTGCTCACAGACTGTGGAATTACTGTGGGTTTTTTTTAGGTTAGAAGAGATGATTTTTGATCATAGCAATAAGGCAACACAACAATAAGACAAAGGAACATAAATATCTCCTTGTCTTGAAATAGATAACCTTCTCTAGTTTCCCTTTATGAAAATCACACTTTAATATACTGACAGCAGAGAGAACTGCCAGTTGCTATTATTGCAATTTAAAATTAAAAACTTGGCTGCTACCTTTGTTGCTTTCTCACCCGTATACTTTCCTGTGGAACATATTCTGCTACCCATGTTTTGCTCCTTAGTCCATGGTGACATAAGCAATTAGCAATATCTGCTGAATAGTCTTTGACACAAATGATAGGTATCATTCTGGTCACTGACACTAATAGGAACTGTAAAAATCAGTTCTACCCAATTTTTCAGAGTCTCTCATTTGTTTTACTGCTGAAGAATCAGCTGGGAAAAGAGGTTGTCTTCAGAGCCACAGTAGCACTATTGCTGTCCCCAGAAAGGTGCCCTTGGCATTCCACATAAGATACTTTATCCTCCATGAGTTTTGCTATCCTCTTCCCAGAATTTGGACTTTCTTACAAGGTTTCTGTGCTGGACTTGAGCACATTTTCGATTCTCAGTTTTGTCTTCCAGGGAAATCTAAGAATTGCTGATAAAAAGGTAACACTGCCCTCTTTTACCCAGGCAGTTTCAGCTAATTTATGGGTTTTCAGGCACCATAGGATGATCAGATTCAAGGACTGAGAACACTTTCTGCATACCTGAAATACAGCTTGTTGCTTGCGGAGAGCCTGTTCTAGGGTTGACAGATTCTGGTTCAGAGAAAGATTATCAGACTGTATAGCAGCTGCTGCAGAAGGCTCCACCTGGCTTTTTAACTCCTCTCCCAGTTCTTGAAGAACAAGCAGTGACTCTTGTGCTGTCTTCAAATCAGTGAGTACATCCTGTGGTGAAACATATAAAGACAGTTAATCTGACACTCTACTGCTGTCATCCTCAACCTGGAGGATTAAAGAAGGAGTAAAATGACTGAACTTCACCACTATATGAAATCTTATATTTACTACTGTATTTCAAAGCCAAAGTGTCCACTCACACTCTGTATGAAAAGGAAATGATGTGCAGAATAAAAAAAATATGTCAAAGTACCAGTGCACAAATTAAAAGGAAGATGTGACTGCTCAGCTACATTTGAGCAAGCCTGAGTTACTAATGAGGCAATACTTGTTGAAATAAACCTTTTGAATCTGCTAACATGCTGGTCCTAGAGCAGTCAAAGTGGTTAGTGTGGATTGATTCAGGTCTGACTAGGCCTTTTTTTTCATGCTATGAATTACCAGAAGGAATAAAAAAATAACATTTGTAAATGACCTAACATAATGACTAAATAATGGGATATAAGAAAATGAAGAAACTTTTGAAACTCAACAATCTGAATGGACAGCCCAGATGACTATGGCAGCCTATGTGAAAAGCTCATTAGTATATTAGTTTTTCTCCTTGCAATTGTTTTGCTAACACGAAGATAATGAACATTTTTAAATTTTTATCAATGACACTTAGCATTAACATCAACTCAAAAGAATCCAAATGTAACCACAGATAGGAGATGAACCATTCTGCTGCCTTGAGATACAGCCTTAAAAAAGCAAGAATCTCAGAATTTCAGAGTGAATGGTGTCCTTCCATAAGGAAGGAAAAAGACATCCCCAGAACACACACCGTCTATTTTTATTCAGGTAAAGTGAAGAACCTTGTCTGGTGGGAATACAATCAAAGGATCTTGTGTTTCTTTCCATTATAAGGAACTCAATAAACTTGGTAAGCAAGAATCCCTTTAAGTAAAATGGGACTTAAGACTGAATCAAATGATACCACTTATCCACCTTCTTCAGAGAGAGGACTTCAGATGTAAGCCTCAGAAACAACATCACGAAAGTAATGAGGAATCACATGAAAAGTATGAGAAAATTATGAGATTTGGGTAGCAGATATAAAGCTGTCTCTTCTGTGCCTGAGATGCGTCAGTAAAAAGAAATGTACTTGTATACAGGTTTCCAATACACCAAGTGTAGAACCTCCTGTGATTTTTAGCCCACCAAGTTGTGAAAAACTGTAAAACTTAACTGAACATACATTGCAGTCCTGAATCCAATTAGTAACTTCATCATCAGCAATGTCTTTGCTGGTAGCAGTCTTCAGGAGTTCCTTGGTCTGGTGTTCCCGCTGACAGACTGTGGCAGAGCACTGCTGGTAGCAGTCATTGTACCTCTGCCACAGCTGAAGGAGGCCCTTACTGGCACGCAGCCGCTCTGCAATCTCCTGCAGAAGGTTGTTCCACCTGGTGAAGAGATTAGATAATGATTGAAGTCTGGGAGTCCACAAGAACTATCCCCACCCCTCTCCCTCTCTGCTGTTTCCCGTGGTCTTTTGGCTTTCAAGGAATTTGGCAGTTACCAAGATCTTGTCGCAGCAGGCTGGATCTGTGCTACATCTTGGATGCTGCATATTAATACCTGAGGTCAGAGCTGGAAAGTACTTTTTGAAGTGAACCTCCTGCTATTTCCACCTAGCACACTCTTGTTCACTGCGCAGAGCATCTGTGACAGGCAATGAACTGCCAGTATCAGATTCTTGCAAAGGCCCAAGAGGCCTAAACCAGGTGTAAACAGGAAACCATTTCTTCTGCTGCAATTTCCTCCCAAACTCGGACAGAATAGTTGATGTTATAAAGCTCTGTGTAACTCCCTTCTAAAATACCTGCAGACCTAATAAAACTTTATATCTTTATTATCCAATTAAATATCTAATCCCCCTTTGAATGATTGGCTCTGTTTGCAATCAGAAACATATACTTTCTCAAATGTGCTGGTATTTATCAAGCTTCCCCATTATTTTCTTACTAAAGGAGATCACAATATTTTTAAATTATTAGTATATGATAAAACTGGTGAAGTGAAAATTCCACCACTCTTAATTGCCAATATTAAATCCTACAATATCTTTTTTTGAAATGGAGTGAATACACTTCCAGAGTCTACAATGGGATGGAACACAGATTAAAGTAAATTTGGTATGATTGTGTTTTCAAAAAAACCCCAACTTTCCACTAAACAAGTTTTTGGTTTTGGATCCTGCCTTTCTGTAGCTCCTCTGAGTAATCCCTTACACTGATTCAGACCTGGATTGAAAACAGGGGGAGCTGTTTGCCAAGCTACCAGTGAAGGCTTGGCCCTTCTTGCCTATCGTGCCCTTCCTTCGAATTAGAAATAGCAACCTAAAAACTGGGAAGCCTGGAGCATAAACAGCAAACAATATTTCCAGATGGGCTTTTTGCATTTTAAGTGCAGTACTATTTTCCAACATCATATTTATGAGTCTTGGTTGGCAGCCATGCATCGAGCAGAACTACTGACAGTAATGTCAAAATGCCTTGCTGGAGAAACCAATGTTCCATTTATTAGTAGTAGCAAATGAGACAGTTCTGATCCAGCCTTTGGCAAAATGTATAACCCCACCTGCCCCCCCACAAGGTTCACAAACACCCCAAACCATAAAATAATAAAATATAATGAAAATAGAAATGGTGGAAAACTGGGTCTACGGGATAAATGCAAATTCACCACTATAAGTAAAGCTCAACACACAGACATTTTTTACCTCATATTCATTTCTTTCAAAGTGTTGGTAAGTGTTTCAGTCACTGGTGGGTGACATTCTTTCAACAACTGATTGGTCACAGAGCCAAATTTCTGTAAGCTGCTTTCTTGCTTTTCCAGTTCATCTTGTAGGCTCTAAAACATATAGGAGAGTAAGGAAAAAAAATAAACAACAAACCAAAACCATGAGGTATTATAATTGCATGATGTAGAAATGTTTGAAAACAGTATGTATCAATTACATCGTACAGATTGTGAATGCAAAACATGATTTCATGTGTGTTTCATCTAAATTGAAGGTTGTTTAATATAAAGACTGTTGGATTAATTTGAGTCAATACCAAGGTGAAACAAAAAGAAAATTTTAACCTAATATTTTTTTCAAAATGTAAAAATCATGTAAAAAATATTCTAAACAACAAAAATATTCTTGCACAAAAGAGTGAGGAAGAAGTGCATGAAAATACTTCAGAAAGTATAGTCTGATGGAAGAAAATAAATAACATTTTCCTTTTTAGAATGAAACGAAAAAAGAAACAGCACCAAAAAGCTTTATTCTGAAAATAAGGTTCTTGATCTTTCATTTGTCAGTTTGAAGCTCTTCTGGCAGGGAAAATGGTCCTTTTTTAAAACCTGAAATATTTTTATGCATATTACTACAGTTTGGAAACCCCAGCAAATCTCAAACTGATTGAACTTCATAATCAAAACCTTAATAAGGAAAAAAAGTAGTTTTCTGTGCCTGTTGTCTTACTGACTGCACCTCTCTGACACACCAAAAGAATGAAAACAGAAGAGAAGCTGTAAAGTGATTAATGGATGCTTTCTCAATCTTGGTTTGAAAAACGCTGTTCATGCTTAGGGTATTTGCCTTTATATCTGTCTGGACTTCAAATCACACAAAATACTTAAATAAATTTGCTGGCAAATACTAACACAAGTTCTTCTTACTTTAAGCATCTGGAAATGTTTGCATAATTATTTTTCATTCCAAAGACAAGAAATGTCTTTGAAAAAAAAAGGTTATTCTATATGATAGAATAACAATATTAGTCTTTTTACATTTAATTCCTTAAATTAATGTATTTCAATTAATGTGTAATTTTATAACAGGAGTCTCATTGTATTTTATGCTTTCCTTACAGAGGAAACATGTGAGTATCTCAGCTTTTGAAACATTCTTTTTTTTCATCTTCAATCTACTGCAACCACAGTGTTGAGGTAGCAGAGTGAGAAATTTTAGTCACCAGCATTATTTAAAAATTTTTAATGTTGTGACAGTACAGCTCAAAATTTAAAGAACAGCATAATAAAACGAAAAAGAAAACAACAACCAGATTTTCATTTTTCTGCAAAATGAAAAATGCAATAGTTACTTGATAATGTGTTCTCTTAACATTGTGTGATTTGAACAGGCCAGCATGTTTGTATTTCCCTTTCTTATGAACCAAAATCTATAGTTGTCTGCATCCATGCAATGAGGACAAATTTAATCTTTAAATCCACCCTTAGTATGTCAAGAAGCATGGTATTCTTTTCACCTGAAGGCTGTCAACTTGGACTTTCACAGCTTCCAAAGAACCAGTAAGAAGATAAAAACGGGACAAAGAATATCTGGCTTCTGTCAGGTAACTATTCAGTTCTTCATAAGCCACTTTGTAAATGCTCCACTGATCAAGGACAGATTGCAACAATATCTGCAGTCGGCTAACCTAGAAGGAAGGAAAAGAAAAGTAAATTAAAAGCATTGAAGATATTTGGCTTTTGTTTAAATTATTTCCTTCCTTTTGATCTCAGCTACTACTTGTTTTATATGCCCAATCTTAAACCAGTTGAAGAACAAAGATTTTCCACAACAATCAGCTGGACTTAAACTGGGTATAGCATAAAGTTCTGCTTGATTTTATAAAGGTGGGATGGCAGAAACTGAGAAGGTATCAAGTCCATTCTACTTTGGCCCAAAGCAGGATCAAGAGAAATTGCTTAGGACTATGAAACAATGCATTGCATTGGCAAGTCAGCCTATGAAAGTCAGCAGAGAGGCTAGCAGTAGCACACCGAATTATTCCTGAGAAGGCAGATTGAGGTTATCAAGCTTTGGTTTATGACAATTAATGCTGATCTCTTCCTTATTCTGAGAGACCTGTGTGCTTCAAAAGGTAGTTCATTTGGTCATTTGGTACCTTCCCACTAAATATCAGCATCTAAAAAGCTTAAATTACCAGAATTAAAAGCATCCTTGATTATAGGAAATATTATACCCATTTTATGAGGAGTGTACACACAGAAAGAATGGGATGGATGGAAGTAGGGGCACAATTCAGAATCTCTTCCCCTACAATACAGAAGAAATCCACTAGCTGTAAACTGCCAATTCTCCCTCTCTGCCATGCCCTATTCTTCTAGAATCCTTTCTACCGTGTGATCCAAACTGGCCCAGGAATGGTTTATTTCTTGCAGTGTACTCATAACAGCTGAAGAGACTTCTTCCTTCTTGTTCTGTATCAAAGACAGACCACTCTGTTCTACATTTTCCACTTCTTTTTCCTTTGTTCTTATTGATTCTTCTAATTCCTGAAAAGAAAAAGAAGATAGCCGAGCTTTTTTATTTAATTGGATAGATAATCCCTGAGATAGAAAAGATGTCCATAAACTCATTATTTAAAAAATAGGAAGGTCACACTGCCACACTTTGGCTTTTTATTCTCAAGAGAATCAACTCATCAGCAATTTTATTTAGTATTTTGTGTTCCCTTTAGAGCATAGTTGTTTGTCTGTAATTTAAATAGAAGCATGCCCTCTACATTAAACTTCTGTGTAATCTTCTGCTTTCATGTAAGAATCCAAAGCTCATTAAAAATAGGACAGGAGTTTAAATACAAGGGAAAATTGCTGTGTATCTTAGTTTGTCCTGGAATACTGAGAGGGCTTTTTAATTAGTAAAAAGCTGGCCTAAGCCTCTGGAAAAAAAATATAATTTTGCCACCAAGGGAAAAAGACAAAATGAATTCCTAGGGAAAGATGACAATTTTCCATGCACTCTACATGAAGAGGAGTCTTTATTCCTTTGCCAGGTTGCAGCAAAGCCCCTTGTCCGAGGACAGAGAGCCTTCCCCTGCAAGTTCATTGGGGTCCAGCCAATGACAACAAGCAACAGACTTCAGGAATTCTTCTTATTGCCTCCTCAAGGCTGCATGTCTTAGGGAAGCATTAATGATCTCAACAGCATTTTGCTCTGCTCAGTGTTCCAACACATTAACTCAAGAAAATGGGAAGAAAATGAACAGTGGGTATGAAAACAAATGAAGAAAACAGAGCTGAGTCCGTAAGCACTTAGGCCATGATTACTTGTTAGTGACTTGTTTTGCTGCTTTAGGCAAATTTAAGATTTAAGATGACCCTAGACTGGACATGGAAATGCTGATTCAAAGCTTGCCGACGTTACCGTTTTATGAATAACCAAGGGCGGAAGCTCTGGTATGTAACATTTGCTACTCACAAAGCCTGTGATCTTCCTCATGCCTCAATAGCATGGGAATGAAGAACAAAATGAAGGAGAGACAAGAAGACTTGGTGATCACCTTTGAGTCATATAGCATGCTTTCATAAGCTCATTCCTAGCCAGGAAAGCAATCTATATAATTTCATGGCACAGTGCAGGGAGATGCAAAAGCCTGTGATCTTCCTCATGCCTCAATAGCATGGGAATGAAGAACAAAATGAAGGAGAGACAAGAAGACTTGGTGATCACCTTTGAGTCATATAGCATGCTTTCATAAGCTCATTCCTAGCCAGGAAAGCAATCTATATAATTTCATGGCACAGTGCAGGGAGATGCAAGAAAGTCCTACTCTGTCATATATATATATATGTATATATATATGTGTGTGTATATATATATATGTATATATACTTCCTCAAACTTCTATCAATTACCTTCTTCCAGACTACAACCTTGGAATAATACTTTTTTTTTTTTTTTTTTTTTTTTTCTCAACCAGGTGACACCAAAGCAACACCTCTAAGTTGTACATAAAGTGGATTATAATTCTACAAAATATATTTCAGTTTGTACAAGGTAACTCCAAAATTTAGAATGCAGAATAGACAAAAGTTTCAAATGCCAAGAATAGCAAATATTTATTTTTCTCTGTAAAAAGCTTTTCTTATTACTCATTTTCCCCTCATAACTGAATTAGAGACATTACTGTTTCTGATCTGCAATGGGAAAAGATGGTTGCCTCCACTTATTAATATCACATTATGCAGCAACTAACATTGGTGAATAAATAAACTGCAGCTTTTGTAGTAATTGAACTGGATACCTGGGAGTGTCTGTTACAGTTACTCTTTTAACAATTTGTTTCTCTGCTGATCAAAGCCTTGCCATTCATAACTGACTCCCCAAGTATACTTGCTAACTTCCCTGACCAAAAGGAACCATAATGGTGATAAATCAGATTCAGCTTTGAACTCCAGCCAAGCACAGGCTGCCAATTATGTCAGGCTATGCTAAACTACCCTTGCTTCAGTCATATGGGCTTATTGTGCTGAAACCATAAAAATAACAGCATTGAAAGTAAGCACTGCAACCAGTTTGAAGACTTTGGTTAAAAACTTCAGGAAAAAACTGACTTCAAACATATCTGACCTAAATAACTATTTACCATTACAGGAATTAAGATGGGTTTAATACACTGGTGAATACAGACTAAATTCTCCTATGCATTCATTTGAATAGATTTACAATTTTTCTGTTTGTGAAGATTTAAAAGCTGGATCATAGTCACCCAATTAATTAAATGCATGCAGGAAAGACAATAAAATCAAGATAAACATGTTTCCTCATTTTTTTTTCACAGGATGAGAGTAACAAGATTTTGGGCATCTTGTTGTCCTGACAGAGTTTAATTACACTTTTGATTTGGTGTGGAATTATTGTTCATTAGTGTCTAACAGAACAAGATACTTTTGAGCAAAAATTGTCTGATGCCTGATATCATGCCTTGTTCATACATTTAGAAAAATCTGTTTCACTGATAAACCTGTAAGTTTGAACCGTAGTCTGACCACTCCAGAAACAAGCTTCTAACTACCTAAATATATACTATTCTGAGTGAGACGTTCAAAGTCAACTGATGCCCTATTCACTGCTGTGTAGTCCTTGTATGAATTTTGCATGACAAACTGAGGTGTTTCTGAACTTATAGACATCATGTATATGTGAGAATTACTTGCATCCCATCTTTGCCCATTGTAATCATGCCTCAGGCTTCTGAAAGCAAAAGGAATCCTTCTCTGGATAGCTGAATATTTGAAAAACTTTGATTCCTAGCACATTTGTAATAGAAGCATATCCTAACACATTTGTAGTAGAAGCATATTACCTCCTTGGATTCTAGTATTGTTTTTTTAACAGTCAGGTGGAATACATTAGATGGAAAAAGAAAAAGAAAAAAGGGGGCATGCAAAGGAGAGGTAGTGATGAGGAAGAAAAAAACCCAGTTTCTAAACAGTCAAGCATGGTGTTCATGACATCAGGGTCCATAAGACTGGCTAAATAAGAAGGGGAATATATTCCTTTGATGATCTTTCTAGTTCAGTATAGCTGGTAGGCTTGGAAATGTCCATGCTTTAATATACAAAGGGAAAGATGACAATTTTCCATGCACTCTACATGAAGAGGAGTCTTTATTCCTTTGCCAGGTTGCAGCAAAGCCCCTTGTCCGAGGACAGAGAGCCTTCCCCTGCAAGTTCATTGGGGTCCAGCCAATGACAACAAGCAACAGACTTCAGGAATTCTTCTTATTGCCTCCTCAAGGCTGCATGTCTTAGGGAAGCATTAATGATCTCAACAGCATTTTGCTCTGCTCAGTGTTCCAACACATTAACTCAAGAAAATGGGAAGAAAATGAACAGTGGGTATGAAAACAAATGAAGAAAACAGAGCTGAGTCCGTAAGCACTTAGGCCATGATTACTTGTTAGTGACTTGTTTTGCTGCTTTAGGCAAATTTAAGATTTAAGATGACCCTAGACTGGACATGGAAATGCTGATTCAAAGCTTGCCGACGTTACCGTTTTATGAATAACCAAGGGCGGAAGCTCTGGTATGTAACATTTGCTACTCACAAAGCCTGTGATCTTCCTCATGCCTCAATAGCATGGGAATGAAGAACAAAATGAAGGAGAGACAAGAAGACTTGGTGATCACCTTTGAGTCATATAGCATGCTTTCATAAGCTCATTCCTAGCCAGGAAAGCAATCTATATAATTTCATGGCACAGTGCAGGGAGATGCAAGAAAGTCCTACTCTGTCATATATATATATATGTATATATATATGTGTGTGTATATATATATATGTATATATACTTCCTCAAACTTCTATCAATTACCTTCTTCCAGACTACAACCTTGGAATAATACTTTTTTTTTTTTTTTTTTTTTTCTTCCTCAACCAGGTGACACCAAAGCAACACCTCTAAGTTGTACATAAAGTGGATTATAATTCTACAAAATATATTTCAGTTTGTACAAGGTAACTCCAAAATTTAGAATGCAGAATAGACAAAAGTTTCAAATGCCAAGAATAGCAAATATTTATTTTTCTCTGTAAAAAGCTTTTCTTATTACTCATTTTCCCCTCATAACTGAATTAGAGACATTACTGTTTCTGATCTGCAATGGGAAAAGATGGTTGCCTCCACTTATTAATATCACATTATGCAGCAACTAACATTGGTGAATAAATAAACTGCAGCTTTTGTAGTAATTGAACTGGATACCTGGGAGTGTCTGTTACAGTTACTCTTTTAACAATTTGTTTCTCTGCTGATCAAAGCCTTGCCATTCATAACTGACTCCCCAAGTATACTTGCTAACTTCCCTGACCAAAAGGAACCATAATGGTGATAAATCAGATTCAGCTTTGAACTCCAGCCAAGCACAGGCTGCCAATTATGTCAGGCTATGCTAAACTACCCTTGCTTCAGTCATATGGGCTTATTGTGCTGAAACCATAAAAATAACAGCATTGAAAGTAAGCACTGCAACCAGTTTGAAGACTTTGGTTAAAAACTTCAGGAAAAAACTGACTTCAAACATATCTGACCTAAATAACTATTTACCATTACAGGAATTAAGATGGGTTTAATACACTGGTGAATACAGACTAAATTCTCCTATGCATTCATTTGAATAGATTTACAATTTTTCTGTTTGTGAAGATTTAAAAGCTGGATCATAGTCACCCAATTAATTAAATGCATGCAGGAAAGACAATAAAATCAAGATAAACATGTTTCCTCATTTTTTTTTCACAGGATGAGAGTAACAAGATTTTGGGCATCTTGTTGTCCTGACAGAGTTTAATTACACTTTTGATTTGGTGTGGAATTATTGTTCATTAGTGTCTAACAGAACAAGATACTTTTGAGCAAAAATTGTCTGATGCCTGATATCATGCCTTGTTCATACATTTAGAAAAATCTGTTTCACTGATAAACCTGTAAGTTTGAACCGTAGTCTGACCACTCCAGAAACAAGCTTCTAACTACCTAAATATATACTATTCTGAGTGAGACGTTCAAAGTCAACTGATGCCCTATTCACTGCTGTGTAGTCCTTGTATGAATTTTGCATGACAAACTGAGGTGTTTCTGAACTTATAGACATCATGTATATGTGAGAATTACTTGCATCCCATCTTTGCCCATTGTAATCATGCCTCAGGCTTCTGAAAGCAAAAGGAATCCTTCTCTGGATAGCTGAATATTTGAAAAACTTTGATTCCTAGCACATTTGTAATAGAAGCATATCCTAACACATTTGTAGTAGAAGCATATTACCTCCTTGGATTCTAGTATTGTTTTTTTAACAGTCAGGTGGAATACATTAGATGGAAAAAGAAAAAGAAAAAAGGGGGCATGCAAAGGAGAGGTAGTGATGAGGAAGAAAAAAACCCAGTTTCTAAACAGTCAAGCATGGTGTTCATGACATCAGGGTCCATAAGACTGGCTAAATAAGAAGGGGAATATATTCCTTTGATGATCTTTCTAGTTCAGTATAGCTGGTAGGCTTGGAAATGTCCATGCTTTAATATACAATGCAAAAAGAATAATGAAGTTGGTTGCTTTTAAAGATATTTGGGACATTATGGTTCCTTCCTCCTTTCTTATTGCTTTCACTTTAGGACTGAAATCTCTCTCTCACTAAAGAGGAGTTCTGTCACTGACACAAAGATTTCATATGGCTTTATCATATGTGGTTTCTAACTTGGAAATGGAATATTGTTATTTATAAGGGGACATACCTGACAGTCTTTCAAAGCATTTTGTACTGAAGCCTGGTCTCCAATTTTCTGTTGCTGTTCCAGTTTCTTCTCTTGGGTTTCAAACCACGTTTTTAGGCACTGCACACTATTTTCATATTGTGTCCAGGATTCCTGCAGACTTTCCAACAGCTGGATCTGCAAAGAAATATGAATATATACTTTTTCATACAAATACCTTTATTTTTGGGTCAATTAAATAAGTCAGTGAAGTCCAGTAACTTCTCAGAATGTATGCATTCAAATTGAAATCTATCTGCTATTTGTAAAAGAGTTCATAGTAAAAAAAACCCTGCTTTATCAATAAATAATTTTATAGAGATAACATATTAAAACATTATGAAACATTGAAATAAGCTATTTTTGCAAAACATATTTATAAGTGGAAGTCTTTTCAGAGATCAAAGACCTCAGGATTTCCCAAACAAACATGTATTTTATATTCCTTGCTTAAACTGTGTAAAGTAGATGAAGATTTATAGTATCTCCTTTGTCAACTGACTGCTTTAAAGTTATTTAGATATTTTTGACTGTTCTAGCTGTTACTCAATGGCGAATGACACAGAACTTCTGTTCTTAAAAAAAAGCCCAAAAACCCAAAAACAAAAAACCCAAAGCAGGCTTTAAAAACAGTAGCACTGCCATAAAAAGTATTCACACTGTTTAAGACAAACTCAATTTGTGGGAATGAACCATCTTAATTAGAACTGCTTGAGGATGTGATAGGCAATACCAGCCTTGGTGACAGTGACAATGAGACAGTTGTGAATGAAGTAAAGAAAGCAAGTAGCTGACTAAAGATTCTTGGAATAACAGACTTTGGTTTGTTCACTGAAGCTTATGGGAAGTTATTCCGAAGGATAAAGGAGTCCAGGAAACTCACTGATCTTCAAGGATAACTTCCTCAAAGTCACAAAAAAGATAAATCCACAGAAAGTGAATTACAAAGAATGGGCCTAGAAGCATAGCCTGTGCATACAGGGCTGATGTTAGGAAAGCATAACCTTGGCTGGAACTAACTAGTGAGGGACAAAATAGGAGAGGCTGGATTCATTTAGCCTGGGGAAAAGGCAAAGGAAGCACTTCATTGTGCTGTCCACTTGGGGGAGCTATAGGGAATATGGAGGCAGACTGTTCATGAGCAGGAGCAGGAGCAGAAAGGAGAAGAGGTAACAGTAACAAGTTGCATGGCACTGGGCTGCCCAGAGAGGTAGTGCCATCTGTCCTTGGAGATTTTCAAAACTCGGTTAAATCCCTATGCAATCTGACCTAACCGAGCAGTAGGTTGGACTAGATGACCTGAAAAGGCTTCCAATCTTTATTATCTTATAGTTCCATGTATTTTGAAAGTTTGCTACAGAGCAGCTAGGTTTTTTCTTTACCTTTTCTGTTATCAGGCCTTGCAGGATTTGCCAGCGTCTGTTCATTGCTCCAAGTTGTTCTGCAAAATCAGTTTTGTCGCTGCGTTTACTTTCAACATCTTGGCTGCTAATTTGTAGAACTGATTGGTTCACAAAGTCTACTGTCAATTGTTTGCAATTTAAATCTATCTTGAAACCCTGGTAGAAAAGAAGGGAGTAAGAAATCTAAAACATAAGTACCATAATTTCTTACCTTCCTGCAAAAGAGCGGAAAAATGTTGACAAATTACAGCAAATTTACCTAAAAGGTATTTTAGCAGTTGAACAGCAATTAGAAACACTGCTATTTTCCCCTAAATATTCAAAAAATAATCAGGAATACATTGTCTTCTCTACCCTTGCTCCCCAAAGAATAATAATAATAATAAAAAAATCAGTAAAATTATTGATAGTGGTCTCAAGGACTAGATTTAAGAAAAAATGGGTACATAATAATTTTTTCCCCACCTTATTTAGACTTTAAGTTTTTAATACAAAACCAGATAAGATGCAAAATATTCTTACAGAAAAAAAAAAGGAAATAAGAAATTGAGTGATTTTTCAAGAGACTAGTGAAGCAATTTGACACTGACAATAAAGTCACTGTGTACAGATCTATTTACAAGAGTGTTACTGAACTACTTTAAGAAGTGAAAATGTGTTGTATCTATACTCCTCATTAGTTATCTCAAGATGTAGAATCTCTAATTTTTGCTTCACATACTCATCAAAATTTTCTTGATATGTAAACCACTGGTCACCTTCTATTCAAGAACCAGCTACACTTGGAGGAGGTGATATTATGCAGATAATTCATAAAACAATATACATTTGCAAAGTGCTTTACCGTTTTGGGTGAAAGACAGATGTAATAAATTTTAGTCATGTGCAGATTGCTTTGTATTTACCTGGAAATTAAGGTAAGCACGGTAAAAATTATATTGTTGCCACAATTAAACAGTAGAGCAGAGGTAATTTTTGCTTCTTTTCCACAGCACCAAATACTATCCATATCACCCAATTCTAACTTGTGTACAATTCTTATGACTCCACAATGACAGGGGTTTTTTTTGTTTGTTTGCTTGTTTCTTTTGTGTGTGTGGGCATATTGTTGTTGTTGCTGTTTTTTTGTTGTTTGTTTGTTTGTTTTGTGGGTTCTTTTGTTTGTTGCATTTGTTTGTTTGTTTGACTTTAAATCACTTACCCTGTACATATATATATACTTATTTCATGGTGATAATTTAAAAGGGAAGTCAGTAACTTTTCCATGCAGTACCTTGTACTTCTGGACATAATCCTGAATTACTTTCTGTCCTACTGCATTTTTTATATTCTCTTCATCCTGCTGAATGACATTTTCCATCAGGGAAATCCAGCTCATAATTTCAGAGATAGCATGGCGAGAAGGAATTTTGTCCATTTGGAGCTGTAGAGATAACATTTAAAACTCATGTTGTGAAAAAACAAAAAAAAAAAGGTAAGAATTCCTTGCTTTGCATTACTACAGAACATTTACCTTACCTGCTCTTATTATCATGTTATTCTACATCTCTAACATATTACTGAAGTTCTATGACATTTGTAGGTAGACATACATATTTAGCAATACAAAACAGTTCAGAAACTACTGAATTAAATTATTTACTTTAATATAATGGACTCGGGTGACATTTGTTACCCTTCCTCTCTCCCCCTAAATCACAAAAGTATTACTAACCACTAAGACTGATAAATACCTAGCAACCAAATATTAAGGCAACTTTGAACCAGTATAATTCTTTAACTTCAGTGTTATAGTCTTAAAAATCCAAGCTACACAACCAAAACTCTCCTGCTCCTACATACACCAGAAGCAACCTTGCACAATGTTTTAAGATTTATTTTGTCTTGCATAGACTTGAATCCAGTCTATCCAATTTGAATAAAACTGCCATTCAGATCTGACAGGGATGTGAACTCCCCCTTTCTAAAAGTTCCAAAACGTGTTGAAAAAAACTTCACGTGTTTTTTGGTTAAAATTTAAAAAATTTAACTGTGAAAGTCTGACATTAACTGTTGTTATACAGTATGTGTAGACAGGATTTGAACACGAGTGTAAGCTTTCTCACATAAAAACAGGAGTAACGTAGTTCCTATCTTGACTCACGTGGACAAATTGAGGAAGGGAGCAGCCATTTCTCAAAGGCAGTATCAACCACATGGGCCGAATCTTCTGGAATATCAAAGGCCATCACTGGTCTTCCTTACCTGGTGTAATTTCTCTTGTACTGCTGGGATTCGTGTGAGCAGCTCTGTCCACTGGTTGTCAATGCGGGACAATCCCGCACGCAGTGCTGCTGTATCCATCCTCTTCAGCCTGAGGAGCTGGTTCCCAGTACTCAGGACAGAAGATTTCTGCGATGATTTAGCATCCACTTCTTTTGAAAACTCCTGTAATCAGAATCATATTTGTGGAAATAATCAGCTACTTTTTTACTGCATTTAAAGCTGTACCTCAGAAAACTAAGAATATTCTCCTCTCCCTTAAAAGACTATAAGAAAAAGTATAACCATATAATTGATTGATCATTTATTTGTAATTAGAGAGAAAAAGGTGTCCTAGGTCCATGAATGACTTACCAAAAATGAGTTCAGGTGGTCTCGGACTGTCTCCAGTTCCTGAGGAACTGTCAAAGACTGCTGGCTCCAAAACTCAAGTCGCTCAATTGCAGATTGTAACCAATGTGTCAGTTCACTTGATTCACTCTGATACCTATAAAGATGTTTAAATAGAATTAAACAGTCATCAACACTTCTTGCCTCCAACTGAGCAGTCTCTATTCCTCATTAGAGGATGATACTATATGGCAGATTTAAAATAATAATAAAAATTATAATTTATTTCCTTTATTAAATTTCAGAAAATCATTATTTAATTTTAATGATGGGCATGGTATCAGGAAGTTCTTACTTTAACCATTATATCCACAATTCCTAACAGTGCCTTCTTTTTGCCTCTTAGGAAAAACTGATTTAATGAAGGACTAGTAACCAGATTATCACTCCATTTGGGCAAGCACCCTACCCTGCACACATAAACACTTTTTTGATTTGCATTAGGAGTTTAAATCTTCTAAAGGATTTACCACAAGGTGTCTTAGAGCAGAAAACTGACTTTCTTTTTTTTTTTTTTCCCCAGAAGTTATTTCCATATCATTTTGCATGCCAACCAACTAATGAGGTGTCAGAATGAGTGTCTCCACATAACCTGTGTACATACAGTCCCTGTATGCATCTCCCTTGAAAGGCTAGTGAGCCAACAAGGATATTATGAATAATGGAAAAAGCTTGTATAACACTTAGTGAACTCATTTCAAAAGTAGCATATGAACATTACTAATGGCAGCTAAAAGCTCCTCTCCATATATGCAACAACACAGACCCACAAGGACCCAGCAGTGGCAATGCCCCTAGCAGAACATGCTGAGGCTGCTCATGCTACCTAGCAAAGCACACGCCCTTTCTCATCAACCTGTACAGACACGGGGCTTCTAATTTAGTCATCTAAATAAGGTCTTTTCTGCATTCCTCCCACCAGCTATTATTTAGTACATGTTCTGTACCAAATGAGAGAATATGATTGCACTTGTTTGGAACAGAAATAGGATATTTTAGAGCAGACAAACTATTGCAGACATCTCAAAGTACTTTCTTTTATATATCGACTCTAATAGTTCTGGGTTCAGGATTACTTTGATCTGAATAGCACAGGTAAAGAAGTTTATACTGTCTGTACATCAGCATTACCTTGTCCAGAGCTTCAGGATTGTCTCCAGCCTGTGAAGCTCCTTGGTAATCTTGCTGGTGTTACTTAACCACTGTTCTCCTAATTGGTTCAGCTGACTTTCGAGATCTGAGCAGCTAACAGAAAAGAGAAGCCTTTTCCCATCATCTAGCACTCTGTATAACTTAGGTTGGTGTTCAGTCAGGCTAGATCTCAGATGCTGTAATGATAGAGAAGATGGTTGGTTAGCTCTGCAGGTTTCCGCTACCATACTTTCTCAACATTTAGTTTTCTTTTATTGCATTTTGTAGCACAACCAATGTTACCACAACACGTAACATTTTTTCTCTTTGCTCCAGCTGTAGAACTTCTGGAGAACCATCATGCAGGAAACCTGCGCAAATCTGAATGTGCTGTCACAAACCCCCTTACTTCAATGTCTGTTGATACCTCCTTATGATTAACTACTCCTTGGTGTACATATTTTACACTTCAAAAGAACAATTTCAAAAGGATCTTCACAGGGCAACACCACTGCTGAGAGAAATTGATTAAAATGTCAGAACTGAATCTAACATCTGCTGAAAAGTCTACCATCATGCAAGCTGAAGGTGTCCAATATCAAGTTACTAACAGTGGCCACACTTCAGCCCTTTCAATGCCTATCCTGAGCTCTCTAGTCATCTAACTCTTAATTGATCTGCCCTCCTGCTAACCATGACTGCAAGAGATTATCACTGCCCCTGCCCACGTCCAAATCTCTGAACACAGAAGCCAATTATTATGGCAAAAAAAAGTGAAAAAGCTACCAAAAAAGGGAAGGCTGATAAAAAATACTTTTACCCTGAACCCAAATGGGAGAGAGACAGATTTCACTATAAATGGTGACTTGTGGAGGGGTAAAGAATTTTTGTACGTGGGCAAATATACCTGCCAAATTCCACTATAATTACACAAACAGTAATTTTTAAAACAGCTGTTATTTGACTAAGCTTGAGCACAAAATGTACATGCACTGCCACTTTTCAATATGCTGAAACAAGTGTACAAAACAATCAGTCTCATGGTGAATACATAAACTGTCTATCACTCTTCTTATTTTCTTTCACATAACTAAAGCTTGAATAATGTAACTGATGTTTTATATCTATATAGGTGTGGCTGTGTATATACTTATATATACAAAAAATGTTTAACTCCTAGAGAGTAGCATAAGAAATTCCAAGATAGCCACAAATTTTAAACCTAAATGTGGTAGAGAAAAAAAGATCCCATAGCAGACTCAGCATCTTTATTTGCGTAACCTAATTTATATAACTGACAAGAGAAAAAAGAGAGGAAAACTAATTTAGAGCCAAGACCAACAGAACAACGTCTAGCATTAAACAAAACCAAAATAAAACCCACACACAATAGATTGCTTAAGTTCTCCTCATACTATTGCAAAAGCAGAAAGCTGTCTAGTAAAAAAAACAATATACAGAACAAATTTAGAGTAGACAGGAAGTAAATTTGCAAGAAAAACTGACAGGCATTTTTCTGTAAAACAAAACAAGAAAACAAAAAACCCAACCAAAGTGTCTGGCGTATAATTAGAAAAGGACAAAACACTGGACCAGACTTCTCTTTTTGGGAACAGATGCAAAGAAAAGGATGTGGTAAAAAACCCATCTTCAAACTACCAGTCGTTGTTGCAGTTGAGAAGAAAGAAGCCAACTTGGGGAACAGCAGGTTGTTAAGCTTCACATTGCTCTCTGGTACACATCCCCTTGGAATTAATTTTCAAGGACAAAAAAGACCAAAAGGTACTCTGGAATATTCAGCTTGAATTCATTACTTTGCCAGCCTTTTATGATAAAATTACTGACTCTGTGGATGAGACTGACTTCAGTATGGCCTTTGACACCATCTCACAGAGGATACTCCTCTGGAAGAAGAGAGAATGTGGGCTGAATAAATGGACTGTTAGCTGGGTTGAACTTGATGACCTTCAGAGGTCCCTTCCAACCCCTAATATTCTGTGATTCTGTGAAAACTAGCTGTATTACTAGTCTCAAACACTAGTGATCAAATGATCTAGGTATGTCTGGGTAGAAGACTGTAACAGGTAAGTACTCCAGGGTTTGCTGATACTTGAGCTCAAACATCTTCATTAATGGCATAGATGATGATAGAGACAGGTCCCTCAGTGGATTTGTGGATGACATTAATATAGGGAGAGTGGCTGACACAAGAACTGGCAGGCATAGTCCAGAGATACTTCAATAAACTTGAGGTTGGAGGTAGCAGAAACCTTAGGAGACTCAACAAGAAGTGCAAATCCTGTGTCTTGGGCAGAATAATCCTGTTTCTGAGTACAGGCTCAGAAGAGAAAGGCTAATGTATTTAACCTGCCATCTTCCATAACCAAGACATCATGAATAAGGCAATTAGGACCATGAAAAATCAACCTAAGTTATTTTATTATCCCCAACTACATGGTGCTGAAGAGGCCACACATAAGTGTCCATGTGAATCTGCCCTGCCCCCACCTGTCACCAAGTTCAAGAAGAAAGAAGTAGTCAGGGTCTGGTTTAGAACTATTAATATATTTAGGGATGTAGAGCACATGTCCTTTAGAAAGAGGCTGAGGGAGGAGTGCTTGTTTTAGATTGACAAATGGGAGGCTAAGAGCTACTCTAACAGAAGCCTGCAACTATTTGGAGTAAAATTAAAAATATTATAGAGGTAAATGCTTCTCAATAGTGCCCCACAATATAAAAATGTCAATGGTGACAAGGTGAAAGTTGGATTTAGATTGGGGTTTGTAGAAAACCTTTTCATTAGCAGATGGTGCAGCACTGCAATTGCTTGTGGGTTCTCCATCTTTTGAGATTTCCAATACCTTGGCTAATACAGCCCATGAAAACTGTACTGCTTCAAGTGGGAGGCTGAACTAGATGACCTTCAGAGGTCCCTTTCATCCAGCTTTTCCAGAAATAATGTCTATAAAGCACCAACCTGAAAAAGTGTAATCCGCTCTCTGAGCCTGTCCTCGGTTTCTTCCACCAAACCAATAGTGGGGATGCTACCTTCAACAGATTCCAGCTGTCTGGTAAGTTCCTGGTAATCTTCATCAAGGTGCATCCAGGTCTGCAAGCACAAATTATCCATGTATACAGTGAATACTGATCTGGGTGTCCAGCGTATTTATTACTTGCTGTCTCAGTCTGAAATCCTATCGCTGCATAATTGTGAATGTACAGAAATAACAGTACAAATGCCCAGTGAACCTATAGTAAGACACCATCTCTGTCTAAAGATCAGCTTTTACTTAGAACACATGGAAAAAGCTGTCATTTTCTCCTTGACAGCTAAAGCTAAGCAGCTCTATTATATTTAGAGGAACGTAACTTGTCTCACCTGAAGGTCATGACAGTTAAACAGCAAATATCACACATAGTCTACCAGTGCCTTGTATGTATGACAAAAGGGACAAATGTCCATCACTTCTGTCTAAGTACGGGAAATGTATATTACAGAATCACAATGGCAGTACAGAAAATAACACAAAAATTCTCACCTCTAGAATGTATTCCAGCTCCACACCTCGTTTATGAGCCAGCTTTAATACAGCTGAAGCTTGTGTCATTAGCTCTGAATGTGACTGAGTTTCCTTCAAGAGGGCAAAGCTGTTCATCTTTCTAAAGAGTGTTTCAGTCAGGACCACGTGAGACTCCAATCCTTGAAAATATTCCTGAGAAATTCAAGTGTGAGGAAGAGAGTAAAGAGAGAATAGAAAGGAGAAAGTGCAATTGTTACTCAAGTGAATACCACTGAAACAACATTTTAAGACAATAACAGTACAATCAAGTAGCTGTAGACATAGAATTACGAAAACTTTTTACTCCACCAACACTTCACAAAATTGAAGACACAATATAAAAGGGACAATGGCCGTTTTAAAGAAAGAAAGAGGTCATCCTTTGCATGCAAATTCTATCCCAGCTTGCATTCCATAAACAAAAATAACTTAAATGTCATATATACACCACCAGAAAATCTGCCTAATCAAAAAATGTGGAAAAGCATTGCTATATTTTGTGGGTGCGATTAACAAATGTAAATTTCTGTTGTAAAAAAATGGAGGGATGGATGAAATTGCTATGTAGTATCACAGGACAAGTTACTAAAATGAGGAAGAAAATATATTCTACCTGGGTTCACCTTCAGTAAAGCATTTGAAAGTTATTCACTTAGAACAGTTCATTGATTCCAATTTAAAACACAATAAGTTTTAATATATCTTTAATACTAGCTCACCATTCTGAACCTTTAGGAACAGAAGATTAGTAATTTGCTATGTACAACAGTCATGATTAGTCATGAAATATGTCACAGTTTCTTACCTTATGTTTGTCAAGTAGTGATCGAACCTCGTCCCTGGAAGTAACAATCATTTTCTGGTCACCAGCCATCTTTTCTTGGCCTGTTTCTAACAGGTCAGCCATGTCCTGCAAAGCCCGTTCATACTGCCTCTTAAGAGCTAGATTCTGATTCAGGTCACTCCGTCTGGATCCAATGATCTTCACCAGCTCATCATACATATCCTTGAGGGCAAAGTGAAGCAATAGTATTTCACATCTTATACATCTTACTGTAAGCAACCTTACTGTCCCTGTACTCCTCTGTTAATACTAGCAGAATTACATCTATTCCCAGCTCAAAAAGACTGTGAAGATACACTGACTTAACTGATAAATTAACAATTCACCACTTAAATAGAGAAAAAAAAAAAACAAGACCTGCAACTCTTTCAAGTATATATATTCAAGAAAAGTTAGCAGAATCCCAAAGCCAGATTTGTCTCAATTTCCTACCCCAGCAGCCTACTGATGGCAAATAAGATACATACAACCTGTAGTAAAAACCAAACCAGGCCTAAGATACCAATGTACTCCATAGACAACAGTAAAGTGTAGAAAAAGTGCATTATGCAGTGTGCCCATTCTGCCAAATTACAAAACAAGCCAAAGGAAGAATCTCCTCGGTTCCCACGTGGTATTGGTCATCTTGTGTACCTCGACCATAAAAGTAAGAACAACCTACAGCTGCTTTCCTTCATCTGAACAGGATTACTTTCTTGTTTTGGTTTTGAGAATTGTATTCTCAGAGCATACTTCTGAATCTGAGGGTAACCCCATACGTTTGATCAAGACAAGATACCCAGAAACTAATAAACCAAAGTATCTTTATGACCATCCAGTACTACAGCAAAGTATCCACCTTTAGACTGCAGCTCTCTCTCCTAGACTTAAAGAGACAATTGTGAGAAACACAGTGTCAAGAAAAGGAAAAAAAAAAAAAAAAAAGAGAAAGCTTTTCTAAAAACCAAAATCTAGGGGAGGGGGCTATCTACATGCAAAATGACAGCAAAAAAAAGTGGGAGGCTCTAAGACCAAAAGGATAAAAAACTGGGTAAAAGACACATTTGCACAAACTCTTTGTAATTAATTTTTAATTGAAATCACTGATTTTTTGCTTAATAAGTTTATGGTCCAGTTTCAGCTGTTTTCTGCACTTCCAGTTATTATTATGTCATTATGAAGGCTAAAATTAAGTTGTAAATCTTGATCTATCCTTAAGCATTTCTCTTCCTAGGCACCAAACTCCTCGCAGAAGAGTTTCAACAGCCTTATGAAAGTTCTGGATCTATTGCCTCCATGTATCTACTTCAGAGAGCCTTAAGGTAAGAGAGCTATTACTTAGAAGTGTTCAAAATCAAATCTAACTGAAAGTATGCAGGAACATTAGAGGTGTGCTAGTAAAAGCAGAGCATTTCCAGTTGTAGGTCACACTTAGGTAACTAACACCCTTCATCCCTTTCCTTTACATTGTTTTTAATTATGTATGTGAGAGAGAACACTGATGAGAATGTGGCTCAACCTTCAGCAGACATTTGTGTTTATACGCATCACGTTATCTGTCTGAAGAGGGACTCAACAAGAGCTGAAAGCAAACATGTTTTTCAGAGTTTTATGATTAATACTAATAAAGATTTTAGAAAAGTTAAAAATGCAAAAGTAGAAAAGCTAAGTGAATCAGGGAGAAATGCACACTGAAATGCTTTTAACTATGCTTTCCTGAACTGCTTTATGAACAATGAAAAGGAGCATACTGATATCTTTGATAGCACCAGACATTTTTGATATCACATGAAACATAAGAACCGTACCTGGATCTTAGACAGCTCTTGTGCAGAAGGTTTGTCAATTTGTAGCTTGTCTACACGCTTCTTCAGCTCATTGATTCCAGTATCTAGTTCTTTCAAACCTTCTTCTGCCTGCAGTATGACCTGCATTTCAAAATTACATCATTTAGTTTGAAGGTTTAATAACATTACTGCAGCTGCTGCACAATAATATTTTTTCTCTTTTCTGCTGAAATTTTAAAGTGTACTATAACGAAATAGTATTAACTCAAAAGTTGTGAGATGCCAGCTTGCTTTTTAAAATACAATCTGACACTATTATTTTTTAATAACAAACTGGTTTAGTATAATATATTATTTCATATAAAACCTTGTTGTGAAGTTCCACACTTTTAGTTATATGGCAGAGGTACAAAAGGGCTATTAATTGTTCTAACACTTTCTTTTAAAGCATTCCTGTCTTACCTGAGCACCAAGCAAACAACCATCACAGTGAAAGACATGCATGATGCAAAGGGCTGGTCACAGTCCCCTTACAGGACTAGAATAGGGCCAAAATTACTGTCAAGGAAAAGGACTTCTGCCTCCCCTTTTGTATGTAGAAAATGACAAATTAAAACATACAGGTTGGTATTTGCAAGTGTATGCAGGTGATAATTTGACATTTTTCAATAGAAGTTACAAGAAGGTCTTTCAGCCTAGGAGTCTCTGCTGAATAAATGCATGCAACCTATAACTAAATTAAAAGCACAAGGTAGATGCCTGTAGTTAAAGTCCTTCATTAGGGCCCCTTCTTGGAAACTGCATATCCAAATGCTAGAAGTATGTATGTGAGTAGGACTCCTGAATCCTGTTAATGTGAAGTACACTTAATGCTGTCACTAAAATTAAACATCATGCAGCTAAATTTCCTGGCTGATTAAGGGTCTTATTTTTACTTTTCCAATCACTTATTGAACAGATATCAATGTTTTAAAATGTGCACATTTTATCAGCCAAGGTACATGTTCAGAAAAAAATCAATTCAGTTGTTTTAGGTACCATGTCATTTTCCTATTTGGTAGTTTAATCAATCACAGAGAAGCTAAATTTTTACCAATCTTTCACATCACAGAAGACAGGAAAGAAAGATACAGACTGCCAGCTCTCTTACTGATGCATTAATTAAAATTCCTTGAAAGTTTGATTAATTTTATTATCAGATATATAAGGGCCAGTATTTCTGTTTAGTCCTTTCTCTCAGTCATCTGCTGGAACCAGACAACATTAGCTCTTGGAGAGCAAGAAATATCTGTACAAAGAAGGCCTTAGCCGACTGTTAGCAAAGCTGGCAAAACAGAAACAAGGAAACAAAATGTATTTTTTTATATTTTTAATTAATTATTATTCAGGAGATTCCTGATAAAGAAAAACAATTACTGCCTTAAATTAAAAGCAATAACAGTCAAGATGTTATTATAAACAAGGGGAGAAGAAGCTGCCTTTGTTTTAAAAATAAAGTGTAATAGTCAAACTATTTACTCAAACTTTGAACTTTTTTTGGTTCATTTAGGTTTTGCTCAGTATGTACGTAGCTAGGTCACCCGGGGAGACAAAAAAAAGATGTTCTGGGTTTTCTTGTTTGGGTTTTTTTATTTATAAACATGTGCTACACCCTTGAAAGTTGTCTTTTTCACATACCTTACGTGAACACACACATTCTCCCATGAAAAGCAACTACTGTCAATAACTCAGTTATACCTTGAGCAGAAACTACCTCTTCCCTCCTTCCTGACCAAGTAATAGATATTTGGAAATACCTGCATTTGTTCTGTTTCTGGTCTCTCAGCTGCCTCTGCTAGTTTCTGTAGAACTAAATATTTGTTATCAGCCACTGATGTAAACAGGAGCTTCAGATCATTCTAGAGGAGACAACAACAACAAATCATACCCAATCACAGCACTAACCAGCTGAAAAATATCTAAGGTTACAAAAAGTGTAAAGCATTACAATGTCAGCACTAAAACATACAAACTATTCAACACTGGAAGCACCACAGCCACCCAGTGCAAAGCATGCAACATTGCTGAAAATCCTTAACTGGACATAAGCAAAAATCTAAGCCAATCCCTGTTCGAAACAAAACCTGTGAACACATTTCTACTTTTGCCTTCCAATTAGATAATTACTTATCAATGGTCAGTTAGCTTCATTTAGCAAAAATACGTTATTCTTGTGTAGTTTATTCTATCACTTAGGCTTGTAACAAAGGCAGGTTTCACTTTATAAGGCAAGCTTTCTTCATTGCAAACGTTAGCAAATATAACAAAAATATTAAACAAGTCTTCAACACATTACAGGGCTAGCTACACATTGCGACTTTTAGAGTACCCTATCAGACTATTCACCTACATATTACTTAACAATTCTGCCAAACTGCACTCCATTTTTATTTTTTTTTTCATGCAATTAGCCCAACAAAACCCCTAGTATTAGCAAAACAAAAAATAATCAGCAATTTTCTCAAAGACTTTTAGCATTGCATAGGAGTGTGTTTCTGATTTTTTTTTCCTGTAGTTATTTTTTAAATATTAAATATCGCTGGTATAACCACAAGACAGAGAATTTTAATCAGCTCCTCTCCTTTCTTCAGCAAAGGAAAGCCTTTTATTAAAAATTGTTTACATTTTATTTATTTTTTTTTAATATATGTATTGCAGAGGAAAGGTTATGAAGTTTAGAAAGAAATCCTGTTGTAACAATCTCTGAGATTATAATCCTAATCTAAAGATACCAGCAATCTATTTCCCTTTTTTTTCTTTGCTGGAATTCTTGTCTTCATTACTGGAGGTTTTGTATGATAACAAGATAGAAAGTAGAGACCAAGATATGTCTGAAAGGATTTCTGAACTCTGAAAAGATTTCTAGAAGCAAACTTTTCTCCACCTCTCTTCATTTTTTCTGCTTCACTCAAAGACATCCCATTGTTCTGTAAGAGTTTGTATGTCACTCAGTGAGATACAAGCTTTTATAGAATAATGGGATGGCTTAAAGGTAATCAGAAAGGTGGGAATCAGTGCTGTTTTTTATTTTATCTCAGCTAATTGAAACAGTGTACTTTATTAATTTTAGACATGATAACGAATGTCAAATGGAACTCTAAGGTTGCTTTTACTCCTTTGAGAACAGTAGTCAACAATTTCTATTTATTGCAATGCCAAGAGGGTGAGAAACTGTGAGATGAATGAACACTTCTGAATAATTCCGTGAGATGCAGAAGGCTTCCAGCAGAGTTTAAATTTTGGATCATTATTTGGGTGCCAAATTTTGCACAGCCTAAAAAATAGCTTGATTTTCAGTAAAAACCTGTGAAAACTTTTTCTCTTGATTTGATACAAAAAATTCTCCTTGCTTTGAGAATTACATCCTTTATATCCCCATTTGACATATACCCCTGCTATTTCATCCAGATGGGCATCATACCTTGAAAGTCACTATTTGCTGGAGCCTTCCTCTCATCTGATGGCATCTCTGGTTTACTACTGACTCCAGCAGGGCCAGTCTTCTCAGGAGACAATCCAAAGTGTCTTCTATAATATCCCTGTTATCCCCATTCTCAGGAAATATCTGAGCAAATAATTTTTTGTTCTTGTCCATTTCTTCTGTTATCTCTTTGATTTCTTTGCCAAGTGACTGATTTTGCAGAAAACAAAACAAAGTGACAGTTAAAAATTCTACAAAGCAGGCAAACATATTGACTTTTTACATTGTTAGTGTGCATATACTAGACAAAGTTATACAGTTACAGTATTTCTGATTTAAAAAAAAACACATCAGACTGCTCTGAAGAAGATGAGTACTGAAATAAAATGAACCTCCCTGAATAAGGGCTTCACAAAGCAGAAATTCATGTAGCTGCTAGAAAAGTCTTTTTCCCTCCCTATTTCATGTTGATGAATTTGTACTGTTTCCATATCCCAGAAGATTCCTCCCTCTTTTTCACTTCATTTCAATTTCAACTTTGTGATGTTTGCTAATACTTAGCAAAGAAGTTAACCAGCTGAAATATTTTATGTTTAATTCTCTTCTGACTTAGACATAATTCAGGTCAGGTACTGCTTTGTGCAACATTCTTGTATTAGGTTTTGGTACTGGGGGGGGGCAGGGCAGGGCTACAATGGTGGCTCCCTCTGAGGAGGAAGCAGTAGCAAAAAGAACATGGGCTGAACTGACCACAGCCCCATTCCCCATCTCCCTGAACTGCAGAGGCGGAGGTAGAGAAAATCAGTAGTGAGTCGAGCCTGGGAAGAAGGGAGGGGTGGGGAGAAGGCATTTTAATATTTAGTTTTTATTTCTTATTATCTCACTGTGATTTTGATTGGTAAAAAAATTAAACTGCTTTCTCCAAGTGGAGTCTGTTTTGCCCACGATGGTAATTGCTGAGTGATCTCCCTGTCCTTATGTTGACTCACAAGCCTTTAGTTTCATTTTCTCTCTCCTGTCCAGCTAATGAGGGGAATGTTAAACCAGCTTTGGTGGGCACTTGATATCAGGCCAGGGTCAACCCACCACAATCCTCTACACAGTGAATAAAGTGACTTCTAAACAGTATCAGAATACTGCAATTACATTTAAATTATGGCAGCGACTTCACCTATCTAGGATACCACTAATTTATTTCTAAATACTACCTAAAATGCACCCTTGTTGGCAATTTAAATAAAGTTTTAATCATTTATTCCTTACCTCCTGCTTGCAGAGTTGTGTTTCTGTTTCTTCCTCTGGCAACAGAGCTGTAGCAACAAAGACCTGTTCTTCTACACCATCCAGCCACAAGGAGGTGGCTGCAACACCATTATAAAGCTTCTGTTCAAGACATCGGCTCTCCTCCACCTGTACAGCCTGGACAAAAGGAACCAAAGAAGTAAAGAGCAGAAGTACAAGATACTCTTTCTACCATTTAGTATTTGGGAAATAGATGGATTTCCAGAAGTTTTCATTTTAAATGTGGTTCTGGTGGAAGACAGATGTAAAGATAATTGAACTGTTACCTCAGATGACACATCTTCAAAGGTCTGATTCAATTCAGCTAGTACTGGCGACACCAATGATTTATCCTCATCCTTTCCTTCCTCCTTATACAAAGGTATTCCAGATAGCAGTCTGTTTGGTCTGCTATAAAGCTGTTGAGAGACAAGTACTAATTAGAGTGATTCTACCACACATACAGGGTAAAATATTCGGCTAGGCAGATTCTACTGCTGACTGAGGAAATCACCTAATTATGCTCATGGCCCTCAAGACTGTTCTGTCACATTTTGAATAAAAGATTGATCAACAGGAGATACACTAGAAGTGCAAAATAAATATTTGTGGCCAGAATTAGCAATTACTTGTTGTTTTCCTTTTTTTTTTTTTTTAAATAAAAATTAAAAAATCACTACAAAATTAACACAAATACTGAGAACTTTGAAAGCTGATTTTAATGTAGTATTCTATAAAGAACAGTGGCCTTGTGTCTATTAAAAATAAAATGAAGGATGTACATGATCTTAGACTGTTCCCAATTTAGATAACTAATTCATGCTTCTTTCAGTAAAAAGCACATGTCTGAAATCACTTGCTTCTTCATCACATGTTCACTAAGACTGAGAACTGAATGTAACTAATACTGTCAAGCTGAAAATACCTCAGGTTTTCCTCTAAGTTGTTACCAGAGTACAGGTCAGTTTCAGAGAGATGATTTGTTAAAGAATTATTCTGGGTTAGATAAGTAGATAACATTTTTCACCTGAGTCCTTTCTTCCTATATAGTTTATTCACCAGAATGGCAGTGCAAGTCAAATCACTTTGAACAAGAGCAGTTATAATGCCAATAGTTTTTAAACATGTCACAAAAATAAATTGCTCCATATTCTTTGCATTAACTACATCACCTTAATGCATCTGATATGCACCTAGTACATCTTGTGTTGTGACAGCTTCTCTCACAGAGAAAATGCAAAGAGAAATTAAAAATAGCTACCAGCTCTTCTTGTTCCAAAGCTTTCTGGAGCAGTCTCTGTTTGGTATTGAATTCGTGGTTCAGGCTTTCCCATTTTGTCTTCATCTGTTCCTCAGATAATGGCTTCCCTCCTTCCAAGATTAATTCCTTAGAGAGTGTATCAGGCTTTTCACTGAAAGGCAAGACACAAAAAGGTTTAACAAATACAGAAGTTATAACAGCATAAGGTATTTATTTCCTCTTTCAATTAGAAAAGTATATTTTTAGTTCAATCGCTACTTTTTACAGCTTTTACTTGTTGTGGGGTTTTTTTTTGTTGTTGTTTCAGAGAGTAATACAGACAAAGGCTGGTTTTAAACTGAAAGAAGTTCCTGACTGATGGGAAAAAAATATACTATCTAAGAAACTGTTTAGACTTGCAAGTACCCATACTAAGTAAGAACCCCAAAACCCCACTGAATGTATACTACATAACCTTTAAACAACCTTTACTTCAAAGCATGAATAAAAACCCAAACTATTATCTGATTCCTTCCTCACCTCACCTCTCAAAAGGCCAGACATAAGCTAGTATTTTAACGCAGGACAAGCATATGAGTTTAGCTTTGGTAAATAGTGAATGAAGTTCAGCATTTTCTGTCTGATTTTTTTGTTTGTTTCAATAGTACATGTTATGACAGAAGGAAGCCTCAAAAAGAAGGTAAGTAATTTTTGCCATTATAAAAAATGACTCTGAACTAACACAAACACCGAGGAAAAATTTATTGAGCACAGCTCTCATCCCCCTATGCGTAAGTCTTAGTTCTGCTGCCTCGTGAACTACCTTCATGTTCTAGACTTTGGCTGGAGGAGACACAAGGATTGATTGCTCCTTGATTCTCAAAGTTCACCCTGGTTTCCTCTTTCCAAGACCTGGACATTTCTGGCTCCCTCAGTCCTTGCATTGGCAGTAGGCAGTTGTTTTCTTCTGCCTTTGCTAGGGCAGTAGCCTTTCCAAGCCAGAGCTGAGGCTTTTACAGTCATCTACTTCCTCAAAATAGGCAAGTGTGTAAGAAAATATAGACCACAGATGGAAGTCAAAATACAGAAACTTAAAAAATAAAAATATTCACTAACTGCAGGATAAGTACAATTAAGCAATGAGTATTAGATCTTGGAAGATCTACTTACAGTGGCAGACTACAATGTTCTAGAGATTCACACACCAATGCTGCACCATAAAGCTATAGTAACTGATCCACTGCTTATCTAATGAATCCTACTGTGTAATTTTAGTGTAATTCTTGATAGTAAGAATAAAAGGAATTTCCAAACACTACAGGTGATCTATTAGCTCAGACCAGTTTGTGTAACTATATTATCAAACTCCTGAATTATTTGCCAGGACTCTGGTAACTTAGGTAGTGCACAAAAATGATAAAACAAAAATTATAGGATTATATGCAGAAAAGGGATGTAAGCATAAGGATGACAAAGCGCAGAGGCATAGAAATTTGCAGAAAAAACGTGGAAGCACACCTTATACATAGGCCTTCTGAAGCGCCTTGCTGTGTTAGGATTTCTTCTCCACGACATGCTACTGATCGAAGCAGATTCTTCTGCTCTTCTAGCTCTTGTTCCAGCTCCTAGTGCAGCACGTTACAAAAAGCAAAACAAACCTCAAACAAATTGTTTTTTTCCTTGGAAGGATATGTCTACACAGCATAACTGTCACATAAAGATAGCTGGGCTACTTCTGATATGGCTTGCTTGAGCACAAAAGCAGTGCTAAATCTCCACCCAGGGACACAGAAATACTGGGTACATAAATTGGATTGTTGAACTAATCGAGTGATGCAATGCAGCTTTCTGGAACCTAACTTAGTGAGGATGTCTGTGTATCCTGCAGCACAATATAACTTGTAATGAGTGCATCTTTGCGTCTTTGCTTCTATAAAGACAATGTTGCTTACTATTTTGAACAAATAATGCCCTCTCCTTACAGTAACTTTAAGCATTCATTCTATTTAATTTCCTAATGGACAACAGAGGTATACAGCGATCAAGTGAGCTGATCGCAGTCCCCAAGGAAATAGAGTCTGCTGGGCTGTTACAGTTATAAAACAGTCAGCTGAAATGTATCATTAAAAGAGCACTGAGTAAGAAACAGCGTAAAAATTAAGATTTAAGTGGAAATACTAACAAGAATGACTCAGCTACAGTTAAGCACAATCTAAAGATGGAAGTAAAATAAATGCAAAACACCAACTTTCTGTTGCTGCAGGGTACTCTGCTGCTGCTGGGAGCGACTGGTTCTTGCTTGTGCCAGCCATTCTTGAACACTGGGGCTTTGTGAGGAAACAAAGTCCAGATCACTCTCTTCCTTTTCTTGCAATGATCCCTGCTTTAAGAGAAAGAAATAAAGATTTTGCAAGTTCACAGATGATACCAAACTGTGTGGTGAGGTCAACATGCTGGAGGAAAGGGATGCCATCCAGAGGAACCTTGACAGGCTTGAGAAGTGTGCTGGTGCAAATTGCATGAAGTTCAACAAAGCAAGAGCAAGGTCCTGCACCTGGGTCAGGGCAATTCCAAGCACAAACACAGGCTGGGTAGAGAACAGACTGAAAACAGTCTGGAGGAGAAAGACTTAGGCGTGATGGATGAGAATCTCAACATGAGTAGTCTGGCAGGTCCAGCTCATCAGCTCAAAACCACATGTAGTGTCACCTTTCACCTCTCATGCTGCTGGCTCACATAAATTCTGAAGTAAGCAACAACTTTCAATTTCTGACTTCTGCTGGTCATAGGTTACCAGCAAGAAAACATCCATTCAAATGTAAAAATAAAAAAAGCACGATTGCACTTAGCAGAATCAGACACCAGAGATCAGAAACCATGGAATGATTTGTTTCTGAAGAATGTTCTGCTGCTCCTAAAAACCAGCACTGATCTGTAATTGCAAGGTGCAGCTCTATCTGGCAATTTAGGGAATCAATGGATTGTTTCTGCCAGATGTCTTTAGTCTAATTAAAGCTGATATTTTGTCTAGATAAAAACAAGACAATACTAGTTGTCATTCAGGTCAAAATTAATTTATCAATAAGTACATAACTCTACTCACAGCTGGCAGAAACAGTCAGTTAACAGCAGATATTATATCATCAGTAGAGACAGTAAGAGACCAAAACACAAAATGTTATAAAATAACAGCAAAAGCAACAGTCCCATCACTTTATACTTCTCTAAGTACGTTTATCCAACAAGAATGATTAAACAGTCTTCTGTGTAAGCAAAACAAAAAAGAGAAAATGCCTTGATAGTTCTAAAAACTGCTTTATCAGCTTCTTGAATTTTGAAATCCATGTTGGCTACACATTTAAATTACTTTAGTGGCAAACATATTCAAATGCAGGGATTTTAACACACCAGGCCTAATGTTAAATACAGAGTAGTGGTAGGTCTGGCTAATTTAGATATACACACCTCTGTGGAATTATTTGCAATGAGGTTTTGCAAATATGCTGTTGTGCATACCTTTTAGATAGAAATTATTTGTGAACCAGATTTTATCATTGAATATCAAAGAATGTAAGTTTGAAAAACACACTTGTATTTTCATTTAAATTCTATCTGAAGGAAATCCAATACATTTTCCTTAAATCCCCAGGGAAGTAATGCTTCAAGCTGTCATTCCTAGGAACTATCCACTCCAGAACAGAAATAATTGGAAAATTCCTGAAGTAAACAGCGATAAAATTAACCTCTCAAAGGAGTTCAGAATTGTACAAACCTATCTCAGTTATAGTTGCTTTGTGGAACTGAACTTGTCCTTCCCACAAACACACTTTATAATAAAAACTAAAGAAATACTATCTGTTGTTTTTTGTCTTTTTTTTTTTTTTTTAACTGCAGAATCCATTATACTTATTTGTTCAAAAGAATTCAATTTCTTTTTACTACTCATAAGTCACAGAAGTTAGTAGATAACATTATTAAGGCAATGTTTTATATATCTTTCAAAGTGCTTGAAAAATGCTACATTTGGAACCTATATAGTCTGGAACTCTCCAGATCAGGTGTGCCTCTGATTAGCTTCACTGCTTCATTTTATAAATACATCAGTTGGTCTCCAAATCACTTTTTCCATATCATAACTGACATTAGTTAATTAAATTTAAAGGAAAACTGAAATTGCTACAAAGAAGTAACAGAATCTCACATTGGCTCCTAAAAAACCAGGAATAACAGATATGCTGAAATATCACTTTAAAGGAAAAAAAAATAAAATCATTCTTTACAATCCTCTTGGTCTTGCAGTGTAACTTGGGAGGATCCTCTTTGGGTGCAGGCTGGTCTGTGCCTCTGGGCAATTACAAGGTTATCAGGACATCTAGAGACTTGTATACATCGGAGCTTCTTACATGCATGAGCCACAGCTAACAGCTGTTAGCATGTAATATTTCTCAAGGTTAAAAATGGCAGATGATAAGAGTTTGTGCTGTTTTGGGCATTTCATTTTCTGAGCCTCAGTCCAAAAGAAGCATTTTACGCCTGACTGTTTGGAAAAGACATTATAGAATTTCTCGTTTGAAAAAAAACACCTGACCAATAAAAATCTGAAGATGTTATACTGCCCAGACTTATTTTTTTCCATAATCTATTAACAAAGTCCAAGTAAGTTTGCAATTTATAAAGCAGCTTAAATCTTGCATGCATGTAGCATCTTAAATTCTACATCTGGAAATTATTTTATTGTTATTTTTGAGATTTGAAAAGCATCCAAAAATCCGTTATAAAAGTCTAAGCTAAATCACACCACTGTATTTTAAAATGCAGGACATTTTAAAATGCAGCATGCATACCTTAAAATGAAGAAACAAAGCTTGTAATGCCTTTTCACTTCACAATATACCAGAAAATAGTATAATATTATTATTATAATATAATTTTTGTTGGTTGTTGGGGTTTTTTTTGTGAAGCTATGTTAAGTTTTATAGTTACTCAGTTGCTTTGACCTAAAAATAGTTCTTAGCATGTCAAGTGACTTTTCAAGCTAAACTCTCAGTAGACTTTAATCTGCATTACAAGCTAGAAATCTTTGAAGCTTATCATGTTTAATTTGAACAGCAGAGCCCAGAGAAGAAGTAAAAGAAAAAGCAGGTGAAGGAATCACAGTAGAGCAAGCCAATTCAAAACCAGTTGGGTCAATTACATGGTTGGGTATCTTGTATGTATTTGGTTCTCCACATGCTAGCTTAACCCAAAGAATGACCAAAACCCGCTTGTTAAATAAAATAAATGAGTAACAATAAGTGAACCACTGCTGGTAGGAATAGAAACCTAGAACAAGACTGATGTTAAATGTATATTTGTTATCTAATATTTTGCTTGTTGTATAGATGATAATCTATAATAATAGCCATATTGAAAAATGTTTTGTTGTCTTGATGCTACATGTTCTCTGCATTGCACACACTGCATGGAGAAAAACATGCTCTTTTGCTGGAGGAGAGATCCTGCCCCAGAGCACAGAGAATCTAAAGAAACTGGGAGCTGGAATAGAGTATATCCAGACCACACTTATGCTGTATCTACTTCATTATTGCCCTTTCAGTGAAGACCGTGAGGTTAGGATAGTTTCACCATGAAGTGATGCTGCTAACTTGAAAATTATAAGCTAAAGCTCTTTGGCAGTTCTTTATTTTGAAGTGAAATTCCATTTACCGACTAAAGACTAATAGATCCAACTAAATCAGTAAAATATTTTCAGTCCTTTCCCCAGATGCATAAAACTGCTATGAAATCTCCCAACCTCCTGCCCACCATGAAAGCCAGCTGGAAAGAGACACTTACCCGAATGTTGATCTGTTTGTCATGGAGCACTCTCTGCAGCTCCAGAAGGCTTCCCTTCAGTGTCCTGAGCTTCACAGCCAGCTGCTCTGCCTCGTCCTTGGTGTGAGCCTTCCCCTCCATAAGTAAGTTCTCGTTGTGCACAGACAACTCTGACAAGGCTACCACTTTCTGCTCTATTTCAACCAGCATGTTCTGCAGCAGCAAAAACAAGGAACCAAATTCATACATTTTCTAGCATCTGTCGTGATTTCTGGCAAGATGACCTGTGGCCTACACCTCACTCCTTGCCACGCTAAGGGCAAGTCAGAGTATCATTGCTTTGCCTTCCAGTCCCTTTCAGAGTCCTTAGGAGTATGACTGCCAATGTTTCCATTTGCCAATTCTGTTTGCAACCTTTTTTTAAAAATAGGAAATTAAGAAGTTACTCGAAACTAAGCATTTGTTGTAGAGGAGATTTATTTGCACATTAAAGGTAAGGGTGACTAAGATGCTAGACTGACATCCATAATGACAAGAAACAGAGCACACAGCTAGGTTACTTCTTTCCGCTTTTTTCATGTAGGTGTAGTGCAATGCTTCCTACCTCCTGCTATCTGTTGCACTGATAAGCTTCTCACTATTTGCTCTTTCTGATTGGTGCATAATGGACTTAAGGATTTCTCTATAATCGTCTTTAGTCTAAAGAGAGACTTAAAGTGACAAATCTCTGGCATGGTTACTGTCAAAAGCTACTTTCCTGACATTCCATTTAACCATTCATGTAATACAGACACAGTGCATATTCTGATCTTCCAAACTCAAAGTTTGCACAATTCTTGCTCAGAAACCTAGCCTGACATAAAATGTTTTTGTTTCCATAGCACCTGTCAAGGATAAACTTACAAATATTGATCCTGAAGGGATGTGTGCAGACTAAGATGGATGAATTCTCTAAAAAGTGGACGAAATATATGTCTTTATATAAAACTTACTGTATTAAGATTTTAAGAACTGGCAAAAGAACACCAATATTAACTTTTCCACAAAGCTGTTTTTTTTTTAATTTTTGCGCTTTCTATAGATGATATATTAAAAATAAATAAATTACTGCTTTATTAAGTTCACAGGGTTTGTCTATACACAACAAGCAACTCCCAAGAATGGGTGATGAAACAATATTTGATACAGAGTAGACTGAAAATTTTATTAATGACACAGTGCTGGTGGAAAGCTAACTAGATGTTCAATACAGTGGACTTAGATTAAACTTAATTTACATCTATCCATAGAGTTGAGATCCTAATTCTTTAATATGAAAAGGAATCTTTTGCCCAACTGTCTTTTGTCTGTCTTTTAATGTTAATTATAATGAACACAATTTAAAACTAATTTAAAAATGAAAAACTCCCACTAATTTAAGAACCTGAATGCTATGGCTGACCTTGATGCCTTTCTTGTAGTGAGAGGCCCAGAACTGAACACAGAACTCAAGGTGCGGCCTCACCAGTGCAGAGCACTCAGGGACAATCACCTCTCTAGTCCTGCTGGCCACACTATTCCTGATACAAGCCAGGATACTGTTGGCCTTCTTGTCCACCTCAACACACTGTTGGCTCATATTCAGCCAGCTGTTGATTAATGCTCCCAGGTCCTTTACCTCTGGACAGCTTTCCAGCCACTCTTCCCCAAGCCTGTACATGGGGTTATAGTGACCCAACTGCAGGACCTGACTAATGGTATTGATATTAATGCTCCATATTTGACTTTTATTCAGATAAAGCTATGTCCATCCTGTTCATCTAAATATTACAGGACTGATAATTTTACCTGACAGTCTACAAGCTGTGCTTCCATGTCCATAGGTTCCTCAGCAGTATCCAGAGTTGTGTCCAGTGTTGCTCGGGTACTGAGTAGCCAGTGATCAAGCTCATCAGCTTCACAACGGTACCTTTGAAGAGCCTGCTCTTGACGTTGTTCTTCCAGCTGCTCATTCAGTTTTTCCTAGAGGTACAAATTATATTTTATTTTTTGAAAGAAATATGCAACAACAATAACTTAAAAAAAAATATCTCTGTCTCTCACTATTTCTATATAGTATTTTTAAACCATAACAAGACTTTCTTTCCTAAGTTGGAAACCTTTACAAAATATTATTGCATTCAATGAGCTTGTTTTTCTTGTGACTAAAATTCTGTTTCAGTTCAGTCATTCATTCTTTCAGTAGATTGTTATTTTTGGTAAAATAGGTAGACTAAGAAATAAAGAGGTTCATCTTTCATGATAAAAGTTGGCACGCAAATCAATAGGAAAATGAGCATAGAAAACAATTTTACAGTTTGAAAGAGATGTTATTTCTCATTTTCAGCTTTCCCTTTTTTCTTTTTTCCTAGTTTGGACAAGCAAATCCTCAAATGTTCACTGTAGATACCATGACTTTTAATTCTCATACTTCATTACTTCTCCTGTGGAGGACAAGGAATACCAAGGGAACCTATTGAGAAAATGTCAATGTGGATATTAAAAAAAAAAAAAAAAAATTAAAAAATGCTTCTGGTTAATTATCACCTAGCATTAAGATGAGGGGCTTGCTAAAAAAGAACAGTAATATATTAGTGAAAGACCTGGAATATGATCCAAAAGACCTACTCCTAGATGATTTTTCTTGTACCTCTAATAGTTGTCGTTTTCCTGATGCCTTCATTCGAATTGTGGCCATTCGTTCTGCCAAGACCGTGAGTGTGGACTGCAATGCCAGCTGATCAGCAGCTTCTGCATCCAGTGGTTCTGAAACCAGCTCCTGGGCTAATGATGTTTGTAGCTCAGTAATTTCTTCTTGTAACATTAAAATCTCATCCATTAAAGCCTATTTAGAAATGAGAGCAGAGAAGGTATTTGCTTCATTTATCAGTGAGAAGGAAGTATCACAAGAGGCACAGGCTTAATATAAAATTCAAAAGTACTATCCCAGTGGAATATGAGGAACACAGAGCACTTCAAAGTATCACTGTTGGTTTGGTAGGGTCAGAATTCAGAAGGACTAAGTCCTGCCTTTCGTTGCTTAAGGTAGGATCGTGCATCTGATAACTGAGATATGGAGTTAATCATTATCTCAAATTTCAAACATATCAGTAGAAGGAATTCTTTTGGAAATATTACATGTACAGACTTATTCTTCCAGTAAATCTTCTGGAAGGTATTCTGGTAGATACAGTGGAGATTATTAACAAGTAAACAAGTGTGTTTTTGTAAGAGAGAAACAGGTGTATGAGCTAGCTTCAAGACTGAAGCTTACCAGCAAGACAAAGAATATCCAGCAGTATATATAAACATCCAGAGATTAATTTCTTGAAGTAAAATAATTTTTTGTCATCATTCTTATCCTATAAATTAGTTTCTAAGATACCTACAAAGGGATGCTGCATTACCAGTACCCTGGAGCAGATACTTTAATATCTGATGGTACATACACATGGGATGCACAGGGCATCACACAATGCTACAAATGTTATACTTTTCAGGCCATGGAGTTCCTACTGAAATGAAGGAACCTGATAGTTTCAAGCTATCAGATAGGAACTTTAGATTATTACAACTTGGACTTAGGTCACATTGGTTAGTTGATTAAGTATAGTCTTATCATTCAGGACACTATTTCTCAAGACTTCCCTTGGGAGGGAATTTTTTGTGTGTTTTGATTTGTTTTGTTTAACAAGGTAGAGATTGTATTAAGATCAATTTACAATTCATCACTATTGGTTATCATCTTAGTAAATCTGAGAACAGCATGAATTTTCTGATATATGCTAGTAGCACCAATGCTGAAGAACATTATGTGTAGGTGTCACTGAACATAATCTTTGACAAAAGATTTTGCTGAAACTGTTAGTATACACTTTTTTAAAAGGTTCCTACTAAAAGAATCCCCAATACACCAGCTTTAGAACAGCAGGCAGTCCAAAAAGGCAAGACATACACTTAACAGAAAAGGTTCATACAACTAATGCATGTTTCTGAGGCAGCCAGCTATGAAGAATGTCACTATCTCAAAAAAAAAAAGAACTAAAGATGCACAGGTAATTCATGGCCTCCCTCTATTTCTCACATACAAGTTTTTACCTGATGTTCAGCCATCTGGCTCTCTGGGCTTTTGATTGGTTCCAGGCTTTCATTTAGTTTGATCTCAATGCTCTCCATTTTTGTGGATATAGATTGGAGTGTGTCCTGGTATTTCTGTTGGCGCTCAAGGGCTTCATAGAGAGTGCGCTGCTTTTCACTGATCTGAAGAAGAACAGAAGGTATAAATTCTGACCTCTGATACAGGATTTGCTCTTTCTTCTGCTTCATCATGCCTATGCTTACAAGACTAAAATTAAAAAAAAAAAACTTGCAAGAAGTTTTCAAAAGTATAAATTGTAAAGCACAACATCCATATTAAAAATATTTATCTTTAATGTTTAAACATCGTCAGTCAAATCTAGGTGCTGTGACTGATAAACAGGACTTGAATAAGCAGGAAAAATCTAGGCACATTCTTATGCTTTAATTTAGATCTTTTGCTGTCAAACATGTGGATGTGCACAATTTGCTAGACACACAGTTCTTAATACCCCATAATAGCTACTGTGCCTCTGCAAAGAATTAAAATTTATAGCATGTGTTGAAAACTTTGACCATTTTCATACATCACTGAAAGATCATGCTGTGCTACTCTGTAGAAGAATTAAGCTGACTTGGTATTTGGAGAAACTGGATTCTCGAGCCTTTTCTAATTATATTTCCCTGTTAGGTTATGGAATATAGTATGACAATAGTCAATATTTCAGAAGGCAACTATCAGCCTTAATGACTTTTTATTTTTTCTTAATGGAGGTGAATCCTACACAGGCTTTCAAGCAAAAAACAAAGCCAGTGTAATATAATATCACAACTAACAATTCTTGTTAGATGAAAAAATGAGAATTCCAGAGAATAATATTAGCTGAGCCAATTCTTTGAATTTTATTCTTTAGAAGCTAGCTGATTTTGAACCCTTCAGATGAAGACTTACCACATTTTTCAGCGTTTCCCAAGAACGCTGCAAATCATCCAGTTTGGCACTAGCAGCTGATTCTAAGCTGGGTTCATAAAAATCCTGGGTGGCTGAAGTGCTGGGTTGAATTTTAGCAGCTTCTGTCTGCAACTGTTCAGCAGATAAGGCCAACTGTTCAGCAGATAAGGCTTGGTAATAAGCAATGTCCTACAAGCACGAAGTACATCATTGCACTTTCAAAACACATGATACTGCATAAGAGCATCCCACCACATACTGCCCCATTGCATGTGTCCATTAAAATAAAACCCCCAAAGAAAAAACTACCAGGAAACCTCTGAGCAACACAGTAAATAAATATTTAATAGTAGGACACTAAGTATGGTTTGGAGCTTCACTATCAATAAGATTACGAATGCTTTTTTTTTTTTTTTTCCATGTTCCTATTAGCTAGGAGGCACAGAAGACAACTATGGACAGACATGGAGAGATTAGGAAGGGAATGCTACAAATGGGAGTGTTGTGCTAGCATCATCACAACTACACACAGGAAAACCCATAACAACAGGAAGTGGAATACAGCACCGTGGTGAAGAATATCACCCTAACGAACAGAGCACAGAGAAGACAACAGAAGAACCACAAAGGAACATCCTGAAGGACTAGTCAATGATGTAAGAAAGATTATGAAGCACTAGCTTAAAGTAAGCCTTCAAACAAACAGGTACTCTCAAACTAACTTATAGAAGATAGTGGGAAAAGGGACCAAAAGTACAAAATGGGTAAATGTTCAAATTGCCATTGACAATTCAGGATGGAACTTCCTCTTACTAAAATTTCTATACTTTGTGTACGGGGATTTCAAGAAGTTTTTTTACTATGAGGGTGACTGAGCATTGGCACAGGTTCCCCAGGAGAGGTCGTGGAGTCTCCATCTTTGGAGATACTCTAAAAGCTACTTGGATATAGCCCCAGACAATAATCCTGAGAAAGAGCTTGGGACTGGATGATCTCCAGAGGTCCCTTCATATCTCATAGAATCATAGAACTATTCAAGTTGGAAAAGACTCTTGGGATCACCAAGTCTAACCGTCATCCCTGCTCTACAAAGTTCTCCTCTAAACCATATCCACCAGCACCACATCCAAATGACCCTTAAACACACCCAGGGATGGTGACGCAGCCTATTCTCCCTGGGCAGCCTATTCCAGTGTCTAACCACTCTTTCTGTGAAAAAGTTTTTCGTAATGTCCAGTCTAAACCTCCCCTGTTGCAGCTTGAAGCCATTCCCTCTTGTTCTGTCTCTAATTACCTGTGAAAAGAGACCAGCACCAACCTCTCTACAATGTCCTTTCAGGTAGTTGTAGAGACTGATGAGGTCCTCCCCTCAGCCTCCTCTTTCTCAAACAAAACATTCCCAGCTCCTTCAAGCATTCTACAAAAGATTTATTCTCTAGGCCCTTCACCGGCTTCGTTGCCCTCCTCTGTACTTGCTCCAGTATCTCGATATCTCTCTTGAATTGAGGTACCCAAAACTGGACGCAAGACTCCAGGTGTGGCCTCACCAGTGCTGAGAACAGGAGGACAATCACCTCTCTACTTCTACTGGTCACACTATTTCTAATACAGGCCAGGATGCCATTGGCTTTCTTGGCCACCTGGGCACACTGCTGGCTCATATTCAGCTGCTTGTCAATTAGAACCCCCAGGTCCTTTTCTGCCAGACACTTTCCAGCCACACTTCCCCAAGCCTGGAGTGTTGCCTGGTGTTGTTGTGGCCCAGGTGCAGGACCTGGCACTTGGCCTTGTTGAAGCCCAGACCATTAACATTAGCCCAACCACCTAATCTGTCCAAATCTCTCTGTAGAGCCTCCCTATCCTCATGCAGATCAACATTCTCACCTCAACCATTCTCTGATTCTGTAATAGTATATGAAATGTAGGTACTAGACAAAACTAATTCTGAGGTACAAGAGCTCAGGGTATAACTAGGATCTTTGGATTAGAATTTTATTTCCCAGTGTCATTTATATATGTTATCTAATACCATACATGAACAAAACCAAACAGGCTTTGGAAGAGCATAGAAACCAGGTCACTCCCCAGATACAGTTACTTCTTGGGCTGCCTTTCCAACGAAACCTGGGAAGCACAGAATGCCCACGTCCCAGAAAACACCCCATCACCCAGCAGCTGCACAGACGTGGTTCTTCAGTCCTTCCCCCAAGAATGAAGAAGATTATCAGGATGTCTATTTCTTTTTATAAGTGCTTGTAGTGATAGGACAAGGGGTAATGGCTATCAACTGGAAGAGGGTAGATTTAGGTTAGACATTAGGAAGAAATTCATTACTGTGAGGGTGAAGAGACATTGGAACAGGCTGCCAAGAGAAATGTGGATGCGCCTTCCCTGGAAGTATTCAAGGCCTTGGATGAGGCTTTGAGCTACCTGATCTAGTGGGAGGTGTCCCTGCCCATAGCAAGGGGCTTAGAACTAGATGATCCTTAAGATCCTTTCCAACCTAAACCATTCTATGATTCCATGATGTATGGACATTTTAACAATTAAGGTGCTACTCACATACCACCACCAATATTTTTGAAAGGTAGACAGCAGCCAAGAGCTTATTTTATAGACAGCCTCCTCACACATCTTTACTGAGGATGCCTGAAAAAATCCTTGCCAGAAAAGCAGAAGACTCAAGAATGAACAGCACATCTAACTGTCCAAAGTGTCCAACGAAGTGCTTCTTCAAAGGCAATATTTGAAGAACTTGAAAAATTTAATTACGGAAATGTTTGTGATGCCCAGGAGCCAACAGGGAATAGGTAACAGCTTAGCACAGCATTCAGTACTACAATTTCATATTTTTTTTATTCTGACCACATGTGGTATTTCCAAGTCACAGTGAAAAATTGCACTAGTGCAGGCACTATCTCATTTGGCCTTGTTTGCAGCTACTCTGGAGCTCTCGGCTAGTCCTCTCTCAAGGCCAAAAGAAAAGCTGTGCCTCTGTGACTTCTTAATAATAATTTCAGCATTAAGGCCTTACCTTTAAAAGACGGGGAAAAAAAATCCCTTTCCCAATCTTTCCAAAGACTTTTTGTACTAAACAACACAGCAGTTTCTTTATGGTAGTGCTGATAGTGCAAATCCAGATGTTCTTACACATAACAGATTTTGTTCCCCCTATAAACACCCTAAAGTTTCATGCCCCCTTTTATAAAAATTAGCCAATGAAAAACACTGAAGCTTTGTTGTTAAGACGTAGGTGTAAAGGGTGTGTTTAGATTTAAAATTATATTTAACAAGGGCTGTTGCCCCCTCAATGAGTTTTCATAAGGAAGGAGAAAGAATTATTAAGTAGGCTGTGAACAAAGAGCTAGAAATGTAAGTGACCCAACGCATAAGACTTGAATCACAGGATCAACTGTGACCTCCAAGACTTTGTGTCAACACTTCAGCTTTTGCAATTCAATTACGCTGTATTATGCATATGGAAAAGAAGTTTTAATAGAATAGAATTTTAATCAACGTCTTACGATAATTGTGATAAATTTTAGCCCCAGAGGATTCTCATTCATTACTGCAGCACAGATGAAGTGCTCTATTTTGCTATACATTAAAATAAACTGCATCAAAGGACTGTTACTATTGCTTAAATACACACTGTGAAATCCCTCAGCCCTTCAAAGTTGTTTTGCACTTGCCATTCTCAGTTGTCTTTAGAGGGGCTTCAGTACAAAACAAAACCAACCTGGGCAACTGTTAACTTGTAACAGTGCTAGATCTGTTGCTTTATTCTGTTTATGGTCTTGGTTGAAACTATTTCAATACATAGAACCAATATTTCCACTAATAATGCACTTGGCATTTGTTTTATATTTTCATTACTTGCTAGCAATGTAAAAATAGTGCATAGACATCTCAGTTCAGACTAGTCACATCTCACCATTCACAGATGCTAGGAAACCCTGATGAAAGACTTTATGCAGATTATTAGGAATTATTTTAAAAACAGTCTAAACACACAACCTTCCCTCCCCAAAACACCCCACTTCATATGAGCTTTTAATTTTTTCCAAAGAGTAGATTAATGTAATTCTTTGCTTTCTAAAGTTCCTATGCATATGTTTTTTTTTAATTTTGCTGGTGAACTTCCTGTGAGAAATTATTTCTCCTAAAACTGGCTAATTTCTTAAAACAAAGCATTTCCAAATTAATTTTCTTGAGTCTTTTACTATTTTTAACTTACATTTCAACTTCTAACTCACTATTGTCTAGATTGTTGTTTTGTTTTATTTAACCAACCTTCTTTCCTGAAGTCTCCCTGCGTGTTCATCATGATCACCACTGGATGCTTTATAGCTTCTTTAGTTTTTAACCTAACTCGAATGTAAACCTAAGCATTTTGTAAGTAAACCATTGCATTTTGGAAATGTCCTTCCGCTTATTGTTTAGCACATGCAGTTAATTTCAACATTAACCACACTGAAGAAACCATAATCTGTCAGTATTTTGGATTATTGTAAATCCAGCAATTTTATTTCTTTTAAAGATCTGCTAAATTAAATACTTTTTTTTTTTTTTTTTTTTTGGTCCCATTTTGCCCTGCAAATCACCAGTTCTAAAACTGGCATTTTGGTGTAGCTCATGGTGGACAGCATCTTCATTGTTTTTTCCTTATTATTTGAACAATTTGAGCTCTTAATCTGTTTTGTTGGAGTTTTTTTCATTTTCAGATAAACATAATGAATGAAATGGAATTTGTTTATTAGAAAGCAAGCTGCTTTTCCTTCTCTTTCTCTGATGAACAATCTTAGAATTTTTATGCTGGTATATATATCTGCCTTTCTACTGTAAGTAAACTTTACTGGGAAATTTCTGATTACCTGACATGACAGAAAAATTCTTATTCATTATGTATTTTTTTTTATTATGAAGGTAACATTATAACTTTATAATTTTGAAGATTTTATCAATATTCTTACTTTCTTACTTTAGTGTACTTTCTTAAGTCAGTTCATGAAAATTAATCTTTTTCATGTAGCATCTTCTATAGCACCATGCGCATCTTTGGAATCAGTGGAGGCAATTCATGGGAAACTTGCTTGAGCTTGTCTGCTTCTGCTCAGCAACCCAACACAACACAATTCTAAACTTGAAGCCTTCAGTGCTCAGTTTTGGAGGCAGCCACAAATGAAAAAACAAACAACCACAAAACCCACAACATGATGAATGCAGTGAGGTGGTGATGGCTCCTAAGGCTCATTTCTAAAGCTTTACATTTTATGTGTGTCTTCATGTGTGTGATGCTCAATGAGCTGGTTTATTGCTTACATTTTAATCAGCAGAGTCCTTAATTTTGATTTAAAATCTAACTTCAGTAATTTCACTGAACTGCCTTATTATCACTTAAAATACATTGCCACTGAAAGCATGGAATGAACAGTACATGAAAAAATGCATTAAATTAAATACTTTAAATGGTCTGAAGTAGAAGATATTAGAATTCAGTGTTACAATGCCAATGATACCATAGGATAGATGTCAATGTACATAATGCAACGTTTTATTATGGGCAGTACAAAATCACATTTTTTTCTCAGGATGCAAGATTCCATTGAGAACTACGGTGAAAATAAACATTGGGTTATAAATAAAAGTAGCAGTGCCATGGAAGAATTTTGTAATTGTCACTTAAAATTTAGTAGTAAAAATACTGAGTACCTGAAACACCAAATGTATACATTTTAAATTCAAAAGTCAATATTTTATCCATTTTGGACTAGAACCTGTAGGTCAGTTAGGTCAGAGGTTAAGCCTCAGATCCTTGGAGATAACAGTAAATACTATTTCAGAGGATTAAATAAACTACCTATAGAATGGAACCATGCATGTATCTGAGAGAAAAGCTGAATGAATGCCAAGAGGGAGGTACCTGGTTAACAGAAGCATCTGTATTAGCCACAGGTGAGGGAGAGCGACAGGCAGGTGGAGAAGAAATCTCACTGTTGGTTCCCTCCTCCCCAGACTCCTCAGTGACAGGGGAGAGCAGCGTGTGACAGCGACCAGCAGTCATCTGTCACAGGAAAAGCAACCCCGAGCACAGGAAGAAAATAAGTTACCTCAATTTAGGTTTGACTTAGACTGAGATCAAAACAAGTAAAAACAACACATGGCTAGAATTACCATGACATTATTTAGTCATACTTAACACTATTACTTTTACCAGCTTAAAAATTTGGTTCAGTTAATAGTCTAATTTATTTCTCACATTTTTGTATGAACATGCTCTTCCTTACCCTAATGAATGTAAAAGAAAATGCACAGCAAGGAACTCAATTATAAGAATCAGTGCCTACATGCCTTCTGAAACAATCACTGCTGCATGTGGAAATACTATAGAGAGCTACAGAGTAATACAGTATTGTTCTCAGTATCCAGGCCTGGTCAGAGCAACAAGGAATAGACTTAAAATATAAAATACATTTCTGCTGGATTTTTCTTGCTTCCCGATGCTGTTATACAGTGATAAATCCTGAAATCCGCACTCTGTTTTTACTCAGACAAAAATCCCAATAGCATCAGCAGTATGTACTGAGACCCAATCAGAAACAAATAGAAGCAGAGTATTTAAAATATGAGGCCTATGGCAGTACTTAGCCAGCTTTCATTCCCAACACACTCATCTGAGAATATGGCAGGATGCTGTTGTCACAGCAACATTTTGAGACAAGCTTTAAAAATATGGCTTGTAAACCTATACACTGCAACATGCTATGAAATAGTATTTATACCAGTTTATCTTATTCCTGCAATTTAGAAGTTTCTTAGCACTTGTTCTTGCATGTTAACAGCTACAAACAAGCATGATATTTGCATCTTATTACAGACAACTTTCACTGGTATTTGTCTGTTAAATAACTTCAGCATTTATTAACAACTCTTGAAAACCCACATAAGCAAAATACCCTAAGGGGAAGCTGCAGCTTGTTTGGTTTGCCACACTCCAGACATTGCAAAAGCAGAATGTAGATGAGAGCTGCAGCAATTTGCTACACCGGAGTGTTGCAATGATGCAAAAGCAAGCAGCTCAGATAAACAGTACCGAGACCAATGCATTCCTTACCATAACCACCGAGGGATGAGCGGGATGTGATGGGAGCAGGTCTGAATCCAGCTCCTCCATTCCCTCTGAAAGCCCCTCCACTTCTGTCACTGTTAGCAGCATGGTGGCATGTTTTGCTTTCATTGTCAGCATCTTGCACTTTGAATTCAAAGAAGCAATTTGCTCCTGATATCCTTTGATCTTCTGAGCCAGCTCCTGAGGAAACAGTTTTTTTTCCCTAATGCAGAGGCAGGCAGGAAAGGCCACAGGACCGGCAGCATTTCAGTTTCTTGTGGCAAAGGCAAGCTCTCCCTCCAAATCCAGCCAATAAAATCATAGTGCTGCCTCTCGGAAACCCTGCATAAGCCGCCACACTAGCTGACAAGCAGGATGTTGACAGTGGAGGGAAGAAGCCAGGCTGTGGCTGCACAGCTAAACCGCAGAGCACAGAGCTCTGAAGAGAAACTGGAAAAGTACTGCGAAAGGCTCCGTGTGTCTGATCAGTGCAGAAGGGAGGGAGGAATACCTCACGCTTGCATCCAAGCTGAACCTGACACGAACTCTATAAGCTTTGGACTGCAGCAAAGGGGAAGGTCTCTCCCTCTTCCTGTCCTGTTTTATTTTCCCCTGTTCTATTTCCATTTATCTGAGGAAGATGAAGCGCCTCTGCACAGCGCATGCCATGGAAATGAGGTCATATGGTAACTGCGACTGTAAAAAATGCCCCATTCAGCTCTCGCCAGAAAGAATGAATTGTTCAAACAATAGCTCACACTCTAACAAGATCAAATGTGATATGAACAATCAGTCACATAATAAGATGAAATGCAGACTAGCCTCTTTTTGCCAGTGATTGGATAAGCTTTTGATATTGCTTTGGTTTTGTGCAAGTCTTCAGAATTAAAAGCTGAGCTGGACACAGTACTAACCTTTCTTTAAAATGAGCTGAGAAATCTGGTCTATAGCAGAATATATTTTAGAATATTGGGGTTTATGGCTATTAAATGGTCTATCTGCATGCCCAAATACCATCTTAAGTTTAAATTTATTCAGAGAAGAAAGATGCAAATAAATAGCCTTAGAAAGCAACTTGTCTTCTTCTCTAACCCTGAACTGCTGCCTAATTCAATGTCCACTTTCAAAGATTTAAATTAATACACTTAAAATAAAAATCAGTGGAAGATTTTCACATTTCTGCCAAAGCTATTATTCCTGTCTCCCTGGAGGCTCAATAACATGATAGACATTTGATCTGCAGAGTGAAAATCACATTTGTATAAGCTTGCCTGCTGAGTCAGTGATTATTCATCCAAATATATATTTCTGCTCTATTTTTTATTTTTGCTTTTATTTCTTCAAGAAACACAAATTTTGAAGGAAAAAAAGAAGAAACCTAAGTTGCAAGATCCAGTAGGTATAATAATAAATAATTACAATATCTTAAAAAAAAAATAAGATTATTGCTATGTAAAATTTACTACGGTAGAATTAAAACAGTTTTTTTGGTTGTATAACATTTTCAGGAAACCATATCCTTGAAGTCAGTGCAGAACAGTCATAATGAGAAACACAGAGATAGAAATGGAAGGAGCACAAAGGCTGAGGATGACACTTTTCTGCCTGGGTTTCAATGGTATCACTGTCTGTCACATAATCAACAAAAGGAGCTCTCCTGAAACTCCAAGGCTTACCTTGGTGGCTTCAGTATAAAACATTACCTAGAGCAATTGAAAATCAAACCAAAATCAAATCAAGACACAACTTCATGTCTAGCACCTGGAATAGTTATCAGCTCTGTTTGGCATGTACCAGCCACTCACTGGTGCTCAATGCATGACATCCCTGGGGATCAGTGTATATATACTCACGTAACTCTGTCAATATTACTAAGATGCAAGAACATTTGTGGCATTAATGTCCAAAGCACTGAGTATCTAACATACCTCTCTCAATTGAAAACAAAGGAAAGGAAAAGGAGGGGAGAAACGTGACTTAGATAAAAAATAAATTACTTATAAAAGCAATGTCCTGTAAGTATTGCATAATCCATTATGATAATTCACAAGTATGGAGATACTTGCCCACTTTCCTACCTGAAAGTCTAAAGAAACACTGTTCGGTAAAGATAGTTCCAGAGTGTAATTAGTTGCGTATATGCACAGCAATACAAGCTACCTACAAATCAAGGCATACCTTCCTGCTACTTTCTTCATCATATTTTAATTCTAAAATACCTACTACAAACGTCACCTTAAGCTCTTTTTCACGGATGTTTCAACAGGGAATTTAATAACTGGTATTTTTTTAAATAATACCACACATAGCAAGCATCTTGATAGATTTGCCTTTCAGAGTAGTAGCTTTTCTACAGGTATTTAGCAGACAAACTGAGCCAAAAACATGCATATCTCAGGCTTTTAAAACTCCTTACCCCAAAACATTGAAAGCTCACCAGTATAAAACCTGTCCACTATGGTTGATTCCAACATACACAATAGAGTAAAGCTGCTGTCTTCCTGCAGACGTTTAGAAGGACTCCCAGCTATTGAACTTGTTCAAATGCAGATTAAACATCAATCTGCCCTGTTTTTCATTCCTTCCTCCCTTCATCGGCATTTGCTTCTCCAGCAATATTGCCCTCTATCACTGAAGCTGCTCTCCTGCATTTGCTGTTCCAGAACACTTAAATAGAGAACAGCATTTTTAATTCAGTACTCAAAAAACAAAAGTGTTTGTATAACAAACTGCTCTGCATGTATACTAAATAACTTTTGTTACAACTGGATAGAAAATGAGCAACACATGCAACAGTGGGTTCTATTACATAATAGCAGTTTTTAATTCAAAGGTAAAGAAATGGTGCCATCTGGTGCCAAATGTGATACACAGAATTCAGTGGTGCATTTTCTACCCCATGAAATACACAACAAAAAGGGAAAGGAGAAAGGGCTCCAGCACAGTGAGAAGTCTGCACAGAGACAACTACCTCAACTTATTCAAAGGCTGAAGATCAATGAGTTTGAGGGCAACATGTGTAACCCCACAAGACAAAACTCTTCCCGACAATGACTTTAAAAGCAGCTTTTGGAGTGAATATAGTGCAGTTTTGCTCCAAATCTACTTTTTTTCATGTGATTCAAGTTCCTTTGTGTTCTTTTAAAGAATGCTACTGAGATGAAAATGAGGAAGGATGGAGATATATATATATATGGATATATATATAGATATATATGTATGCATATATGTATACATAAAGAGCACTTAACAAGCAGTCATCACTGACTTCTGAGACACTCCTCGCTCAAGTATCTATGTTAACTCTCCCTTAATTATGCAATGCTTTCACTTGTCATAACGTTGCCTGGAGATTAGGACACATGTAACTAAATAAACTAAATGAATACTTCACACTGTACCAATAGCATGTGTTTCCTCTCTAGTGTTAAGTCTGTCTGCTCAACAAGCCTTGAGGAAGTCTGAAAAGCTACTCAGCTAATTTGTGACTGTTGCTTATGAAAAGGTTTTTTTGATCAATGAGCTGCCATCAAGATCATGTTGATGCCATTTGGCTCTCCTACCTCATGATGTGAAATCTGGACCTGGAGTTCCTGGATGTTGCTGGTTGATACTGGCTTGTCTTGGATCTCCTGATGAGCACTCTCTATCATTTGCTGTAAATGTTTCATTTCTTGCTCATATTGCTCATACTGAACCACCGCTTCCTAGGGAGGGAAAAAAATATTGAGTGTCTACATGAAAACAAGTATTTACTTAGTCCAAGCATAACTGATCTCAGTTCTGTGTTGGAGCAAACTTAGATCCATCTGGCAGTCGCACTTTGCTGGATAAGCAAGACAGGAATATAGTCAGGAAAAAAACTCCATTAAGAAATATTGTGAACTGCAATGACGTCAATGGTTACCTGCATGCAATTGTGTATTAACTACTTCTCGTTGATCCTGAGAGCATTACAAGAAATACCGAATCAAGTTAACTCAATCATGAATGTTAAAATCCCCAAAATAACAGGAGTCAGAAATGACTAAAACTTAGAGAGACAAGGGAGCTTTCTAATGGTACTATACGGAAAAGAGAAATGCAGAGAGATACAAAGTTCTCTGTTTTCCTCACAAATGGTATGGCACTGTCCAAGTTACTCAGAAGAATGCATGGGATGGAGTTGCACTTGCCTGCATGATGTTGCACTGCTGAATGGCAGTGTGCTGCAGGCGGCTGGCCTCCTCCTGGAGCTGGAGGGCACTGTGGCACATGGGCAGGCCAGTGACCACCTCTTCAGGAATCCTCAGGGCACTCTGACAGACTTGTACTGTGTGGACCTTTGGCTTCAGTGACTCCATTTCAGACAAGAGATGCTAGAAACAAAGTCAATGCCACAATAAGCCAGTTTTGCAGAACTCCCAGAGCATTTCCTGCTTGATGAATTCAAGCACTAAAGAAAACAAATTTGATTATCTGGTTTCTAAATTGGATATAATCAAGACACACCCTATTTGGAGTTGCCATTCTGAAATGAGCATTCATTTAAATATTAGTTAAGCAAAAAGCCCATATACTAGGAATAAAAGTAATTAATGGAAAAGTATATTAGTACCTATTTGTAAGTGTGCAAATAAAAAAATATTTCTGTTAACATGTTTGAAAAAACATCTTTACAAAATCCATAAATCAAAACAGCATGGGAATCATTTATGTATACTCATATTTTAAAGTCAAAATCCAAGGGGAACTCTCTTTTGAGACACAGATGCACATTTTCAAAACAGCAAATGAATCCAATGGTGTTCATGGCCTTCCTTTGAAAATATACACCATGGTTGAAAATGTTGCTTAAAATTCAAAAGGCAATCAAACAAGGAGAAACACAGCTACACATAGATCTTTTCCTTTGAATAATCATGCAAGGGACACCTTTGTTAATAGTTTCTATTTTGTTCACAGTGTCCATTCAAGATGTTTGTTCATATGCATGAGAAGAGAACTGATCTGCATTCTTTTCTTCACTGAGGAGAGTAATGTATTCATAGATATAAAAAACCAAAAACAATTTTAAAAAAAGGCAAAGTTGATGAAAAATGCCATAGTGCATTAGAAAAAGTTTTTAAACTCAAGAGGTATAAATCAGCAAAACAATTTATGTGGAAAATAAGGATAAAGGGATAAAGGGACTGGTCATCTCCCTTCTTCTTACACCATATGTAGAAAGATAGTCAAGGAGGTCTGATGTGCATACTGATGAGAGGATTTTGGTTTGCTCTTTATTTCTCTTCCTTCATGCCATATGGTGGATAGTGTAACCCGAGATTTGGTACAATGATCTAATCCTTGGACATTGCTGGTGAGGCCTCTCCTCTGGAAGGCTCCATACTGCTGCAAAAGATTCCTTTATTGTGCAATCAGCGCCTAGAGCTTCCCTAGGGCTGCTTGCCAGTTTGGCACTCCCCATGACCCTCTGATATGGTGAAGAGGTGGGCAAGAGCTACAGCCCCCTTCTGTATAAAAGAAAGTCATATTGTGATACCTGCTAGAGCCCGAACAAAGAATACACATGAACAACAGCATAAACTCTATATTCCTTTACTCTTACAGTAGGAGTTGTTTCACTTACACTCATCAGTGCTACATTCTGAAATCCCTAGAAAAATCCTGTGTATTTTAAACAAAAGGGAAATCTTTGCAAATTTACCTTTAAACCATATGTTTTTGTGCATATTTTAATCCTAAAGTGGACCTGTTAACACTGGATTTTCACAGGCAGATTAGGACAGTTAAATATCTCTATTAGCTTTCAGAAAGAAACACTTCTTAAGCAGCTCAGAAAGTTATAATTTGGGTTATATATTTTGTCATGAGACTGATACCAAAATTAACAAGCTGACAAATCTCTATAGTAGGCCAAGTGCAATATAAAAAAGCAGCAATATCTTATGGAGGTAGTTAAACTAAACATAGAAAAATGTACTGAGCTTAAGGAAAAGTGAATTTTCTCTTAGCTTTCCAGTTCACACGTGAGTGAGCTATCAAGATGCTATCTAATTGCATCTCTATCAGTAAAATGGTGATAGAAATTCAGACTTCTTTTTGAAATACTTTAAGAACCTGTTGATGAAGAGCACTGAGTAAGAACTGAGCATTATTCCCTTGGCAGTAATTTTGGGCTAGACTCTGAAACAACCCACCTAAGAAACACCACAGTCAGTCTTACCAATATTCAATAATTTTTTGTAAGCTCACACTATGCAAGTCCTAATTTTGAGTTACTGGCCTTTTACCTGTCTGTGAGAAAGCTGCTCTTTCAAGCTCAAATGCCCGAGCTCTGGAGAAGTCAGTGTGGCTTGGGCTTGCTCCAGAGCAGCCTGCAGGCCTCTCAGCTCAATTTCAAATTTCTTCATGTCCTGCAACACAACACATTTGATTCAGGGGTTAAAAAAAAATAATATTAAAACATTTTTAAAAACCACTATATCTGTCTGCATTTTGTAGCTACAACCCTTATATACAGTGCTAAAACTAATTCACAGTTTCAACAAAGAATTTTCAATGTTTAAAATATTGGATAAAAATACCAATCATATGACAGTCTAGAAAAAGAGATCTCAAAGTCACAGTTATTATTTTAAGTACTTCCTCAATCTTAAATACAGCATGTACTTTATAAAGATAAAATAAAGTTCAAGGCCTAGAAAGTAACTCAAGATGTCCCCTAGTCATCTTCCTGCAATAAGACAGGACATAACTGTCTTATCTTTACAGACTGTTGATAAGGACCACCAGCAGTCGAGTCCCTCTGGTCTCTACAGATGACATATTCTATTGTTCCAGTATTCTCCTTTTGTAGAATGTTTTTTCTGATGATCTGATGTGCAGTTATCTTTTGTGGCAATTTCAATCCTCTACTTACTATCCCATTAACAACACACATGAAGAACAAATTCTTTTTATTCTCTCTGAATAGATCATATGTTAGGATAATGCATGGCATCTTTTCTACAAATTTATACATGCATCACAGTCATCACTATCCTCTGTCCCTTCTACTTACAAATAGTTTATTCAATTGTTTCAATACTTCTCTGAAAACTGAAGCTAGTAAGTTTCACTTTTTCTATGGCTACTTGTATGCAAACCTCTGCTTTGTTCCATGAGAAAAAAAATAAAAATAGAAGCCTTCAGATCATAAACTGCAGTTTACTAATATGTGCTTTTGTAACGGAAAGAAGTCTGAACTCCTATAAATACAAAAATTATGTAATTCCAACATTAATTTTTTCCTGATTTATTGTATCAATTAAGAAAAAAAAAAAAAAGGTAAGAGCACACAGAAGAGACTTCTATGCTTTTCCCTGTGTCTTGCACCAGTTTACCATGCCCTCAGGGTTTGCACAGGCACAATACACACATATTAACAGTATATCCTTATGGAAGAGCTGCACAGAAATGTCAGGAAAATGAAAAAGCCCGCTCATCCTTTTCATTGCACTCTTTTGTAGGGGTAGGTCTTACATTATGGAAACTGGTCTGGTTCAGTACTGATCTGAATTAACAGAGAGCAGGCTTTAGACATCTTTCAAGAGAAAAATAAAGGAAATGGCACAGCATGAGTGCCAACACAGACACTTTTCAAGTATCTAAACATAGCTGCTTAGTGTCATTTGAGACACACCATGATCGCCAGTACATCCATCCAGAATGGGCAGATAAGACAGGACCTGCAGGAACCTTGTCCCCATCTGGAACAGCACATGAAGGCAGCATCTCAAACGGTACAAAATGTCTAACTTTGGACAACCCAGTCACACCTGCTTACAGACCACAGACAATCTGCACTGCTAATAGTCTCAGAAAAATAATGCAAACACTACCCTAGTTGTCAGCTATTATTAGAAAAACTGCATCCATGTACCTTGGCAGCATCTTGGAGATTTGGTAGCCGCACTTTGATAATTTGTTGCAATTCCTCTGTTCTCCGCCCCAGTTCCAGCACTTGCTGTGACATTCCTTCAGTACAGTACACACTGGCTAGATACTCAATCCTGTCACTCATGGCCTCAAGATCACCATGAATCTCTCCAGACTCATCCAACATAGTCTAGATGGAGATAAGAACAAATTGAACGCCAGAGTTGAGCTTCAGATTAAACAAATCTTTATATTTCTGTTCTGCAAACTCCTCAATTTCTACACATGTGTAAGCATATTACTAAGTTCTACTAATTTCCTGGAAGGCTTGGGCAATATGTTTAATCATTTATGCTGAAGTGCTTCAGCTTATGAAGAGTGGGAAATAAAATAGTAAATTGTAAAGTTTCAGTAGCTCTATTTAACAACTCACTTATTTTAGTGTTTTGCTATACACACTTGCCTGTGAAAATGTAACATACACAATCTAGGGATCAGATGTGTTCTGGAACCCTGGTGTACCTAATAGAAGGCAGCAGAAAGCACTTGGGTGCAGTCTTATAGCAGAGCAGTAGTTATTAATGCTACCTAAAAAATGGCTACTAAAGTGTTCTGTGTGTATCCTCATCAACTTTTGAAGCAGGGAAAAAGCCTTAGTAAAAACAAACCAGACATGCTGCCTCCCCAGGACAAATTGCCTGGAGGTTCCTATTCTGAAGAAGAAAGCATGACATACTGCATTGCCTCAAAGGAAGTGAATGTACTTGACAGTTAACTAATGTATACATAAAAAAAAACATAATGTAGTCTTATTTTGACATTGCTGAGACATGATCATCTTATGATTTTATTTTTTTCACATGGTCATGTAACACTAGACAAGCTTGAACCTTATCAAACTGCTCCTCCACTGATCCCAGACTCACCTATTCCACACATAGAACAAACTGCACTGTCACAGGGACAGCAAAACACTCTGATTTGAGACGTTCAGGAAGCAACTGGAAGAAACTCACCTATTTGGTATCAGTCTGAAAACACTTGATATGAATCTATTCAGATGAGAACAAAGGTTTTTCCAATTTTGTGTGAAGAAAAAAAAGAAAAAACCCCCCACCAAAACCAAAATGCAACCAAACCTGAAAATTGTGTTTGATTAACTAGAGTTTTAGAAGAATATCAGCTGTAATAAGGTACCATGTGAGACAGAATCATGGTATATAGAGACATGCTATTCAGTCAAAAGCTGCTATGAAGCCAATGTACTTGAGGAAACATGCAGATCAACTTTGAATCAGATAGTTTTATTCAAAATATATGCTAATTTCAGTCTTCAAAATAGTTGTAAAAAAAAATAAAAATTAAACATCTATAAGACTTAGGGGAACAGTCAAAGAAACCTAGCATGTAAAGACACTTTTCTGAAGGGAAGGATGCAAAAAAGTGTAGGATATAAAACTTCACTGCTCAGAAAAAGAACTTTATACACTGTTGTTTAAATTTCACAGTTCATATAATCACCTGGTAGGCTTTACACTGATCACGAAGCTGAGAGGAAGAATTCCATGTTATACTACCATGCACTAGGATATTCGCTTTCTCGATCCATTTCAATATGAACTCCAACATCTCATTGTATTCTTCCAAGTGTGAAGCAGCCTGGATATAAAAGAAAAATCCACTTAAGCCTAAGATGTAATCCTATAGAGTTTTAAGGAATGGTAACATTACTTTTATTTAATTTACTGTTTTTAACTTGAGGATTTTTTTAACAACTTTTCTTTAGTGTTGAATATAATTTCATGGAATCACAGAATTATCAGAGTTGGAAGGGATCGCCTAGAACACATCACACAGGAACATGTCCAGGCAGGTCTTGAATGTCTCCAGAGAAAGAAACTGCACAACCTCCCTGGGCAGCCTGTTCCAGTGGTCTGTCACCCTCACCATAAAGAAGTTTTTCCTCATCTTTAAATGGAACTTCCTATGTTCCAACTTGTAGCCATTGCCCCACAATATTTCTTGTCACTGGGAACTACTAAAGAGTCTGGCTCCATCCTCCCTGCACCCACCCTTTAGATACTTATTGGCATTAATAAAGTCTCCCCTCAGCCTTCTCTTCTCCAGGCTGAAGAGTCCCAGCTCACTCAGCCTCTCCTCATAAGGCAGATGCTCCAACCCCGCCATCATCTTTGTTGCCCTCCACTGGACTTTCTCTAGTAGTTCCCTGTCTGTCTTGAACTGAGGAACCTTGAACTGGACACAGTATTCCAGATGTGGCCTCACCAGGGCAGAGCAGAAGGGGAGAATGACCTCTTTTGACCTACTGGCCACACACTTTCTTATGCACCCCAGGATTCCATTGGCCCTCTTGGCAGCAAGTGCACATTGCTGGCTCATGGATAATTCACTATCTACCAGGACTCCCAGATCATTCTCCTCGGAACTGCTTTCCAGCAGGTCCACTCCTAGCCTATATTGGTGCATGGGGTTCTTCCACCCCAGGTGCAGGACTCTACACTTGCCCTTGTTGAGCCGCATTAGGTTCTCCTCTGCCCAGCTCTCCAGCCTAACCAGGTCACACTGGATGGCAGCACAGTCCTCTGGAGTGTCGGCCACCCTTCCCAGTTTTGCATCATCAGTGAACTTTCTGAGGATATGCTCTGTCCCCTCCTCCAGGTCATTGATGAATATGTTGAACAAGACCAGATTGAGTGTCAACCGCTGGGGGACACCACTGGTTACAGGCCTCTAACGTGACCCTGCTCCGTTAATCAAACCCACTGAGTTCTGTTACACAGCCAGCTCTCAATCCACCTCACTGTTCACTCATCAAGCCCACACTCCCTCAGTTTAATTACTTCTGTATTTATAGAGTTAAAATAGGTCTGCTCCCATTAATAAACATCTATTTCAGTGGAAAAAAATATACTACAAGAATGTAGGTCACACTGGAAGAGTGTATTGATGCTCAAATATATCTCTAGAGGGTACACTTCCTGCACATATTCAGCCTCACACATAAGTTCCAAAATGCCTTCTTGCTCAGTTTGTGGCACAATGCAAACCTGTCTATGTCATTTCTTATTTTTTCCTGTTTCCATGTCACCACCAAAATCATCTTTATTTAAAACCTGCTTTGTCTACTCAGCCTGTTCTATTTCCAAAAAGAGAAACATTGCACTTATTTCAAAATACAGGACAAAAGCTCTGCTTTCTGATTCATCCAGTTTCTATTTAGTAAAGTACTGTTTAGTTCCCTTTTTCTTCTCATTTAGCCAGAATAAGTTCACTGATCTTCATGCATTTTTCCTGTATGAAGGACGGATCAAATCCTAGGTGACAGAACTGTATTTGCATGTAGTTTGCCTTACCTATAGCACTTTATGTCTTGGTGCTGAACAAAAATATCCTAATAGATAAACCCTTCACCAAGTACCTTTGACTGAACTCTTACTTTGATAGTAATTTTCTAAAAAGCTTTCCAGAGGAAACTGAAAAGAGTCTAACAAAATAGTTATCTTTTTCAAGCTTTACAGAAGCTTCTTTATGCATGCAGAAGAGAGAACTCAATTTACCAGGGCACTGATGGCAGAACCACAGAAAATCCATTTCTTTGCTTTTAATAGACTTTTTTTGGGTTAACAAGAATTAGCAAAAAAATATATAAGGAATAGTTTCAGGGAAACATCTTTATGAATGCTGAAGTGTTGCACAAACATTATGCATTATCAGGACTGTTGTATCTACACTTTTCTATTGAATCTACAAATTATATTCACCCTTCATAGATTATTAATAGAATAAAGCATCATTTTTTTAATTATTTTTTTTTCTTTTCTGCTGCAAATATGGATAACAGTGGTAAGACAGAGGCCCTGAAAAGCACAGTGAGATAATATTGCCTGTCATGGCAATTATGGACTTCTGTGGGAAAGTCCACAATCTTTTCAGGGCACCAGAGGAACCAACTAGCAAATGATTAATGGAAAAGGATGTTAAAGCAGAATCTCAGCGTTTTTCTACACTCCTGATCTGACCAGTCTCATGCCTTTCTGTGATGCAAGTACTGACTAATAATAGGCAGATGTGCTAAGAAATGCCCCTTCTTGTATAACTATGTGAAGATAAACATGAAGTTTGCATGTTTCTTCTGCTTCTGAAAGGAAACAGCAGAAAGGATTGGAGATAGTACCTGACTGAGCTTAGCTGCTCTGTACTCAGCCTGCTGTACCGTCTGTTGGTGCAATGCAGTGAGTTTCCCAATCCTGTTAGCCAGTTGCTTAGCCAGTGGTACATTCTGCTCTGCAAAGTCCTGGACTGATGCATCTAATTCCAACAGCTTTATGTTGCAGCTGTCCAACTCTTCACCGAGGATCTAGACAGAACAAGAAAAAAATCAGTGATCCAGGAAGTGTTAGGTGTCTGGTTGTTTATTTCTAGTCCAGCTTGCAACTTCTATGCCCTGTCCAAAGTCTCAGTTTTTTGTTCCATTTTTATTCTGGCTGGAAACCAACAATGCGTGTCTAAGCAGAAAGGCAGAACAGCAGGAAGTTTGGCCATCTCTGAAATGTGTGCCATTACTCTTTCTTCTCTGACTTCATGGCTAAAATGGATAAACTTTTTCACTTCCATAGCAAAAGACTGAGTAATTTCAGAGTGACATTAACCGTTCTTGGCCGTCTTTCTGTGTTTGTTTTTGAAATCAATAGTCAGTACACATTGCCATGACAAGGATTTTGCATTACTGGAAAGAGATTTTTTTTTTTCTTGCTGTCTTAAAATATTCCTTTACAAACTCAGAAATATGTAATGACTCATAAATGCATTATATAAGTTTTCATTTTAATTTGAAACTTGCAGTTTCACAGCTTGATCCTGACACAGGAGCAGTCCTGGATTGTGCTAGACTTTCAAAAGAAATAGATTTTAAAATCAGCTTTTCTTACCATAGTTACAAAGTTTCTGTAAAATTTAAAAAGGAAACCTAAAAGGTTTTCTGTGTTTCCCATAGATTGATAAAACACTTACTGACTACAGTTTCTTGGGGAGGAGGTATTGTTGGGTTTTTTTAATTTCATTTTGGTTTTATACCTAAGGTGTTAACGATTCATTGTTTTTGTAATACCAATAAAATAAGTCTCAAGCACTCTAGCTCCTTTACAATATTTTTAGAAATATAAATTGCAATCAGACAAAAATTGATCCAGAACACTAGTCTAACTACAGGTGCTTCAAGAAGATACTTCAAGCTCTTTAGGTTAGGGCTGTCCTGGCAGACACACCTTAGAGTATAAGTTATGATCAACTATTACAATAAACAAATATTATTCCATGAACAGTAGCGTAACTTAGTGACATGACTGTCTACAGGTAGACAAAGACAGATGTTGAACTGCTCATCTAGATAAAAAGACACACATATCTCAGATAAGCATAAATAAATATATCTACAGTGCAGAATTTATACAGTTTAAAAATGAGAGAAGGATCCACCTGACTTGAATTACATGGATTTTAGACAGATTTCTGTTTTATTTTTCATATTCAGTTTCAATGTTAATATAAAAATATTTACTGCTGTAATCAAAGCCAACCCAGTCTCAGGACTATCAGCTGAGTGCTGACATAAACACAGTTGAGGAACTTTACTAAATCTCCAATGAAAGAGTTTTCATCTATGTAACATGAGAAGGCCCACTTCACTGGCTTTCTGCTTAATTACGGGGATGAAGGAGACACACCAGTTTTAAAGGGATATATTTCAGTGATACAACCAGCAAAGCAAATGATACTCTGGAGCATATTGAGAGCAACTCATCAAAATAAACATGGAATTTTTGTCATACCAGACATGCCAAATCTTCTCCTAATTTCTCCTTTGTTTACTTCCAGACAGTAATTTTGTCAAGCTAATTTTTAACTAGTTAAAAAACGAAACAAAACTAAAAAAATCCTCACCCTCAACATCTTCTCCAACCCCCAAAAAACCCTCTGCCCTCATATAATAATCCTAACTTAGCCACTACACTTCAGTACAGATGAGCTTTTTGGAGTGTGGCACATACCTAAGAGTAAGAATACCTAGACAAGGAACTGAGTCCTTTGCACTCCCCTTAACCACACCAGTAGTACTTTGCTTCATTATTGCACCACATGATAGGAGATGAACTACTGGCTAAGTAAAACTCTGGTTATCACAAGTAAAGGTGTACTGTACTGTACTTTCCAGTACAGACTGGGACAAGGAGCAGTTGAGAAACCTCTTAGGTTTTCCCAGATTGCAGTCATACTCATTATCTTTAAGTAAGGGTACTATGTCACAGCATAACTTGGTCCATCTGACTTGTTTTCATTCTCAGCTTCTTCCTCCAAGTCCTGTTATTAATTCAAGTCCCTGTATGAGTTAGTTTGCAAAGAATATAATTCTAAAATCTCATCAGTCAAAACTAATTTCTGTCTATTCTTCTGTTGAACTACTAAAAAATGTGTCATGCAAACCTTCACAAATACAACTTTGGTATGAAGTGAATGTCCCAACTCAGAAGAATTTATGGTTTAACCAAATAAGGAAAGTCTTAGTCTTACCTTTTGTTCAAGTTTAGCTTGTGCTATATCATTTGTTTTCTTTTTCAGTTTTGAAAGAATGGCATTTAGTTCACTTGCTATCTCCTGAATTTTCTGACTGAACTCTTGATTCAGTCTTTTGATCCGCTGAGTTTCTCTTTCTTTGGTTTGAATCTGTCAAGAATAGGAAATAAATTCAGTAATCAGAAATCTCTCCTCCTGAAAGGAAATTAACTTTCAATTACCTTCATTTAATTTCAATGAAGGTAATGAAAATACTCCACACTGTCATAGTTTGACATTTGGCTACTGTATTCCACTAAGTTATAAAGTTTTATAGATTTGTAATGTATTTATCTACTATGTTTTACCTGATCTTGTACAGTTACAAGGTCCAGCCCAACTTCTGCTAAATGAAGAGAAAGTTCAGAAGGCAAAATGGTATAAAGTCCCAAATACTTATTCTGTTGTTGTTCAGCCATTTTTTCAACAGCCTGGCGATGAGTGGTTACTTCACCAAGGAGAGACTAATGACAGAAAAACAGTATTGTTGAGAACAATGGGAAAAACATTTCTATGTAAACTTAGAAAATGCAAACATTTCATGGAGCTTGCAGCAAAGCTATCCACTTTCAAATTTTGTATTTGTTTATTAAAAAGAATTGTAGCTTGGGATTCCCTGGATTCTCATTTATGACTGTCCAGTTCTCTGTTCCTGTGTGACCACATATATGTAGAAAATGTCAAGCTTTCAGCACCTCCAGTGAAATGAGTTTATTTTATTTTGTTGCTTGCCTCCTTGCCCCAAAAGACTGCCAAGAAATATCACATTCTGTCTGTTCACATTCTATGGTTCCTCCATATCTTAGATGAGAAGAGAAATACTACTAAACAATATGCTGGTTTGCAAAAATGCATAAATGCAAATCTTAAATATCTTTAAAATAAGGTATTGCAGCCCATCAGCTACTTCATGCTTTATGAATTTGTCTAGTGGCTTACACCAAAACTAAAGAGTATTGTCTGATTTGAATTCGACGGTTACCTCTTTTTTTTTGTGTGTGTGTTTTTTTGGTGTGTGTTTGTTTTGTTTTTTATTTTGTTTTAACTAACACTCACTAGCAGATTTTAATGAAGATTAATATTGGAAATTGAAAAATTTGATATACCTGCAACTCATGAAGTTGAGTATCCACTTCAACATCAGGGCTTAATAAATACTCTTTTGTTTCCTGGATCCAGGACTTGACAGTATTAATCTCTGCTTCAACATCATCACGCTCCTTCAGCTCCTGTTTCACCATCTTCACACCCTTTTTCACTTTCTGTTGCATACTTCAGAAACACAGAAATTAAAACTATTTGCAAAGAATTAAGTAAGGTCTCAAAACACTGCTTTGCCAAAAAATATTGAACAATAAAGGCAATGACTGATAGACCCACATCCAGAGTAACAAAAACTGAGGCAGTGTTGCAACAGACTACTAAAGCAATACACATTCTTTGGTCCATTCTTTCTAATTAGCTTTTTTATATATATTTGGACTTCAACTGCACAACTCTTGAAAGAATGCAAATGTTCCCAATACATACATCTACATTTGAGCTCATCACAACAGATTTCTCTAATTGTCAGTGCAGTTTCTACATTTTCTACAGGGATTGCTATTCTAATGTAATCAGTTATGTATGAACACAATTAACTTTGGACAGGCTAGGTGCCAAGTTTATAGTATTTCTTTCTTTGTCGCTCTCCCTCTTCCCACTGTGGAGATCCAGTTAATGGCATCTTAGTGCAGTTATTAAGTGAACATAAGCCCTGAAACTTTAGCCATAAAATTTCCTGGTTTATACATGACAGGAAAACATTTTATGTTTAGATTAACATTCATATAACCACAGGGTGAAATGTTAAGATATATTTTGTTTGCATATGCAATAAATTCCCTTGTAAATTTCATAGTATACCTACTTTTGGTACCTAAGTGCTTCCAATGGGAAACAAAGTGCTGAACAAATCTAAACTTAGGTTACAAAAAAAGATAAATGGTCCCTGTTAAGAGTGAGATGCAATGGAAGGGTTTAAAATATTTTATAAATGTAATGTAGCTTATACAACCCTAACATAAGTTATTGTTATTATGCAAGGCAAAAGGTACATATCCCAAAAAAGTATACTCCTACTGATAGAAATAAAATATAATGGCAAAAACTTATTTCAAAATCAACTAAAGATAATTTAAAATTCATATGATGCTTCTTTTAAATACAGTAACTAATATTTATTTTAAACATGGTAATTGTTAATTATGATAAAAATTATATATGAACTATACGAATTATAGGGTACCATTTTGCTAGAGAATCTTTTAAAATACTGCCTTACTTGTGGCATCGATCTTGCATTGCTTTGATTTCTTGCATGACTGGTAGTTCCTCCTTAGATGGAGGTTTTCTTTCCACATCTTGAAGAACACTGACAGCATGCTGTTTGAGCAGGCCCAAAGATGACAGCTGATGCTCCACCTCCTGAAGGAAACTGCTGTGGTAATCCAGGAGTTCCAGGAGCTCTGTTCTAGATGACTTTTCCACTGAGCTTTCTGGTAAGCGACCTTGTAACTGATCTATTACTATGGTGGCTTTCTGAATCTATGGGAAGAGATGCAGTCTTGTGAATAATGTAATTAAAAAGTAGCTAATACAACCAACACCAAAAGATGCTAAACCCAGTGCTGTACATTTAGATGCTGTGAAACAGTTCTGGTATAGTGCTGGCGCAGCAGTCTCTATGGCATATATAAATCCATGCTCTAGTGTGCTAGATCTAGCTAGCTGGCCCTAGCTCTTGACACTGGGTAGGACTTGCTAAGATATTTTCTTGTCAAGGGATGAGCGGTTCCTTATATTTTTTAGCATTTATTATCTTTATTGCCATAGGACTGAGAGCTCTATCTACCCCAGGGCAGACCCATATTTGGCACAAGTCATAAATTTAATAAAAAGATGATCCCTATTCACAGAGAACCTGCAATTTGAGCATAAAAGAACAGACAATAACACATAAAGAGACAGGCAGAATACAAAGACAAAAAAAAAAAAAGAGACACACATGATCCATGAGCAGTGACAGGCAATAATATCACTGCATAAATTTAGAAATAGCAACTTCAGACTCTTCCCATATTTCACCCCAGTAAAGAGTAAGGATTTACAGTTAAAAAAACAACAACAACAGAGACATGTTAACAATCTAGAACAGGTCATTGGGTGAAGTGAAACATAGAGGAGGTTCTGAAGAACTACCAGAAACCAAAACCACTCTGTATTTACTACATGTGTATGCATATAGAAGAATACTGCAGAAGTTGGAGGAAGTGATGTGCCTAGGTCTTCCATAGCTGTTTTTTTCTATTGCCAGAGAAAAATCATTGTTATTCCTGCTATCAGCCTTTTCTACCATAAGGTGACTAATAAGGCAGTATAATGAGTAAAACCCTATGTACAGTTAATAAAGGAGGATTTACCAAGAGCAGATGTTACCTTATCATTAAAGCCCTTCCATTCCTGCACCGCATCTTCCAAAATTTTCTCTTGCTCTTGGGCTACATTCCGGAGCCTTGTCCAGCGCTGCCAAACTGTTGTCATGGACCTACTTATAGTTGCCTTACTGGCATCATTGCTAACCTTTTCCAGCTGTGAAGCCTTTTCTTCAAGGGCTGTGATCTTCTCATGGAAAGAATTCACTACAGACACAACAGTCTGAAAAAGAAAAAATAAGCACTGTTTTCTTCTTTTACAGCTCAACTCATAACTGTTCAACACCCTTTCCGTCAGATGAGTCATCGAATGTAGACAAAGAGGAGGTACTCTATGCTGAGTGAGCTTGTTAGGTCTTACTTTATTTTTCATATGTGTAAATGGCTCAGCTACTTGAAGGACCTGGTCCAAAATACAGCTCTCTGTAATGAGCAGAAATTAGGTGCAATCACATTTTCACTTCCTTACTAGCCTCTTAGAAGGGATGGAATTGAGTATTCAGGTCCCTTCTAGCCAGCAGGTCAACGAAGGGAATTCTTCCCCTCCACTCTCATGAGACCCCACCTGGAAAACTGTGTCCAGTTCTGGAGCCACCAACACAAGAAGGACATGGACCTGTTAAAACAAATCCAGAGGAGGGCCACAAAGATGATCAGAAGACTGGAGCACCTCTCCTATGAAAACAGGCTGAGAGAGTTGGGGTTGTTCAGCCTTGAGAAGAGAAGGCTCTGGAGTGATCTTCCAGTACCTGAAGGGGGCCTACAGGAAAGCTTGGCAGGGACTTGTTAGAAAGACATGTAGCAATAAGACAAGGGGTAATGGCTTTAAGATGGAAGAGGGTAGATTTAGATTAGCCATAAGGAAGAAATTCTTTAGTGTGAGGGTGGGAAGAAACTAGACCAGGTAGCTCAGAGAAGTTGTGGATCCAGTGAAATGTTCAAGGCCATGTTGGATGGGGCTTTCAGCAACCTGCTTTAGGAGGTGTCTCTACCCATGACAGAGAGGTTGGAACTTCATGATCTTTAAGATCGCTTCCAACCCAAGCCATTCTGCGGTTCTATGAACTTAAATGTTTAAGTACACATTTATGTTATATTCTTCTCTAATGCCATTTTAGATGGCCAAGAGTATCAGAATATGTTCATGAGTCTGGCAGACATGACATTACTCTTAGGGGAAATTTCTGCCTTCACAGAGACACAACTGGAGACCAGCCAGGATGTCTCAAGTGTCACAAACTGCCTGTATTGGGCAACTGATTAGAACCCTAAATCTTAGAGTAGAAAGTATTTCTTTTAAGTCATATTTCTTTCTTTTAGACTAAACAAAGAGTTAATATTAAAACTCAATACTTCCTGTCCTAGTAAAACTCTTCAATGTGATCCAAAGTAGATGGACATTTCTATTGATCCCATTTTCTTGTAGGGTACAAAGTTTTGGGTCTTATGCACCCAAGACATTTAGGAATCTTCTGGTTCCTTCCAGTTCTCTACAGTCACAGGGGTATACACAGACATTAAGTTGAAAAGCAACAAAACTCTCTGTCCCGGTCACCCCACAAACAAAACGTGTATTCTGCACAACACAAAACACCTCTTGGTGGGCTATGACACAGTTAAGCACTACAGGAAAAGATCTAAGAACTTAATGTTGCCACAGGTAGGGACTTACATAACATACATTTGTTCGCACTGAAGGAAAAGAATTTAACATAATTCTCAGTACCTTACCTTATGTGTTAGCAATTTCTCTTCTGCTTCATGAGAAGAAACAGCTTTAGCTACTGAGAATTCAGATAATTTTTTCTCAGCTTCATTCATCACTTCAATAACCTTCTGTCTTGCTGTCTGATACACCTGCCATTCTGAAGCACACCTTAAAAATACAGTTTCAGAAAGAACAATTTAATGTGATATGAAAGCATTTGAAAATCAGGAATATTATTGCACCTAGTTTTCAATGTAACTGCTTAATTTTGCTATTACACATATTTTCCAATTTAAAAAAAAGAGTGTTAGGAAAGAGAATACATAGAAGCATGCACTCCTGATTTTCAGCTGTGCCTTACAGACATAGCATGGCATTAAATAGCCCTTGATAGACATTTCTACAGTGATTGTAAAACAAAAAGCTTTGTTTGGGTTGTGTTTCAAACCCACCCAAACTTTTGGAATCCATAATATTCAGACATAATAAGTAACATAGGCATTCATATTCAGACATGATAAGTAACATAGGTATTATCATTAAAAATGTATTTTCTTTTAGTTTGAAATGTCTGCTTCAATTTCATTTGTTTCTACATAGGTCTCACACCAGGTCAAATAAGTGACAGTCATTCCCCACTTATCTTCTTGGTGGTGTTCCAAGCCTTATATAATTTTATCATATTTTTCTCAAAATCTCCCATCAAAGCAGTCAGTGGCAGAGGAGAAATCAGAATGCAACAACTCTGAATTTCAGTATCAACTTTTCTCATCAGTCACACAAACATTTTACAAAACTCCAATTAACATTATAATATCTTTCTTTTATCACCAACAAGATCATCTTAAAACAAAAGAAAAAAACCCAACATGTTATTATACCTTTGCAACTGCTCTTGCTGGGTTTTGGCTTCTTGCTTTGTCACTTTGCCCTTTTCCTCCAATGCAGCTACATTCTGCATCAGCTGCTCTCTTGCTTTGGCTTGGATAAAGGGCTCTATCTCAGACATAAGGCCCTGTAACTCCATCAAATTATTATTGAACTGAATTTCTGTGCTGAAAAATTCCATGTGGTTCTTCAGGTTATCCTCAGAGTTCTCAACATCAAGACCATTTCTTGCTAAATGTAGAAATTCCTGAGCGTCTTCAAGCCAGTCATTCGCTATCTGCATCACTTGGTAGTATTTTTGGCAGAGGCTATATAATTTATTCAAGGTAGCCTGAAATAAAAGGAAAAACTTTATTGAGGCCCATAAAATTCACTGCAGGAAAAAAAAAAAAAAATTCTCTGTTGAGAACCTGCACTTTGCCTGTTCTTGCTGTCTTTTCCCCCTCTCTGGAGAGACTACATGCATATTAAAGGAATCCTTTTCTACCTTTCCCCTCTCTCTCCCAAAGTCATCCATGGCAACAGATCACAACGTAAGTCATTAAAAAAAACTAACAACAGTTTTATTAACATCAATTGTTTTCATTAGGATTACAAACATCGTGCCACAGAACCATATTTTTCAGCTTTGAGAGCAAAAAACTAATGACACTTAGTGTGTGCTAACCTGTCTCATGTGTATAGATTCTTGAACTTCACCATCTAGTTCTGTCAGGTCAGCAAGTGTGTTTTCCAGGTCAGAAGGTATCAGTTCCTTTGCTTTCATATATTTCTCTTTTTCTTTATTGCTCAGTGCATTCATTATTCTCAGGCTTGACTGCACTTCTTCCTGATGTATCTGAACTTTTCGGATTTCTTCTTGGATGCTTTGCAGTTTGAGGTCCAAACTTAATGTCCCATTAAGTTCTGTTTTCACCCATCTCAACCAGTCAAGTGAGCGGCAGATTTCTGTCTGGAAGTCTATGCTTTGCACAAGTCTGTTCTCACACTCCATCACAGTGTCACCAATGGCAGCATGTAAAGACTTTAGTTGTTCTTGCCAAGACCGCACTTGCTGATTTGTTCTCTCACATGCAGATGAGTCAAGCTGTGGAGAAAGGGCTTCTAGATGCTCAATTATTCGTTTCAGAAGACTCTCCAACTCTTGCAAGCTGCCCACCAGAGAATGGTATATTTTCAACTTTTCTTCTACTGGGAGTGTTTCTTCATTTACCCGAATCTGCTCTTTCTTCACTGCCTCTAGTTGTGCCTCAAACTGCATACTCATTTTCTCATGCTCCTGGCATGCTTCTATTGTGTCTTCCAACAGGTTGATTTTCTGTTCTATTTGCCTCTTCAACTTGTGATATAGCGTGACAAGTTTTAACATCTCATCCGGTTGCCATGGCTGGCCAGTGCTTCGAAAGGCCTCCTTCTTCAGGTTTAGCTCATCCACTGCTGCACCAAGACTCACCACCTCACCTAAGAGATCTCTGTAGGCCTGCTGGAGTGACACAACTTCTTTGGCTAAAACAGCAGCTGGAGCTTTGTCCATGTTAATAAACTGATCTTCTAGTTCAGTCAGAGCTTTACTTGTCAACTCAATCAAAGAGGCATACTCTTTTCTGGCATAAATTGCTTCCTGAACCTTATATAATTTTTCTTTTGCCAGAGCAGTGACAATACTGAATTGCTGAGGGAGAATGTTAAGTTTTTCATCCAGATAAGAATGATCCACTTCATTAAGTGATGGTAGGATTTCTTGGCCATCTCTTTGCAGTGCAAGTAACAGATTTTCATATTCTGGGGATTGCTCAAGGATCTGTTGATATTTTGCCAACTGTGTGTACAGTTCAGAGTTACTATTCATTACACTGACTTCTGGGAATGTGACAATATCAGCTTGTTTTAGCCAATGACAAACTTTATCTAAGTCTTCTTTGAAATATTTCCTGGAAACTATATTTTTCTCCAGTTCTAACAATCTCTGGTTACACTTTTGTAAAACAGTGTCATATACATTCTGTAGTTCTTGCAATTTACCTAACACTTCATTCTTTTCTTGTTCGGTTGCTTCTTTCATTAAATCCCTTCCTTGAGCCCACAACCCAGTGACATCATTTTGATAGGCCTTCAGGTTAGCCTGGGCATTCTTGCAAGTCCTGATCTGTTTGTTCACATCTTCCGGGAACAGAGAAATGTGTTCTGGAAATGTTACCTTCTTCTCATGCTGGTGAATTTGGTTTGTAGCCTGAAAGACTGCCATAAGAAACTGAGTCTTTTCTGACAATGCTTTATTCAGGTGCTTTCTTCTTTGGCCAACCAAATCGCTGAGACAACCTACATGGTGCTGTGCATCAGAAAGTGCTTTCTGCAGCTCCTGCCTTTCATTGAGCCCTAGGTTTGTCATCACCCTGTCAGCATCCTTCACAAGCATCTTCAGAACCAGCTGTTTGGCTTCAAGTTCACTGCAAATGGTAAGATGATCCATTAGAAGACTCTGAGCCAAATCTGGAGGTGGGCTCTGTTTAAGAGCCTCTGAGACACTAGGTTGCTGCTCCTCTGCCCATTCCATTAATTCCTGAAGTTTGGAATGCACCAAACTGAGCTCTTCTAAGGTTGAAACTGAAACTTGAATTTTCCTTTTGACAAGATCTTCCAGCTGAGTCCAGCGTTGCTCAAAATGACCAAATTGTTCCTTTACTAATTCTTTGTCATCAAGATTCAGATGTTCTGTCATCTTCTGTTTCTGGTCTTTCAAATCTTCCAGAGCAAATCTCCTTTCCTGCAGTGCAAGTGCTAATTTTTGCAAAGCTTCAAGGTGCACATTTGTACTTTCAGCATCAGATCTGTTATCAAAATGAACACATCAGAAATAAATTATTAGATCCTATTTGAGGATAGGTTTTTAAAAGAAGTCACGTTGAATTCTAAGCCTACTGTATACTGAAATCACTATGATATAAATACCTCCAGTTTTCACATTCTTTTGAAGGTACCAGTCCTGAATAGTAATTTATAAGTTTTTTATTCCTCTCCATTTCATCTGCAAAGTGATCATCAGGCTGACCATACAAACTAACACAAATACTACAGAATATACGGGTTATACTGCACCTACGAACAAGTACTGAGGTGGAAGTGAATCTTGTTCCACAACAGTGGAACAGCAGTAATAGACTCTCACAATATTACACAAAGCTGCTGTGTATGTTATACGAAGCAGCTGCAATCATTTAGCAGGAGCAACTAAATTTAATATAATAGTCTAACAGACAAAACACAGTACCACAATGAAAAAAGCTCATGAAACATAGTAAACAGGAATGAAGAGTTCAAACAAAATAGTAAAAATGCTTGAAATGCTACACCCTAAGGTGGGATCAATAGGTACTTTCCTTAAAGACAAACATTGAAAATTTGGCTTCTCAAACACTATTTCAATACAACTAATTGTCCTACAATTAATTAGAGAGGCCTGCTATTCATTAAACGTGAGAAAACTGATTTTTAGTAGATCTAACTCGAGACATTCTGTACACTGCTCTTCCAGCTAACATGCATTAAGTCAGCTTCGTGCGTGCTAACGTATTTTTTACCTAGCCAGGTTGTCCCACTCTTTTGTGAGTTCTTCCAAGAAAACTTCAACTACGTGCATGCGGTCATGGTAATCCCTTGTCCTCTGCAGATCCTCTTCCCTCTGTAGGAGCAAACCATGTGCCTGAAGGCAGAGATCCAGCCACTGGTTGCTCAGCTCTCCTGTTTCCTTGTGTTCAGGTGATTCCTGCCCTTGAGTTAGTTTGTTCATCTTCTCAGTCACAGAGGTAAGAGCTGACTGCTTAGACTGCAACTTCTGACTGAATTCCTGAAAAAGATAATAGTCAAAAACAACATGGTGTCACGTCTTCAGAATTATAAAATAGAATTTAAATTAAAACTCTGAAATAAATAAATTGTGTAAGGACTAATTATCTGCCCAGGCAAATCCTGAGCAGATGTAAATTGGAAAAAGTGCCTTCTCTCCTCATCTTCTCAGATGGGGACAAGTTGGTTACAGACAAATGAGAGCAGTTTCCAAGTGCCAGTGATGAATGGAAATCACCATCAAGTCACACCTTATTGCCCTAGCTTCCAGACTATCACAGCTTTCACAAGGTCTCATGACAATTAATTTTATCAGTACTGTTTCTAGCTTGTTTTTCTTCCTTTTTCATTGGAGACTAAAAATAAGAAGCAGAGTCCATGAGTCAGTGAGCCCTCATATCCATACTTTGTTTTGTTCCTACTTCTATAATAGCAACCATTATTACTGTCATTACTGAGAAAAGCCAATTATTATCTAGGTATGATGCTATTTGAGTTAATAAATTCCAGCAAATACAAGAGTCCATCTGTACACATATTTCTTACCAAATAAGAAACCACAGAGAACCCAAAATAAGAATATACCATATTCTGACAACTAAAACTAACCAAATACTATTCAGCAGTTACACATTGTCTGGGATAAAGATATTTTTCCAAATTCTAGTTCCAATAACTGTAAATAAACAAACATGCCCAGCTCCAGCACTTTGCTGGGATGCTGTGTTTGACAGGGATTCTAGAGAAGAGATACTACTGCCAAGTTCTTCCTCATTTCTCTTTGTGACTGCTTCAAAGGTAGCTGGGCATCATCAAGTACCATGGGAAGGAAAAAACACACATTGTGTCACATCTCACAGTACATCAGGTGCCTGACTCAAATAGTAAAGAAATAAATGCACATTCCTCCTTCTTCCTGGACTCTAATGATAGCTAGTGTAAGAGCTGTCAGCCCACATTGTGCTTCTTCAAGTACTGTGACTTTGTTCAAACACTTCTGTAGCACAGACATGAAGAGGAAGTGCTGTTTACTTCTTACCTGACTCCTAGCAGAACAGAACAAGAATACAAGAAAAGTCTAGACCAAAAATGCAAAACCCAAGCATTTAATCATTTAGCAAAGAACTAATCTGTTTTTCTGTTTCTTCTTGTTACTTTATAGACATTTGTGATGTATGCACAATAGCCATAGAACTCCTCTCATCTGTAAACGAATAAGTGAAGATCTGAAGGCATTTTTTTCACTGTTTTAGGTAAACTAAATTTTCTTTCTTTTTAACCTATTCTCCAGTGATTTTTGAAGTCCAGAAACACTGAATAGTTTCCCTTACTAAATCTAAAATAGTTTTAGATAATTCAGAAGTATTGGAATCAAATAACTTCACAAGTACAAATTGCAGAGCTTATCTTCTGGTCTACTGTGATAAAAAGCCTATTAAAAAGTGAAGGCAAATCAGAACAGTAGGCTGAGAATTGTCTACTATTATAAAAAAAAACCATAAAAATATTAAGGTACAGTGTTCTGCTTTCTGTGTCACCCTGTAGCACCAATAAGGAAACCTTCTTTTTTCTCTCTTCTCTGCTCTTTCTTAGATCATACTAGCAATTCTATGCGATACATGCACATAACATGAATTATAATAATATCAGAAATGGGATTAACATCGTCCTTATCTTCTGCTCTTAATCTTAAATCTCCTTACCTTAACCTGTAGTACCATATTCTGGGCAATGTTTAGCTCCAACTCTGCCCGTCTTCTTTTCAAATTCTGTAATTGTTGATCTGCATCTTGGAAATATATCCAGAGTTCAGCCTTCATTTGTTTGATCTCTTCCCAACCTTGAGCCAAATACTGTGAGTGCATTATCTGTTGCTCAATCTAGAAGAACGAAAAGGAGTAGGAATGCTTTAATACAGCTATTTTTGGAGATGAAGGATGAATACCATTTTTCCTCTGAGTGCAATACTGTACTAACAGCAAATTTCCGCACCAGATTCTGAAGGGGATAGTATTATCTACAAAAAGATTCTTAATCTTCAAAAGTCATAAAACTCAGACCTATCAAAGGGTGGGGGAAAAAAAAAATAAAAAATTATCATTCACCCTTGGGAAAAGCAAGTATATTTATGGGTGGTGTAAACGTCTTCTGTTAAAGCTTGAATTAATGTATGATTTATCCTATTCCATGCCAAGAATACTGCTGGACTATGCCCTACATGCCTTCAAAATGATCAAATTAAGGCATTAAATGAAACATTTTCATTTTGTTTGCTTAGCACAGTTATTTTGCATATATGGTGTTTGTGAAATGCCAATAGGAAGAATGCTTACCAGATCTGAGCCCATCAATCACCTCAGACCGACAGTCACACAGCTTCTTTTGCTCCAAATACAGCAGTAGGGCTCCTTTAAGGTTTAGACACTCAGCCAGCTTAATGTATCTCAGCACTGTACCTACTGTCTGTGATTTCTTAAAAATATTTCACTGCTTTACATATAAAAAGAGAATCTTATTCTGATGCTTGGAATACTTTTAAACTATTCAACATTTTGACTGCCATTTTTTTAATGGATTGTTTGGATTTGTACAATTTGCTACTCTGGTATGGAATACTGTTACTATATATATTAGATTTTTACTCTTGGTAGAATTAGTTTCAAAAGTTTGGTTGTGTGTGTATGCAAAACTAAAATTTTCATGTTTATAACAGGAATGCTCCCAATGTTTCTTTTCTAATAACTCTCATGTTTTGAATTTTATTCTGAAAATAAGCATTAAGCTACTTTAAAACTTGAGATACTCATCTATAAATTTATATGTTGAAACAGATGCACTCAGATTTATGGATTGAACCATAATAATTGTTATTATGATCATAACTCATATTTTAGTATATCCTAATAAGAACATTAGTATGCTGTTGAATAAATAATAGAAGTAAAATATTTAACAAAATACAGAGAAAAATAGATTAAAATGTGTTTTATGAAAACAAATAATTTGGATCAGATTTTCTTCCATAGAAGGCTATTTGTGCGGCTTTAGGCCAACATCTTGTAACATTGCCTAAGTACCTTTAGCAACCTTTGTTGTGTGTCTTTGCATCACTACTAGGAGACCAACATGTGGATTTAAAAAAATAATAATAAAAAAAAAATAGAAGGAGAAAACTATTCCTAAAAGAAATACTTAAGATGAAAATAAAAAGATATTTCTTTAAACCATTACCCAATATGACCTTTTTAAAAGAGGAAGATCAAGGCAGTTAAAGCTCTAAATAGGATTAAAAGCAGGTTGTTGTGGTTATCTTGTACCGTTTGTTTTATTTGTTGAATATCTGTTGCTGTACTCTTCACTGTGGCATCTGACAGATCACACATGGAGCACAGAAGATCCAAGTATGTATTTGCTTGTTCCTGTAGAGCCCGGAAATGTTTCACCTGAGGGAAGATAATCCTCAAATAAACTCTGAGACTGTGGAAATAATATCTTATTTTCTTATAACCATGTATTTTAATATTTTTACTTCAGCTTATTATTTAAAAAAGAAGAAATGTAGACATATACTATTTTATTAGGTAAGGTTGCTCTGTCATAATTATGGAAAGCAGCAATTCTGATTACCATCCAGTTATCAAAGTTCTTAGTCACATATGCATTACTTTCCTCATTTCTTTATAAATTAGCCATTGGGTAGATAGAGTTTGAACAAGGTGGCTTACTTTCCCAAGGTGAATGGGAAGCAGGGCTTTATCTAACTATTAGTGTGTCATGTTGCCCATACCTATAAAATTCTTCAGTGTCTGACAGATCATGGGGAATCCAGCCCAGCAGCACAATACATTTTCCTACACCTTCTGAAGCCTTCCCAAGGTCCCCAATATCTACAATTGCCAAGATCAGATCACTGGTGAGGGTTGCTGCTCTCAACATTGCCTGTAGGAGCTCACCTCTTCCTATGAAGAGTTTCCTCATTCCAAAATAAAATGTTGATATTAGTGTTGGCAAGCAGGGCAATAACATACCTCTGAGACACAGAGGAGAGGTGATGCAGGGGTGCAGTGATGGGTCCTTGTGGGCAAAAAGCTGAACATGACAGCAGTGTGCCCTTGTCATTACTGTATTAGCAAGAATGCAGAGATCAAACTCTGGGAAGTCATTATTCTCCTGTACTGACACCTGTTAGGCTGTCCCTGCTGGTTTTAGCTCAGTTACAGTCTTCCTCCATAGAAGAGATATTGGAAAACTAGTGCAAGTCCGGCAAAGGGCTGGGGAGATATGGGGCTGTAGTTCATGGCATTTGGGCAGGTCTGAAGGAACTGATTTGCAAAGCCTGAAGAAGAGAGGCTAAATGTGGTATGCTACTAGTTAAAATGGTAGGGGTCAGATGGAGGTAGTAATGAGAAGACAGAGCCAGACTCTTCTGAGATGAGGAGAAAACAGATTAGCGGGAAAAGTGAAATGTTGGAACAAGGAAATTCTGTATAGGTACAAGGCAAACTATTTTTCACACTAAGCACAGTTAAGCACTGGAACAGGTCCCCAGTGCTCAGGCATGGTCAGGGCCCTCAGTGTACCAAAGGGCCCTGCAACCTCTATTCCCCTGTCCTTGGGGTTTGACTACTTCTGCTCAAGGCCAGCCTTGACTTGGCCCAGCTGGGACCTGGCCAATAGAAAAGTGTTCAGAAGTCTTTCCCCTTGCTTGAGAGCTGCATGTAAGCTCAGGCCCTCAGTCACCTATGGACCTACACACTACAGGTGCATCTGTGCCTCACTGATCCTCCTGGTCTTGTCTTGCTGCACTGACGTGAGACTGGCCACATCCCTACATACTTGCCTGGTGATCACCAGATGATGGCTGACACCAGGAGGACTCTGCTCTTCTCACTCGTGTGCTGCAGGTCTGCACATCGTTGGGAAAGTGCTGCCCTCCTGGCCACACTGTCACCCCCTGCTCCTTCTGCCCTTGCAGAGCTGCCAACTGTAGTATTTCAAGATCTCTGCCTAGCCACATGGTGAAGAAAGCCCTGAATTCCAGCATTTTTAGTACCATACCAGTTTAATTTGAGAACAAGGTACAAATCAAATGTAAAATACATTAAGTTACTATGAAAAATCAAGAAGCAAAGAAACCATTCTTAATGACTAATGTGGACTGGAGAGAGTTCTATGTTCTTAGGCTGAAAATTGTTTTAATTGTCTTAAAAGGAGACTCTGTATCTATGGTAACATGAAGCCAGGTCTCATATAGGAACATTAGTAGGCAGATGGGCAATTGGACAAGCAGAAACTAAAACCCACTGTACTAAACACCTCTGGGGAATATCTGAGATGGTTTATCTAACTAGGAAAATATTTTTCAGGTAAAATATTTCTAAGTATTAAGCAGAGCTAGCAAAAGCCTTGTGTGATTTTTTTACTAGTGGTTATTTTTCACTTAAAGCACTCCTTTAGGAGCTGAGAACAAACAATAAGGCTACACAGCTCTCTGAGAGGTTAGAGTGTGTATCTAATTCCTATTAATATAAAGCTCTTACCTGACCTCAATTTATTATGGATAACTGAGCATTTTCAAGTCCTGAACTTTTACCTGTTTAACTGCGTCTGTCAGGCTGAAAGGTGGCCAGGTACTTGGCTTTAGTTCTGAATGCACTGTAGACAGCCAAGTCTGGCACTGCTGCAGGGTATCCTGATGATTAACATGCTTCTGGAGTTCATGTTCCAAACTCTGGTACACCTAGAATAAACATTGTCTAAAGTCATTACATTTTCAGACATCACTATTGGCTCTCTTCTCTCACCTTGAAAACTGCAGGTAAAACACAATTATTATGACTGTGGTTGTTTTAATCCTTGTACATAGAAGTAACAAGGGATGTGAAAGCTTCTCAAGCTCTTACTGCAGCTTGCTAGTTCATGGACAGTATCTAAGGCATGGCTTCTGGAAAGAAAAATAAAGATTCAAATCAAGAGCATTTTATCTTATTTCTGTATTCTTGTTCAATATTTTGCCATTGATCTAGTACGAGTTTTTGCCTACCTCTACAAATCTTACTGACTATGAAGTCTACTTTTTAGAATTTTAATTTTTTGGTTTGGTTTGGTTGTGGTTTTTTTTAGACTACACTGGCTTGATCTCCTTATTGGATTAAAAGGATGACCCAGCTAGTACTTCTTAACTGTATATTCTGGTTCTGCTAAGACAGTATTTCCTAACACATTATTAAGACCCATTATATATGCATACAAGCTACTGACAGTATGAATGCAACTTTCTCCCTAGTTTTTGAAGGAGGAATAGTTCTAATTTCTTAGCTGCAGCTGCTCAGAAGCTAGTGTCATATGAAGGTAGTGAGGATGTGGAGAGATGGAGCAGAAACTGACAGGAAGACAAATTTTCTGGCTGTAAAGGAACATTTGGATTACAAGGAATTCAACTGTAGCACAGTAATTATGAAGTGCTACATTGGTAACCTGTAGGATCAATAGAAATGGAAACAGTAGAAAGTGTTTTACACAGTTTAAAGAAGCAAGTACTTAGAGAAATAACGATATTCTCAAATGGAATAAAAAACATTTTTGTAAAAAGACTTACTCTTTGCGCTGTACTACATATGGCAGAATAGCTGTCCTTTGTCCCCTGAAGATGGCTTTGTATGTTTTGCTTAAATTTAGCTTGAAGATGTTCTGTGCATTGATCGATCAGGTAATCACCTTTACTCTTAAGGTTGTTCAAACGATCTTCAAATCCTGCAATTTCTTCCATGATAGCCTAAGAAACAGAAAAAATACTGTTGAAGAAATATTTAAACTTAAAACATATTCTGCATTACAGCTTGTTTAAAAAGCTGGGTTTTTTTTGTTTTTCTTTTTTCTTTTTTTTTTTTTTCTTCCTTAAAAACTCTTTGCCTTCAGGTGTGGAAAAAAGCTTTCCACCTATGTGTATTCCTATACTCATTGTAAAATATTGTCAAAAGTCTCTAGATAGATATCCCACAGAAACAACAGTAGCACTGTCATAATGTGGAAACCAAAGGAAATCTTTGTTGCATGCTGTATAGGGCTCCATCAACTGCTCTTGTGTCAAGTACTGAGGACTAAATCTGATGCTGAATCATGTCTTATTGCATAAACTGTTCCGCCATACACAGTCTTTCCATGGACTTTGGTGAACGCAAAGAAAGTTACTAAAAGAATAACACACTAATCACAGGAAATTAAATAATTTCAATATTCGCCCTTGGAATCTCAGTTTCAGGGAGTGGTGGGGAAGGTTGGATTTTGCTTTCTTTTATCTTCTAAAAAAGCTTTGGCTATCAATGCAGTGAATTATTATCAATATGTTGAGTAAAAGCAATGGGAGGAAATATTACACCCTAATAGAGAGGGAGAAAAATGTTTGAAAAATTAAAATATCTTTTAGTTTTTAAAAGTGCCAGAGCAAAAACCTGCTTAGGACTAAAATGACCCTAATCTGCTTTTTGTGGTCTACTTCCTGAAACATCTCAGCAAAAACCTGACATGGAATTCAGACTACTGTACAATAAAGCTCTTCTGCAAATGCATTCTCAACCAAGAAACAGTGCTAACAACAAAGTACATATGTTAACTGCATTCATGACATTGATACTCATCTATACAGTTAGCAGTAAGAGGAATAAAACAGGTGAATGACAACTAACGACTAAAGCTCTGGAGTGGAGATTAGAGAAGCAAAGGAGAAAAGTTCTGTTTTACCAGACAAAGGAAGTTTACCCAACAGCAAACCCACCTTGTGATTAGCTAGTTGTTGGGTGATTATTTCAAGATTGTTACTCTCCATGAGGTCAGGGCTGACCAGCCGGCTAGACATCTGTAATAACCATTTTTCCCCTTCTTGCAAGTCACTGTTGTAATCCTCATGTTCTTTTACTCTCACCTCTAAAGTTTCAACGTATGTCTGCAGATCCACAACAAAAACGTATATATTCAAGTAATTACAATAATTAAAAAACCCCACCACAAACCAAAATCCACCAAGAGCTTGAAATCATATAAGAGAGTTCTATTCTAAATTTATATTTCTTTGAGGGTTTCTCACATTATTAGACTGTTAAGGAAGACACCAAAGGGATTCCTTGTGTGAATAAACTCTGTGGTACTGAGCAGTATCTTCACTTCAAATGAAATGCCAAACTTCAAGGAACACACTGAGGATCTCCTTACTTTAAGAAAAGGAACACTGTCAATTTGACATTAAGTTCACTTAGAAACACTTATTACATGCTCTTGGAGAGACTCCACATGACCGACCAAATGTTATGGTTGGGTCCCTGCTGCTTCCAGTCTTTGCACATACATCTTGCCTGTGATTGTGGTAGGCAAATTACAAACATACACCTTGAGTTCAAATGTATTTTTCCTTTTTAAGAAAGATTTTTCATAAGTTTATCTACATCTAAGCCATCAACTGGACAACTAATACAACAGATACCAATTTTGTGGTACAAGTCAAAGGAATGTCTTTAAATTAAAAATCAACTGTGAAAAAATAAAATCATTTGCTATTGGTGGATGAATTAACAAATAAAGGCGCTTAGGTCAAACATAAGTACTAACATGGTTTGCAGAGCTTATCCTTGTTAAGAGCATAATCTATTAAAAGCCTTAGAAATAATCATACTTTAGGATGTATTTAGAAGTAATAAATCTTCCAAAGTACTACACACATACAGACTAATGAATCAATGTTAATTAGTAATGCCATTGAAGAATTAAATTACATCCACCTCACAGTTAATTTTCTCCAGTGACTTGAACAACTAAACTAGATTAAACAAGGTTTGAGTGAGATCTAGCAGAAACAAAAGAAAAAATAGTATAATTTAAGGGCATGTGTCCCTTCATGAATGAATGCATTTAGAAATCTATTTAAAGCAATTAAAATAGTAACAATAGTACAAATTAGCTGCTGATACATTTCCCCACAGAGCTATGAAGACTTCACTTGTCACACTCAAAACTCATTTCAGCTAGTTTTGTTGAATTTATATAGGTAGAAGCTCTTCCCATATTCAAGAATCTCCCCCCGCACAATTACATACAGGGTATGACATGACAGCATGACACAAATAGTCAGGTGAAAAAACCAGCAACTTGAATGAACCCAGAGTTTTTTTCTTGACTTTTTACCTTTGCTGTGCTGCAGAGCTCCTGGTAACTGCTCTGAAGGTCTTGAATGTTGTTCTTAAGAGTCACATCATTCACCAGATCAAAAAGAGCTTCTCCCTTTTCAATTACTGATTTTATTGAAGGCTCATGGGACAGAACAGTCTGTTGTATGGACTACAACGTAAGCAACAATTAAAATATATATATCAACACTCAAGATCTATTTCACTAACTTCCCTTTGATCTGAAGCATAGCTTCTTTCATGGTATGTATATCATCCTTTCCAGATGAGAAAAGCTTTGCTACTGTTACAGGACTATGTTTCTCAGCCATGCCTTTAGACAACTTTGCAGGCATCTAGGAGCAATTGCTCCTGTGACTGGCTAGTGGAAAGGCTGATAAACTGGAGCTAGTGAAGGGAATTAATGTGTGTGAAGGGGCAAGTGCTAGGGATAAAACTTGCTCAGAGGAACAAATTCTGCAAAGAAGTGGGCAGGTATCACCAAAGCCATCCTCCTAATGAAATAGCATGCAGACGAGTGTGTTAGACTCTGCTCTCAAGAGTAGGCCATCTGATCCGTTATGTCACTGTCCCACTGGCTCAGACCCTGAGATACCAGCTAGAAAGCAAGTACACAGCTATGACATATGACTGGTACTGCAGCCAGCAAGGGATAATGAGCAGTGTCAGAGAGAAAGCCTTGATGCTGTGCAGGTACTGCTCAGCAGCAGACAAAACACTGATTTGTCAGTAACACTGTTCTAGCCACAGATATAAAGCACAGCACTAGTATGAGGAGAGGTAGCTCTATCCCAGCCAGATACAGTACACATCTTATGAAATATCTGTAATCCTGAAGTATTTTACAAAAACATCATTAAGAAAAGCAATGGGGTTTGTAGTCAATTTCATCTACTCATTTTTATGACTGGAAAAAAACAAGCCAGCACTTCATTTAACTCCTATCTGAAAACAGAGGAGGCCATAGTAGCTGACTGTCCTAGATGAGAGTTGAGCTAGGACATTCAGCTTTAACCAGAAAGCTGATTAAGCCAATGTAAACAGAGGCAATTGCTGCAGTGAAGAAAGATCAACTGATTTCTATCCTTCCTTAAAAAGTAGTTAACTCTGTTGATACTAACGGAATTACTCATATGTGTACTCATAAAAGAATCTTGCTCCATAACAGGAAATTTTCAGATGTAGAAGCCTTATTAGGACATTGACATTTCAAATCCAGGTGTTCACTCTGGTTCACAGATGCAGGAATAGTGCATCTTTTCACTCTGATTTGGATTTGGACATCTAGATGAGAGACATCTCATATGCCTATTGAGGAAACTTGAACACTCATCTGGATCAGAATATTTATTGCATGTCACTAGGTCAAAATCAATTTGATAGTACAAGGATATATACTGGTTTTACCTTGTATTTGGACAACTGGGCCTTCTTCTCGTAGAGCTCACTCTTTGGCTCAGCTGGAGCATGTAACACAGCTTGGTACTCTGTGACCCACTGAGTCTGTGCCTTGTATTTGTCTGAGAACTCCTTTGCCAGCTGAACACACTTTTCTGAAGTCATGTGCTCTTTCCTGATGGAGCCTGCCAGCTCTTCAAGCTGTTCCACATGATCTCCAATTTCTTTTCTTAACTGGTCAACTTCATTTTCTTCCATGTACTTAATAGCTCGCTCGCCCTTCTCACGGGCAGATTTTAGTAAACTGTGGCCTATGTCCATATCACTCAATAGCAGCTGTGAAGGAAGGATTGGTTAACAGGAAATGTATGCAAGATCTGGCTTTTTTTGGCATGTGTGTTTTGTTTTAATTAATTGTCATTCTGTTATTAGTTAGAGGATAACTTATTGGTGGTCTGGGGATTTTTTTTAGTTTTGCTAAGAACATGTCTGGGAATTCCTAGGGAAACTGCATGGACTTTTCATTACAAAATTGCCTGGAGTTAAGGTGCAGTAAAGTAGAAGGAGGCAGAAAAAGCAAATACTTCTGTTCTGTATTGGGCTTGTGAAGATAAACACAGAAACTGTGGGCTGTGAGGAAAAGATTTGTACTCCGTATTCTGGAATAGATGAGTTTTTCCCTTGTGTAGTATGTTTAAACTGGAGGACAGATTAAAGTCTAATCTACAAATCCGAGATGAAACATGAGTTTTACTACTGAGTTAATCCAATGAGGAGAAAGAGGAAGAACGTCTTTCCATAGTGCACACTGATATATCACACTGATATAAAATATACACAACAGGATGCCTTACAACAGGAATTTATTTTAAGTTTTAATCTAAATCAAAAACCATAGAAACATGCCTTATGGAAGGATAGGATTATATTATTTATGATTATTCATAACCTCAACAACCAAATTGAGATCTAATGTGTGTATGAAACAAGAACAGAAAGTTTTATACTGGGTGGTCTTTATCCTTGACTCCTCTAGGCAAGGTGAAGTCAGAATGCATCTTAAAAGCTGCTCATAATATTGCCTCTTTTTGGTGAAGAGTAACAAAAATTGCATTCAAGAAAGCTGTACCTCTAGTTTTTGCACTTTTTTCTCCATTGCTGTTTTATCAACCGCATCAAACTTGGTGATCACATTTCTGAAGTTCTTGTTAGTGGCCCCGTACCAATTTGTGTAAGCACTAAAAGCCAATTCCGACTCCTCCATACAGCGTATTTCTTCTTCCAGAAACTTTATTTGTTCCTTCAAGCAAATAGGGAGGGTAGGGGGAGGAAATAAGAACCATCCAGATGTTTACCATTGCTATTGGCTAAAGATAGCAATAAATTGCTATTTATTAATAAAACCTGATATACTAAGATTTAACACATAGGTTTTGAGTTCTTTCATATCTTGTAGATAATTCTCACTGGGGTCCTAGAATGCTTTAGGTTGGAAAAGACCTTTAAGATCATCAAATCCAAACATTAACCTAACTCTACCAAGGCCACCATATCTACATGACTTTTAAACATGTTCAGGTCTCATCAAGGTTTACGTACAGCAATCACTAATGATAAAGCTGAGTTCACTAATATTAAAACTGAGTTAATACTAAACACTGAAAAGATGCTCTGTGATTCTGTGATACTTCTATTTTGAAATTTGAGTTGTGACTTATGATTATGATAGGAGACACTTAATACTTAAAGTGGCCTGAAGACTGCACTTTATCAATTCATATTTTCTCTGTATCTATGTGTTTCAGTGACAATCTGAAAACACTTCTCTAGATGTCTTTCAGCACTCAAACACAATGAATTCTGGATTTCTCTCCTGAAGCTGCCAAAAAAGACAACAACAATACCCCATTAATACTGAATATTTTTGAAAGGGCATTAACATGATCACATTAGAAATATCATATAAATATATACATATCATATTATACATTTAGTCCAATGAAATCTACATGTCTCCATGTATATATATGAATATGTATGTGAATATTATATTGGTGAGTCTACAGTAATGGATAAGCTCTGATAAAGTCTAATTAAGAAAGTCTGCTAATACTTGCTTCATAACTGACAATTTATGATGTTATAATAAATTAATTTTCATTACTAACCAGGACATGAAGAAGAAGAGTTTGATATCGAGATGTAAGTTGAGTAGCCTGGCTTCCCATTCTATTTGCAGTGAGACTTTCCTCTAGTAGTTGCTGAGCCAATACCCCAACTTCCTCCACATCATCTTTGTAGATTGTAATTTCTTCGTGCCACTTCTATGACAAAGACATTACTCAATTTATATGACTGATTCACACATCTTAAACACAACATAAATTTATTTGTACCTAACTGAGGAAATCATTGAAAAGGAAAACAAATACATGGTTGTAAACATGGATTTACAGCAAGACAATAAAACAGAATGTGATGAAGGTTCACATAATTAATGTTCTGGAAGTTTTATCCTACCTTATGGACTGCATTTCATTACAACAGATTCAATACTTCTTGCCCACAAATAATAATAGTAATGCAATCTGGACTTCCTATAGAATTTGCCCAAAGTTCTAAAAGTGACTTAAGTGTAACCTTGAATCTCTTTAAATCTGCTTCCTGTGTTTATTCAGAACCATGTCTTCTCCTTGTAGTGACTAAAGGAGAATTATTACATCAACACAGCAGAGACTTCACAACACAGTTGATCACATTTTACTCTTGTTACAACAGTAACACTTTCTCACTCCAGCCATTGCCTCAGTTGTACTTTCATGTATCACAGAGCATGTGAATTCCAGATCTCCCTAAGAGATTTCGACACTATTATAGCGATACTTCTACTGTAAAATGGAAGGAACCTAGATCTAGAAGGCATGAAGGTCTCTTGGTTCCATCATTCTAGGCACTACCCACCTCAGAATAAATTGCAATGCTTCCTATCATTTTCAAAGTACAACAAAGAACTGACATGGAAGCCTTGCATGGTATTTTACTTAAGGAATGCCTTCAGTATATTCTTTACCTTCATTTGTTGAAGCTGTATCTCCTTTGTTGCTCTATGAGACTGCCTCCCAGTCCTGATAGCAACTTTGTCCTCCAGATCCGTTAGCCAGTCATTAACTTTCTGAAACTTCATCTCCATTAACCTCAGTCTGCTCACAGTGGCATTTAATTGGCTTCTTGCTTCAGAAAGCCTGTGCTGATAAACTTGCCAATCCTGCTGTAAGGATTCCAGAGCTCGGTCTTCTATCTGGGGAATGCCCCAAGGAATCACTTCCTCTCTGGCATGGACAGCTGCATTCAATAATGCTTGTCCTTCTGCACAGTGGACCTGCAGCTCCTGTAAAGGCAAAGTTATGGATACATACTCTGTATTAACAGCTTTTATTCACAGATGACAAAGTCCTGGTCCTACTTTACACAAAAGCAGTTCGCTCATGTCATCTAGAAGGTATTTCTTTTAGTTAGCTATGGTTGAATACAAAGTACACCATTTCAAAGAACACCCCTGACAGCATGCTCTCTTACAAAGCAAATCGAATATCACTATTATCAGCAAGTGAATTGGAGAAAATTATTAACAAAGTATGCATGAAATACTTCTCTCCTGCAAAGTTTATCATCAGATCTGAAACACTAGCTGCCTGAGCTGGCATGGGATGGATGCAATCCATTCAGCACAGCCTCAAAATAAAAACTTCCTAGACGTGTCAAGCAGATTGTAAGATGAAGTCTCAAATGGAATCTGTTTAAAAACAAGCAACAAAGTGAGTCTTCAATCTGTTAAAATAAGCAAACCAATTTCTAGACACATGTGACATTTTCATGGTTAATAGAAATTGACTGGAAAGTATGAAGGGATTCAATATGATTAGAAAACATGAACAGGAAATTACCTTAACAAAATACAGTTGTGTGTTGGCTTTTTTATCTTTGAGATACATATATTTAGATTTTCAAAATGGATTCAGATTTCTTCTTTTTTTTTTTTTTTTTCTTTTTTTTTTCCACTTAGGGTGTCACACATTATGTACCTGTAAGTCTCGGAGCGTTGCCTCCTGTTTCTGGGCATCACCATTAAGATGTGATAGACAGTCAAGTTTTTCCTGTTCCTTCTCCAGCCATACTTCAAAGGTCTTCAGATTTTTTTGGTACTCTTGATGTAAGTTAAGCAGTCCTTCAGCTTTTGTTACTGCCTCCTGCTTGTTAAAATATTTACATATATATCTATATATCTTAATGTATAATCAAAACAAGAGAACATAAAAAACAGACTTCTGTAGAATCATACAAACACAGAGTGCTTTGGGTCGGAAGGGACTTTAAATATCATCTAGTTCCAATGCCCCTGCATGGGAAAGGACACCTTGCCCTTGACCATGTTGCTCAAAGCCCCATTCAGTCTGGCTTTAAACAGTACCAGAGATGAGGCCTCCACAAATTCTCTAGGCAACCTGTTCCAGTGTCTCAGCACCCTCACACTATAGAATTTCTTCCTGATGTCTAACCTAGATGTACTCTACCTCAGTTAAAAGCCATTACCCCTCATCCTATCACTACACATCCTGGTGAAAAGCCCCTCCCCAGCTTTCTTGTACCCTCTTCATGTACTGGAAGGCTGCTATAAGGTCTACCCAGAGCCTTCTCTTCTCTAGGCTGAACAACCCCAACTCCCTCAGCCTGTTTTCACATAAGAGGTGAAAAGAATGAAAAGACATTCTCATTTTCCTTCCTATCAGCAAAACAAGAAGAAAACTGTACCCTTGTTCTGTCTTTTAGGAACTTATACCGCTCCTGAAGGTCCTGGAGTTCAAGCTGAGTGACATAATGCTCAGCCATCCCACTTCCTTTCACTTCAACCATCTCCAGTAGGCTGCTGTGACTCAAAACCTCTTCATTGAGGAGCTGCAAAGCAGAATCAGAACACCACATTTATGAATGGACAGCACTGAAACAAAACCACAGATTAAACTTGCAGTTATCCAGCCTTTTTCATTGCTTATATAGTGACATGGGCTTGTTGCTGGTTTGTTGTAAAGCAAACACACCTTTGCTTTGCTGAGGGCAGCTGTTTTTTCCCTCAGTTCAGCATATTGCCTTTCAGAAGCATTCATACTCTCTTCTACTTTATCCATCCAGCTGGAAAACTGACGAACATCATCCTGGTAACTTGTCCATTTGGAAAGAGCTCCTTCCAGTTGACTGTAATTTAAAAATATATATTTGTTGTGACACTGGAGGTTCTTATGCTATTTTAGCAGTGAGATATAGTCATGTACAGTTATTATAGACTACATCACAAGCTAAGCAGTCTGAGACAGAGCTGTTGAAAACCTACAGACTTTAACTAGGAGCCATGTTTGGCTAACAAAGAGAAATTACGTTTTTCAGACTTGGAATATTAAGGAGGTCTATAAGTTACTGAATCATAGGATTGTCATGGTTGGCAAAGACTGCTAAAGTTACTGAGTCCAACTGCCTACACAGGGGAAAAAAAAACCCAACAAACCCCCAAAAAACCAACAACTAGAAAACCACAACCACACCCCAAAATACCAACTAAACCTCTCCTGACACAACTTCAGGCCATTTTCTCTAGTCCAATTGGTCTCTTCGTCCCAGTAAATAACAATGCCTTCCTCACTACTAAAGAAAATGCAACTGAAAGTGTAAGATCCAGAATCAGAAATTTTCAGTCCCTTTGCATACATTCAAAAGTTGCTGCATTCTAATGATTAGTTACCTTTGTTGTTTTAAGTTTAAATATTTGCAACCAGTGATGCTCCATCAAAGAAGGCTGCATTTTCCCCCTTGTATTTCTTTATTCCATCACTTTGAATCACTTTTGACACTGTAATCACAGTATCTTCTGTGAAATGCTAGCAAATGGACAACCAGACATGATTTTGACTAAACAACCAGTGATGTCTGTGACAAGATCTTCTCATTTCTGAGAACAATTCAAGGCATCAAGTGCAACTCAAAGTAAAATTTACAACTAGATTATGGAAATGGAATCCACTTTTAAGTTTATATTGACAGTAAGTGTTAACAATTATTAGATTCCTCACAGTTTGCTTGCCTTTTTCTACTTCAAATGAATGTCACTGAAGGTCTCTAGACCTGCAATACTAAGCAAATGCAGTCATGTAATATGAATTTGACTCTTGTAAGAATAAAATTGTGGAAATAAGGTTTCAAAAAAACTTGACAGTACTTTATTACTAAGCATCACTCTGTACCTCCTACCCTTTTTACCTCTTGCACTGGATACAAGCAGACAGAAGAGACGCCCAGCTATCCTTTAGGGTTTGCAACTGCTGTTCAATCACTGGCACTCCCTCCGGAGAAGTATTCTGCAGTACAGATTCTCCTCTTGTCAGAACCATTTTCATTTGGATTTCTTTTTCTTGTTTCACTGCTAGCAGTCCCTAAGAAGTGAGTAGATATTATTTTACTTTTAACATTAACTGCACATGAAAACACTGACTGGATTTACTGAAAAATGAACTGATCAAATTTGGTGGATTGCACAAACAGTGAAATGGAAGGGGGACAGTTGGGTTCACAGCCTGTCTTCAGAAGTAGAAAGTGACTTTCAAAGGGTAGGTTTATACCACACAAAAAATATATCTTAGTTGACAGGGAATTTTTCATGGAATCTGCACAGGTACTGACAGCGTATCAGAGAAGGTACTGTTGGGTGGAAAGCTAACATTTCAAAGGAAATGTAATTTAGAGGAAAACAGGAGGAGTCATTCACAGAGAAAACAAGTTGTGATTACAAAACTCTTCTAGAGGAATGAAACACAGTTCTACAACTCTAGGATCTATTTGCAACAAAAAGGTACCAACACAAACTCAGCAGACTATCAGCAAAGTCAGCTTAGAGACTGCAGCTCCTGAAGCTGCACAGTTGCAAACTAACTGCTTGCAACACTACGCAAAGTCATGAAAAGCCTAAAAGCAGGAACCTGAAAGATTCAACAAACAAAAGGCAAAACATAATTTGAATATTTTGATGCAATCTCTCGCTTTTTGATGTACCCTTATAATTTGAGAACTTGTCTACAGCTCAAAACCTAAGACATCAAGAACATGAAAAGTTTTTTGAGTACTGCTTTTCAACATCTTTTGTGCAGTGATAGCAATAGATGCTCTTTTCTTAACTGCAGTCACCATTTTCAAAGCTAACAATAGGAAAAGCTGTTCTGAATCATTCATGTCAACAGCAAGATCTAGGAAAGCTAGTATTCTACTTCTTCCATTTAACGTTCAGCAGCCATACAACATATGAGGTTTTTCTAAAGAATTTGCATATGTGCAGTTGTCCATGCCATAAAAGTCCCTATATCATTCTTAGAGAAAACTTCTAGTAACAAGCTCTTGCTCTATAAAAATACGTTTTTTTGAGTAAATTGAAAATCAGTGTCTAAATGACAACAGTCATTACACTAATATGCAACAACTAAGACAAGGTGTTGTATATATGCATTCTTCTTACAGAGCTGAAAAGAGCAGGGTTTGGAGTTTATTTACCTCTAGCTTGAACATTCGGCTGTCCAGAACACTCTTGTCTGCAGTGGGATGACAGTAGGAATTCAGCATGTGAACTGCATCAGCCATCCAGTCCTGGAGGTCCTTGATACTGTGCGAGAACTGCTGGTGCTCTGCTACGACCCTATCCATTCTGGAAACTTTCTCCTGCAATTCATATAGCATTGAGCATCTGCAGCTATGCGAAGGATTGCTTATTTCCCATATACCTAATTATGGATTTTAAAATTACTTTCACAAACTATGCTCAGAAATTGATAATTACTAGTACATTTACTTGAGCACGGAATGAATTTTGCATACACACAAACTGTCCAAACTTAATATACAAATTAAAATTTCTTAAATGCTTTTTAGTTTTTAATGTGAAGCTTCATTTAATTGTTCCCTCTCATTCAAACTAATTGAGAGTTTTCACGTTTCACGTTTTCTTAAACATCTGGTAAATCACACCTAACCTCCATATCAGTGTTGCAGCTGAATATAACTTGTGAAATCTGTCAATCCAGAAGATTTAAACCAGTGAAGGTATACCACTGCAGCAACACTACTTTGTTGATATTTGGAAAAGAAAGACATATTTTTCTCAATGACTCCCACTGACATAACCATTCTTCTGAAAAATTACTGACACTCATATAAATCATATTTTTTTCAAACGCTCAAATTACTTTGCTTAAAGGCCTGACCTGAACAGGAATACAAAGTAAAGTATATTTCACATAATGACAGAACTAAAGCCAAGCCAGTTAAAAACAGTTTAGGAAGTTATAGAGAGGGATCCTTCTCAAGCATCCATGGTTATCCAATGAATTTCTGGATTTCTCTCACAGGCTTAATCATCTGTATCCTCTGCCTCAGATTCTTTCTTTTCATACTGACGTATCCTATAAGTTCTGTCCACATAAGCCCATCTTAGCAACTCATGTATCTTTTCCTTTTACATTTTGGAGTAATACAAATTTATTATAGCTATATATAATAATAATAATTTTCAGTAAGTCATATAAGCTCTAGATATGCTTTATATTTTTTCTTTCCACAGAATAAGTAGAAATTAACAAACTAGCAATTGCTCAAATATAAAAACTTTCTGAATTGAACTGTTATCCCACAACACACTTCTTACCACCTTAATTATTCTCATTACTGTAGCAACTATAAGCCTAATCATGACTGAAACTTTGTGAAAAATCATAATCCTAATACAAGCACCTTCTTATCTGTTTACAGAATAGAGACAGTAGAACTGATAAATGGTGAAATGTGCCAAGCACCACTCAGCAAAACAGAGTTAGGTTAAACTTTCAGTTCTTAGCCTGATGCTTTAGAGTTTAGTCTATGCCTTCCCCTGAACCTTCAAAGCAGCCTAATTTTAGGATCAATCTATTAGTTATAGATTAAGATGCTGATTATGCAAATAAGTAATGATCATTAAAGCATACAATTAAGATGTAACTTTTCTGTATTCTGTATTTTCTTAAAAAAAATAAAAAATAACTCCCTTAAGTTTTGAAAATGCTTTTTTCAGGTGCCATTTATTACAAAAATGTCTTCAATGCTTGAAATAATCAAAATTTAAAATTATTATTGCAAAATAAGGGTTAACTGTCTAATCAAAAAACATTTAAAAAAAATCACACTTCTATTTTGTTGAAATTCCAATAAATTATCCCTGTCCTTAATTCCTACTCTTTAAAGCCATTATGAAAAGCAAGATAGATCAGATATACTACAGAGCAGACCAGCGAGACAACAACTGCAGTGTTTCACATTTCAGTCTTTTTCCCCACTTACATCAAACGAATTGCTTAAAAGCACATACACTGAGTGCATTACCTTTGTTAGATTGCTTAGAGTAAGGTATTGAGAAGACAACTGAGACACTCTGCGCATAAAGCTTTTGCTGACAGCTTGCTCTTCCCACAGCTGCTGAGCTTTCTCTTTTAGCCTGTTGAGCTGATGCTCGTGGCAGCTTACTTCCTCAAGGACAGACTGTAAAGCACAAGCACATTAATATTGAGTGGGTACAAGAAAGCAGGATATAGAGAAGCATCAGGGCCTCATGAAAAACAGAAGTGACATATGGCAAGCTTGCTGAAACAGGCACACCATACAGCTACAGAAAAGAAGCAGTATGTTGTAAGAAATGTGGAGATGCAAAACCTGATGGCACAGGATCATCAACAGCAATCTTTGAAACTAGTTCTGATCTTATTTAGAGGTCAGGATGCTAAAATGATCAAGGTTTTGTAAGGTGTCAATGAGGCCAAGACAATGGGATGGTTAAGTCTAGCTCTGATAAAAAGGCTTTTAAGAAGTGACCTGCAACTTTTGCTGTTCTCTCCTCTTGGAAGAAAGATCATGGAGCCGACCGCTACTTCCTTGTAACATCTTCTCAGTTGTAGTCAGCCACTCCTGCAGAGGCTCAGCAGTTGCTTCAAAATCCTTCATCTGGATCTTTAAGTTCTGGGAAGACATGCACAGTTTTATCAACAGTCCTGCTCCACCGGGCATACTGTAACGCACAACAAACAGACCAAGCACAGGAAAAGGATATACAATTGCAGTCAAACACTGCACAACTCTTCAAAATAAATTAACACCAGCTTTTCTCCTTCCCATCCAACAGACACTGAAATAAAAGTCTGAGAGAGTATCTCTTTAAGGAGTCAAAACAGCAGCAACAACATAGGATAAATCTACACAGTTGTGGGGAGGTCAAGGCAAATTCCCTCTGAACTGAAAGCTTTACACTTGTTATGAGCTTTAACTCAATGCAAGTCAAACTCACACAGCTAAGGCAGTCAGAAGAAAGGCTAATTTGGGATACGAGTTACCTAACATCTGACTGCAGCCATTCACACTGACCCCTCCTTAAATGAGCTGCCACTATTCCTAGATGATGTCTAAATTCATCCCAGTCCTGGGGATCATTTCTGTTTATATTCTTTTTTATTATAAAATTTTAGTTACAAAAACACATGCATACAGGCATCTGTAGGCATTCC